CCAAAGCACCCAAGGTTGCAACAGTCTAGCGTCCCAAGATTCCAATATTTCAAGAGTTAAAATTCTCATCCCACCCTCCCCAATTTCAAAATTCCCAAATTGCAAATATCCAACCCCGAATAACCACGTCCAAATCCCAAAGTCCCAAACTCAGAAGTTTGGTAGAGAAGTGATTCATGGATCCCAGAGGGCCCAGTAGTAAGGTAGAAGCGTTAATTCGATTGCAGTTAATTCGGTGTACAGAGCCCGGCAGGTGCACGATTCTATTTGAAGAGCCATGTTGTTGGATAACTCGATTTCGCCTCTGTCCGCTTCTTTCCGGGCTCCATTTGCAGAATGAAAACTGTCACTCGGTCAGGTCGGATGAAAGGGAGAGATTCGTCGAGAGGGCCGAAAAGGATAAGCCATCTCGGCTGGCGATTACACCCTTTCCAAAACTTCCCTTTTCATCCACGACCCTCTCTTTCTACGGTTCTGCCACGGATAGCTTAATATCCTGTTTGCTGAAACGCTGTGACGCGCGTTCCAGGCCTTTGCCTCGCTTTCGTTTGAAGCAGATATTTTATTAAACCGCCGTATCAACCCTTTGTTTCGCTACCGCGATATACGATCGCTCACGAATATATTCCAACAATCGCAGTTTAAATTGTTAACGAGTCAAACACACTCGAATATTATATTAAACAGGAATATTACCATGCGGCTTTTCGGAATAAACATTCACCAACGTTCCATATTTTTAGAGTTAAACATTCGATTGCCCCAATTTTAGGACACTTCCGAATTTGCGGATTTTCGAGATTCTAAATTTGTACATTTTTTAATACACTTCTCTGATTTATATCATTTTAAGGTTGAAGACTTGAAGGTTTTGCAAATAACTCGTTCAATTAAAGACATATAAATTGATTGATTGATTAATTGATTTTTAATAAGGGCCTCTATATATAAATTGACAAAAATATAAACTAAGAAATTTGTGGATTTAAGAACTTAAGCAATCCCAAACAAGTAGCGATACTTCTTTACCCTCCACTGCAATTATTTCTAAAGAAGGCATCCATGCTACCCAATGTTTAAATTCTAAATAAAAATCTGATTGATCCACGTAGCATCTTACGAGTCAATCATTTAACAGATTGAAGTAGAAAGTGATTAGCGAGTTACAGAGAGCCAAAGGCAACCGATCAACATCGGTGGCAAACTCAAAGATTCCTCGGCAAACTATGTTCGCAAGGTATCCGTGGCAATCGTTTACCCGGTGCAAACAGTCGGTTGCAGTTTCTAGTTATCGAGCCGTTCGCGAACTTCTGGATGATTTACGTCGGCACCAGTGGCCCTGCCACGAAATTTCCGTAATTAGAATTTGCGAATCTTCGGACTCGCCCTCTTGTAATTGGGGTAAACAGGGGACTCGCTGAAAATTTCCAGATCGCTTGGAAGGATGGAAATTTAACTCCGCGGTACAACTTCGAATTTACTAAACGTGCAAACATGCTTAATCAAATTCCAAATTAATTTACTTCGAAACTTGACGTTTGAACTGACATAGTGTGGCTGACATTTTAATGTCAGTAGTGTGGCTGATATTTTAATGTTGGTAGTGTGGCTGACATTTCAATGTCAGTAGTGTGGCTGATATTTTAACGTTGATAGTGTGGCTGACATTTTAATGTCAGTAGTGTGGTTGACATTTTAATGTCAATAGTGTGGCAGACATTTTAATGCCAGCAGTGTAGCAGAGATTTTAATATCAACAATGTACAGCAGACATTTTAATGTCAGTAGTGTAGCAGACATTTTAATATCAAACATGTACACCAGACATTTTAATGTCAGTAGTGTGGCAGACATTTTAATATCAACAATGTACACTAGACATTTTAATGTCAGTAGTGTGGCAGACATTTTAATATCAATAATGTACACCAGACATTTTAATGTCAGTAGTGTAGCAGACATTTTAATATCAACAATGTACACCAGACATTTTAATATCAACAATGTACAGCAGACATTTAAATGTCAGTAGTGTAGCAGACATTTTAATATGAATAATGTACAGCAGACATTTTAATGTCAGTACAGTAGCAGACACTTTAATTACGACTCCTCTCTCGAATTTTTCATACACATTGTTAATTGTTGCGGATTTATTGCAATGCTGCGCAGAGGGAATGCAAGATAGGAATGCAGGATTATGATAACGCACGGTATCCACAATGGGACGGATTTATCCATGGAACTTGTTCCAGTCCATGAATAGACTTTCTTGTGAGAACCATCCGATTAATTCGGTAATATCGAACTCGGTCACCGTGCTATTTCCCGATGTCCATTGTGCGTTAACGAGAGAGACGGCTCGTTCAATGGGTATAATATACAAGCACGTGTGTACGTGTGCGCCAACACAATCCTCTATTCACTACGGGTACCATTATATTTTACAACAATTCATGATCCACTGATCGGATCGTCAAAAAAGTTCCTCCTCCGAATCTTTCCACATAAAAATTCTACCTGAAAATTTACGAAGAACGATGGTGAAAGGTTTTTTCGTAGGAAATATTCACAGAACGATTCAACACCTTTACATCGTGAAAATTCAATTGAAATATTATTTATATCACGAAATTCAATGCATGGAGTTACACAAAGAGCGTCCGTAAAAAGAATGGAAAATAATTGTTACAAACGATTCGTTACGTTTCTGCATGGAAGAATAATAAAAGTGGTTTATTCACTTTTCTGATAAGCCACCGCAACAAAAACGAGACTCGCAAATATTTTTGTTCTGGGAACACAATATCGATAATGAAAATCAAGCACCGGGGAAAAACGAACTTAGATATGGATGTATCGAGTGTTTTCACTTTTTCTATCTTCTTTTGTTTTTTTAATGCTGTACGATTCAATTCTTCCAGGATTGGAAAGCCGCACGAAAGTCGTTCAATCTAAAAAGGGGGAAAACGTGGCGAAACGCGATATTTAAATGAACTTGCACTCCGGAGAGAAATAAACGATAACGTTCGTACAAGTTGAACGATATGCTCGAATATTCTTGTTATATCTTGAACAACGTTGATTCGCCTTTCATTGGCCATTGAATGTTCGGGTTAATGAAACTCTGCTTTAATGATCTACGGAAGGTTTACAAAATGGTGGAAATTACAAGTTTCGAAGTTCAGCTTTAATTAAAACGTCGAAGTAAAAGTCTGTGCAGACTAAGCCTTTTGTTCGAATTATCATATCAAACGATAGTTTAATAGATAGGAGACCTCATAATAGAAAGGAGAGTTCGATATTGACCCTACAGTTTATTTCGTATAATAGTTTCCTACGAAAATTAATTTTCATATTACCCTAAACCACCTGGCGTTTTTCGAAAATGAGGGAATCTGTCTACGAACGTTTCATGAATTTTTTACTCTCCATATTTCATACTCTATTTAAAAATTTAATCTGAATCAATTCTGCTGTTAAATGCAACGTGACTCCGCATAATCATCGAACGTTATTTAAACTTGAAATTATTTATCGATATCCACAGGAATAATCTGTTAATTTAAAATCTATGAATCTATAATATTAATGTATATTAATGTTGAATATACAAGAAGGAAACTGAGAAGCATTGTAAAAGAAGTTTTATTATATTGACTGTATTGTAACCACGTTCGCAGCGATTTTCCCTGCGATTCTTTTCTCAATTTTCCGTCGTTAAATGCATCGAAACACGCATTCATAGTCCATTGCTCGTTCATGATATATCGCTGGTTGAACGTTCAACTGGTTTCCGGCCGATTCATCGACGATGTATACTACTATGGTTTCACTTGGCATACTCGAAACGCGGAAACCGAATAACACACGGGAAACACGATATTTTCCAATCAAAATTGATCGCAGGTAAACTTTATCGTTGTTCAGAATATCTAATATTACCAAAGGCGAATTAAAATGAACTGGTGGCTTACGAAAGCACTATTATCGAATTACGATTAAACTGTTGTACAATGGATACATTTATACAAATTGAAATATTCGAGTTTAAATATTGATCGAAGTTTGTCAAAATAGAAGAAAGACATCTCTATGGCACACGAGTCAAGTGTACAAACAAGCAAGCTATTTTCTCTCTTGCTAATTCTATTATAACTTGATGTTACTCAGCTTCTTCGCTAACGAGCACTCGTCCCTCGGACGAAATTGTCGTCAAAATACTCAAGTACTCATTTTCTCAGCATAAGGAATGCTTCACTCAACTTACAAATTCCTTATAATTCTCCTAAAAATTATTCCCTTTCTTTACAATTTTTATTTGCAAATCGGTAGTCTCGTTATATGGCCGTCTGCAGACATGTTGTACAGTGATAGTATACTGTATTCAACGTTTACATATACATATACATATGCAACATATGTGTATACATATACATATACATATTCAATATACACATATGCAACCGATATGCATAGATATACATATTTAACATACACATATGCAACATATATGCATACATATGCATATACATATTCAACATACACATATGCAACATGTATACATACATATGTATATACATATTCAACACACACATATGCAACATATATGCGTACATATGCATATACATATTCAACATACACATATGCAACATGTATGCATACATATACATATACATATACATATTCAACAAGCACATATGCAACATGTATGTATACAGATGCATATACATATTCAACAAGCACATATGCAACATATATGTATACATATGCATATACATATACATATAGTGTACACTATACATATATACTATACGTTGAACATAGTATACTATTACTATACAATATGTCTACAGATAGCAATATAAATTGTACACGTTATAAATGTATAAATTGAATACACACATGTTATACAAGAACGCAGAGGATGATAACATAGTGTCGTGTTATTTCTCGCATTAAAATTCAATGGTAAAATTTATACGAAAGCAAGCTTTATGTATATCAATTTTATTTAAACAATATCTGTCTCATTTAATATAATACAATACATTTTGTTCCGCTCTGCTATTCACGCTCGCCACGCTCATGCTAATAATCTACAACTCCCATGTTTTCGTCACTCTTCGGTTGTTTATCGTCGTCGTTAAACTTCTAGCACAAAAATACGAGCGTAATTTGAAATCATCTCTCCCTCTCTTTCATACCCGGTTCACGCATGCGTACGCATTCATTCGTTACTATCTAAATTAATTTACCGTCATCCATCTCTGTCGTTTCTTTCGAATTCCCCTGGAAAAATGCCATTTGCCAGTCTTTCAAGAATATAAATCAGACATGGGCGAAATTGCTCGACGAACTGCCCCGAATTATTTCGAACCTATTTTGCTAAAACAGTTCTAGAAATCGTTCTTAGAACATTTCGAGCGTTCTTGGAACACTCGGGGTCGAACTTGAAGCTCGAAAGTTTGAAGGATTCCGACATTTCGAATTTGGACTGTTCCAAGTTGCACTCGGAAGCATACTTCGAGTTTGACGAATTTCAAATTTTGAATTTAAATGACTGAACTTTCAGACTCTAGTTTAGAATGTTCGAGGTCTGAAGCTAGTTTGAGGCAGTTAAAAGTGCCCATGCCTGTATAGAAGATTGAGCCCAATTCTTGCATTGCGATCTTCACAGAATTTTCACAAAATTCTTCGCAAAACTTCTATGTTCAACTAAGGGACCAAGGAACGATAATTTTCGAAGAAATTGCTCGAGGAAATAATATGGTCCGAACTTAAACGTACATTTTGGAATGAGAAACAGAAGAAACATCCAAATGCAACATTTTTCAAATCGAATGCATTCGATACACGAAAGTCTTAGATTCCTCAGTTTTTTATCGTTCACGTCGAACGTCGAAGAGTTCTCTTACCTTAGCTCGAATAAAAATAAATATTTTCGTGTCCTAGAAAAATTGCAAGCTATACCTACCTACTTACAGATTACGTTAAGTATTTTCTAAACATTCCTTGCTCGTGAAATCGTATTTTCCTCGAGCTGTAAAACAACTGAATTTTGTACAATTACGCAGTTGAACAATCGTTTAACACTTTCGAGATCAGACAAATTTTGGAACTAAAAGTGTGGGAAGAAAATTCGATTGTTCGTAAACGAATGGTCCCATCGTAAACGAAGAAAATTATTACCGGACTCTCATGATCTAACGAAGAAAACTTTCTACGATTTCTATAAAAAAATATGAACGTCAGAAGTTATAAAATTATAGAAACCTCAAGCAGTCGCGAATGCGTTAACGTTCAACGTGCTCATCTAAACTTTCGATTCAACAATGGACATATCAGAGCAGAATTTCTCGCTGAATTGAATTTTTTCACGACAGATATCAGCTTCGACCTGTTTTACTAAAAACTCTCTGTTTCACTAGCAAACTTTGGCCAAGGATCGATACGAGTCGTATATCGTGTCCTATTTTTCCACGGATACAGTGTCTCCTTGCTCAAACACGGTACGTCAAATTGATCGATCATGCTTACGATAAGAATCTAAAGATCTGGATCTAAAAACTATGACTCGAATCGTTGGACAGTGAATAATCTGTTTTCCTTCGCGTTTTTTTCTTTGGACGAGTCGAAGGAAATCGTCAAACGGGTCAATCGCAACCCAAACGAAATGTAGGGGTGGTTCGAATAAAATACAACTTTTTAACAAAAGACGGAACAGTTTAAATTTAACTTCCCTGACCCAATATTTTCTGCGACCGATAGAATTGTGGATATTTATAGACTTGGGTTTTATTTGGAATGAAATAATTTGGAAATTGCGATGGAAGAGACAACTTGTAAAAATTGGGGGACATTTAATTCCCAACTTTCTAAATCCCCGAGTTCCTAACTCATTACCTAATTATAGAAAAAACACTGCTCTTCCTCTCCGCCATTTTCCTTGAAGAAGGCTGTAGTTAAATTTATGTAGCGTATCTAAATTATCATAACCTGAATGACCCGCTGTCGATTCTATAAAATTCAGTCATTGAAGGAATTAAATGAGTGGTTTCGTTTGGATTCGAAGACAGATCAGAAACCAGAGATGGGGAAAGATAAAAGTTGGCAGTGTCAAGACGTTCGACAAACAAGAGACAGGGAAAAAATAAGGAGCTGGGACGAATATGCCGGTTCAACGATTACAAAGTTCCTTTACTCGCTAAATGCATTCCCTTTTGATCGAACGAGTCCAACTAACAAAAATTGATAAAAAAATCTACTCAGAGTTGAGCAATACCCAATATTCCTATTGTTTTAAATAACATAACATTTACTCTATTTACAACGAAATTTTCGCACGAAGAACAATATCGCGTCTCGAAACGGGCAGGAGAGATGCTCATGTTGTTCCGATAAAAAAGAAAACAAACGAACAAACAAACAAATAAACAGTTGTATAAAAAATTAAATTATCTTTACGGTAATAAAATGTACACCATGGTCTACGTAAATGCAACCACGGCACAGCCACTTGGTAAGAATAAATATTTCTTCCATTTTCAAGGTGATGTAGCGAAAGGTAACTTTAACGCCTGTGCCTGGTTGCATTCTCACAATGGAGTCTTCATATACAAGTAGAGAGAATGAAAGAAACTCGATGAGTATTACATGGTAAAACAAAATGCATTGCACTTGATCCGTGCTGTACAAATGATTCGAATAAAAGAGAAAATAGCTGTCTTTGTCTTTACATTCCGTGAACAAAACCTTAATAAACTAGAACGCACTTTCATTATACTAGAGTCTTTTACATGAATCAAAGTAATTAGAGAAAATTGCCCGATTGAACAAAGTAACCTACACGTTGGAAGCTAAATCAGGCTAAACGAGTTAAATATAAAAAAATCTTAAAACAATTGATTAGTGTATGCTACTTTTTTCATCACCGGTTATTTTCTAAACAAGAGATTCTCTAATTACGTTTGAACAGTGTAACAAACAGTTTCTTGCACGCTAAAAATCACTTAAAATATAAAATAGACGATGCCTCTACATGAAATTCTGTTTATATTCTCCTGCAAGTGCTGGTGGTTATCGTAGAAACCTTTTTTTAGAATGTGAAAAGTCCCCTGTTTTATGGAACACACTATTCAACAAAGGCATGAGTTTAAAATAGCAAGTAAAAATGTGAGATCAGGTTGAATTTTACAGGGGAAGCAATTAATGTTTGTTAAACTATCACACAGGCGAATAAAAATCCGTGTATCGAAAATAAATTAGCGATAACGCAGTTATAACACACGTGTCATGCTTTTGTTTGGTTTAAAAACCTAACCCCAAAGTTTTGGTACATGCAACAACCAGCACCGCCATCTTGTAACGAAAACGGAAAACGTACCATTGATCGAAGAATTATCACGATTATTACAACAGCTTTATTGCAACGTCCACATCCTTCTTCATTTTTTTTTCGAAGTTTATTATATGTATATTAAAATTACGCCAATCGCTGCACGATCGAAAACGCGCGGACTTTATTCTAGAAAAACGATGATACACAATCGATAACTTGTCTCTCGAAATAGTTTTATCGATCGTGCAGCGAATTTTTCACTTCTCTTGGACATGAATAGAGACAAAAATGATATTTGCATGTTCGGTATTTTTCTGTGAACTCTTCGAAATGAAATATTTTGTTCTAATAGAAATTTATATTCGTCGGTGATGCTCTGATTATTTTTTTCTCTTCTTATAATAATACCAATATGAAAAATGCTTTGGCACAATGTAAACATGGAATTCGAAGTTCACGCGATCGATATATCAACGAAAATTGTTGCCTCTATTCATTTCCCTTAGTTTAGAATTGAATTTTTTTTACATCTTACTAGAGACGAATACACAAAAATCGATATATTCCTTGTCACTCGCTCTTCGACTATTTTCTCTTTTCAAATAGCTTAAATCTGTACAATTTTTTTTCTTTTTTCTTGTTTGCGTCATGATACCCCGTTCACTTTGGAAATACGGCACACAATTATTTACACGACTTTACAAAACAGAGAGAGAACGAAAAGCATCCTCGAACTGCAACTGGCAAATCGAATTTTTCAACGTTTCGTTCACCGATTTCCCGCGTTTTGTTCTACCGCGATCTCTCGCGAAGTCTATCGAAATTATGTATAGAGGTGGTTCGTGCTTCGAACGAACCCTTATTCCGCATAAAACAAAAGAGGAACGCAACTATAGATTACATTACGTCAGTAAAAAACGAAACATTTTTTTCCCAGAGACGGTTCAGTGATTGCGAAACCATGACAAAAAAAGAAAGAAAAAGAACTGCCTAATAAATCTATATACAAAACACTGTACACCTGGGTGCGATGTAAGCTTTCTTGGGATAAAGGTTTAATACAGAGAAGAAAACTTGATCAAATACGTAAAATTCGAAAATTTATCAACCAAAAATTAACGAGTAATGTTCCTTTTCTCCTACATCGTCATTTTCCCTAAGAAAGCCTACCATGTTCACTCACTGTACATCGTCACGTAGAAACGGAAGGAATCGACAGATAAAACTTTCAAGTCAGCCAAACAAGGTAACGTTACTTACCATACACCAACGGCTGAACGAATGGGTCCGGTGGTATTTCCTTTTTAGCTGACGCTTTTGAATGTGACGGATGCGATTCTCCTCGGGATACGGACCGGACGTCGGAACGGTTTTACCGACCGATCATCGTGTTACGACGGAAACGAAACGAAACGCAAAATTCGCCGCGAAAAAACATCACCGCACTTCACTCGATCCGAGTTCGAAGATTTTTTCCGTTTTAACCGTAACAGTCCTGCCCGTTTGCGTAGGCAAGATCACAGAAACGTGTCTAAGGCTCATAGTCACCCACGGCGTAGTTTACATTTACATGTCTCTACTTTCGAGGTCCTTATCGCTAAATGCAAGTGGAGTCTGGATGCTGACTGGCAGATTTTCGTGATTTCTTCGGCTCTTTCGTCGTCAATTCCTGAGAAGGCCTTCGCGGACTACCCAGTGTAACTAACGCAGACGCTACTGCTAAACCGGCACTTTGACCAGCCGGTGTGTACGGTTCACCGCCAGTAGGCAGTCTGACTAGTAACGACAGGACCGCTGCTCTGTTACCGCAACAGGGCTCCAATGCGATCGGACTAGGGGCATCCTGCAAATATCCGTGAAAATCTTATACAAAAATGACACAATTTTACTCCCGTCCGCGTACATGTCCGCAATCCGCGACGCGTCAGCGGCAACTGACTGCGCTGCGTTAAAAACAAGTGTTCGAGTATTGAAATTGAATGGTGTACTCCAGGGATACCAACATAATGATATCTTGTACTTATCATGTTTGAGTTAAATCAATTTCAAATAAGAATTAGTAAACTGTTCGTCAATTATTTTAATTAAAATACTGTCATTGTAATTTTGAGTAGTGGTTAATAAATTAAGTATCTGGAAAATATGAAATTTGATACTGACCTTTTTCTTTTTGCGGCAATTGGTTAATTCGGTTTCACTTCGCTCCGAGTCCGAATTATCAACGTCCCGCCTTTCAATTTCCACCAAAACTTGGCTAAACGCTCTGTTTGCCATTTGCTCCATTTCTACAAAGAGTCTCTGTCTTCTTCTGTACATGTCATATTTTTGCTTAATCTTCCAGAGGACAGCAGCCACCAATAATAGAGCGAGGAAGCACCTGGGTGGTGGCATGTAATCTCTAGTTTACAAGTAAGTACTGCCTGAGGCTTAGGACAACACAAAAGCGCAGAAAATTTTGGAGAAAAATCAACAAACTAATGCTATCGGTCACTGGATTATTAATCTGCTTATAAATAATCTACTACACGCGACGAAAACAAAAGAATTAACCTCATATTTCTAAGTGTTGAATTAATAAAATCGTCATGAAGTTTCAAATACTCACGTGCAAAATGTTATGAAGAACTGCTGGAGGTTAAGTTTGGAGTATTGAGAGAAGGAGATTTGAATCCATACAGGTGGCTGAAAGTCGTACACATATACATAGAATGTGGTCAGGGTAGTGTTGTCCTCGCTACCCAAACCATAACCATCCTTGTCAAAACGATGCTTGTACATGGTCGTCGTACAGTTCACGCCGCGAAGAAGCGGTATTTCCGGTGTATTCCCCTTCTTCACGGTAATATTCATTTTTGCAAGAACGGAACAAGTAATGGAAAACTCTGCGTCGATATCTGGTTTCGGCGGAGAATTCTTAAAATTAATCGCCCTATACTGACGATCCTCCTTCTTACTTAAATTGAATGTGAATTGGAAATCGATCGCCAAATCATCTGCGAAATAATTTCCAATTTAATGTAAATACTTAATAGGAAACCAAATTCTTTTATTAGGAAGTACTTACAAAAACATGAACCCTTGTTTGTAGGATCTCCATGGTAGAGGCTAGTCACATCGCATCGTTCGCAATGGTCTCCTATAATCCCTTTCGTTGTACAGAAACATTTTCCCGTTTCGCTTGTGCAATGCGTACCTTGGTTATTACAGAAGCAAGCTGAAATCATCAAAATACAATTTACGCTACAAAAGTGGAACACATTATCTTTAGATTTATATGCCTCTAGTTCCTTAAATTGTCATATTTATATATTTTATTAATTTCTACTTTAATCAATAACTCAATAGGTATATAATTTACGTTGGCAAGTTGCTCCGTTTAAGGGACTCCCATAATAGCCAGGAATGCATTTATCGCAGTGAGGTCCATAAGTCAAATTCCCACATGGTTGAATACACACGCTACTGTTTGGAAGACACTTACTATGGCCATTGCATTGGCAAGCTGAAATTATAACACAAGCATCATTAGCATTTATACACATTAAATAATATAACGAATAAATTCTACGCTTCATCTCGGTTCACTTACTAGGACATTTGGTAAAGTACCATCGTTCGAATGGGCAAGTATCCAAGCTTCTGCTACTCGGACCACGAGCTCCACCAGGCAAGCACAACCCTTTTCCGGTTCCTGAACCGTCGTCACACCATCCACATCCAGGATCCGAACGGCAAGCGGAGCAAGACGAGTAAAAGGTACACCACTCCTTCCCAGTCTCCGTAGCTCGACATTTGGTGTCCATCGTCGTCCATTCCCGACACTGGCCATAAGGGAAGCTCGCAGGATATGCGTTCTTATCCACGCATTTCTTTTCATTCTGACACCAAATGCAATCCGATTCTGTACAATTTTTGCAAGAGGTGTACTCCACGCACGGACTACGACAAGAATCTATGGACAGTCTTTGCGCCTGAATAGTTCCATTTAGAATGGTCACCTGCTATAAGGATTCGTGGTTAAATGGATATCTGGTTCGCGATTCTCGATTTTCGTTTGCGTACTTACTTCACGAGCTTTCGAATATGGCTTACACCGGTCAGGTCCATTGGACCACGACCAGATGCAACGGGGATTGCTAGAACATGCGTGACACGTGTGCAACTGCAAGCATTCGATGCCTGTATGCGCGTCGCACTGTTCCAAACGACTGATCGCCTTGGTCGAAGGTGCGTTTGCATTATCTCGGCAGATCTCGTGCGAGCAACTTTTGCCACACCACACGCAGTTGTACGAGGTTTGCACGCACGCCACGCAGTCCGTGAGCAGCTTGCATAATTCCTTGTGAGACGTCATTCCTCGCGGAGGCGTGTCGTCCAAGCATCTCATATAAACTCCGTCGTGCATGTCGTCGTTAAGGAGCACGTGTCTGGATATCTTAGTAATTTGTATACATCTATTCTCACGCTTATCCCATACGCACTTCACGCCTATTCTTGCATTCAAGCACTGGTTCTGATTTGTTAAATGCTCGCAGTTGCCTGGGGTATATCTAAAAAGTCAAGGGAATATAACACGACATTCAACGAGTTATAAAAGTGCGTGTCGTAGCTACAAGGCTACAATCTACACGTGATATCAAACAAGAAAAAGATATACCTCAACATGTCAGACAACATCTGACCATCGAATCCCCCGTAGATGTACATCGATTTCTCGAACACAGTCGCGCTGTGGCCGTACCTGGGCAAGTCAGTCATCTCTTTGGGCATAGGAAACTGGTGCCACGAGTCGCACGTAACATCATACGCAATCGTGTCCGCGGAATAACACCTAGTTCCATCCGAATGCTGCGTGTCGTTGTGCATGTTACCACCAAAAACGATCATCAAACCCCCAGAGACGAAGACAGCCGTATGAAAGAACCGTGCAGACGGAGCAGACGTGAGCAAAGTCCATTCATGATGATTCGGGTGATAAGAGTACAATCTGTTGGTCAACACTTGCGTGCTCTGCGACTCGGACACGTAACCGCCGTACACGTAGATCAGATTGGTTAAGGGATCGTAAGCGGAAGTGTGACCGTAACCACCTTTCACGGGGAAACCAATCGTTTCAACGATTTGCCATTCACGGGTACCTAAGTAGTATTCTTGGACTACGTTTAAATAACCGTACTGAGGCGAGTAGCCAAATATCACCACCATTTTCTCCTTCCTTCCATGGCCCTGCACTAAAGTTGCAGTATGTCCGGCTACCTGTGTAAATGAATACATTAAGTAAGAACGGTTGAATATTAAATGTACAGTGAACTGCAAAATTAGCTACCTTTAAAGGACCGTGCATAGTTTTGTTGTTATGATAGTTGTCGTGTACAGTAACGTTCTCCCAGACTTTGGCCGACACGTCGAACGCCCAGATCTCGTTGGTCACCGTAGAATTTTGCAAGACACCACCGTACATGAATATCTTATCGCCGAAGAGCACGCACGAGTGAGCGTAACGCGGAAGAGGAACCTTTCCTTCGACGTGCGGTGTCTCCCAAACGTTACCGTTGTAATCGTAAACGTATATCATCTTGGCGCGATGGAAGCTCTCGCCACCGACCACGTACAGGGAATCCTTCCAAACGATGGAACAATGACTAGCCGACCCTTCTGGCGAGAAGTCTGTGTACGACACGCTCTCCCAAAATCCGCGGTCGCTCTTCTGGCTGCAATCTGAACCTAAAACGGTATAGGTATGAGTAACGTCTGCAAATACATAAGGTCTCAATGGCGTTTAATCACTTGGGAAAATAAGATTGACAACATTTATCATTGAGACTAGAACAACAGTGAGTAACTAAGACGTTTTAGATGGTAACCTTGATAATATATGTCAAGTTCAATATGATCGAGGCTCTTTTGTCAACAATTACCTGGGAACTTCGATGCTCACCTTTGAAGCCATGAGCGCAGTCACAGTGATGGCTCTCGCGGTTACACTCGCCTTGCCCATAACTGTGTGAGCAATTATTAGGGCAAACTTGAATCTCGCAGGCCTCGCCGGTCCACGTGGCGTCACACGTGCACACACCATCGATACACACACCATGGCCGGAACAGTCGATATGCGAATACCTGCGGATGACAAAGCGTGTACACATGGAAGCCAGATAGGTTGAGCAAATCTTTAAAGAGCACACCGCATGTTTGATCATAGAATACATAATATACACGCTTATCGTGTTTGCATTGGAGGTTGAATAAATATTTAATCATTCGGCAAATATCGTTGCAGGAAGAAATTCGACATAGAGTAGCACGAATTGAATCCGCAAAAACGCAACCGGCTGATCTTGAGCGTGCTCTCCTGACCAGGGACAACAGGTTATCGGAGATAAGATAGAGCACATTCGTTCCTCGTTCCTAACACATGATGTCAACTCAATAAAATGGACGCTTAATCGCGAGATACCACGGCGCGAATGGGATCAACAGATACACGTTCTGATCGACTGAAAAGCCGATTATTCCTTGGCCTATTCGCGATCGAATATGTCAGAGTTCATACAAAACAAGTCTAAAGATGTATATTAATGTAAGTCTAAATGTATAACGCGGAATACCGCCGTTAATCGCTTTAGCTCCAAATATTTATTCAGCTTTGTTTAACGCATCAAACGTTAATAACTTTATGAATCATTAGTGATACAGGAATTTAAAGGCGTACAAATTTATTCATCGCGCCAAGATAGGTATTGTAGATATGGCATCGTATTCGCAGGATCGAAAAGAGAGAGCCGGCAGATCATTTACCTGCTGGGGCAGGCGTTGATTTTATAAGTGATATTGAAACCGCTCATGTTATACGCGACATCCGAGAAGAAGTGTAACAGAGCGCTTCCGGAGCGGGCGATCACTTCCGGCACTCTGCGTATGTGATAACCATCTTTGTGCATCAAGCCCGAGAAGACGGCAAGCAAAGGAGCCTCCACGCTGTCACCGTCGTAGATGTACAGATGATCCCAACCGCATTCCGTCGCGAACTGCTCCACGTGCATCCGTATCGTGGAATTCGGGTTGTTCTCGATCAGCCAGGAACACCGCACGTCCGCCGTGTAGTTGCCGATACCGTCGTGGATGTAGCCTGTTGGACCCGTCAGTCTGCAAGACAAAGAAACTTTATCAATCTCGAACACCTGAACCAGCACATAATAATTGATCGACCACGAAACTGCTGTCTGATTGGCAGGGTATTTAAACGTTCCATGAGTCGATTGTCCAGTGAAGATTAAAAGTGTCATAAAATTAAAAAAAGTCATTTTGAAAATTGTAACATTTGTAAAACGATAAGTGTACGTAAGAAACATGACTAACGTGGCACTAAAAATGTTAAAGGGGACTTCAAATCGCAATCGAGCCTGTTATGGTGATAGCTTTCAAAACCCAAGGTCTCTTAATGCCTTTTAACTGTTCTTTATCTATTTTATTTTAACGGAGATTGCGACTTAGCAGCCTAATTGCATCGAAAACCACAAATTACAGACGATTGCACAATGTTCAAGGCTTGCGGTGCAGTATCGACGTCCCTCGGCTCTTATCAGCGGGGACAATGCAAGATCACGCACGATAAACGCAGAGAAAAGAACGCGAGAACTGCCTTCTTTATCTTCCGTCTGCGTCGAATATGCCATAGCTTTTCATTTATTTGAATCGCAATGGCGTCATTTAAATTGGAAATTGCAAGTTTCTTTACAAGTGAAAACAACCGGGCTTTCCCCTCTTTGTAACGGTATGCAAGAAAATGAAACCGTTACAAAGATAACACAAATTGAAATTTATAATACTGTTCTGCATAAAATTTAGCTATCGCTGCTATCGTATCGCTTGTTTTTCCTTTGGTATATTTATGTATATCGCTTCATTTATGTTTTAAAAGCCTATTATCGATTACTAGATCCCTGTATATCCAGATCTTTAGATATCCGTGGCTGGATCAGAAGATAAGCAAATCCCACTGTTGTTAATAAAGCGAAAAGAGAATCAAAAAGTCTCGACGCTCAGTTTCGTCGTTCTCGAGGCGCCTAAGCCAAGGACGATGTCCGTGTGGATAACACGAGAGGAAAGCGTTTCGTGGTCGTGATAACGATAAAGCTTGGACACAGACAAAAGAGCAAAGTGATCGAACAGAGTCGAGCGCTAGATAAGCGTCAATCTAAATCACAAAAGCCTGGAGTTTCAGCGATACATCAAGATGCGTCTACAAAGTGAGCTGACCCTTTTGCGAACACGGAGCACGCTGTGCAGTAGAGGATATTGTTCGTTTAATTTAAGCGGCTGTTTCTCTTTCCAATGAATTATGAATTTAGAATGTCTACGTAAGAAACCATGTGGTCGGACAATTTCGAAACCCGACACGAATTCATGACATAAAGGTACCACGGAATATCGCTCCTAGCATATCAATTTGAAGCTGAAGGTCTGAAACGTTCGGTATTCTTAATTTATATTGCCTCTTTGTTGGAACGCGTCAACCGATTTACATTTTGGTATTGTTAAGCAGAATCTTGTGTTGAGAACGAAACGTTTATACAGTTGTTTTCATGGAACTGATGTGTTTCTCATATTTTTGTGTCATGAAATCTTGTACGTTTCAGTTAATCGTTTAACCAGCTAATCATTTTAGAAGAGAAAATTTATGTAGTCATTTGTCACGCTTTAGAATGTGCCATTTTGCAATGCCTTTACATAACGCACGCTTATGTACATACATGTTTATAAATTGCAGTGATAATTTCCTTGACACACGATTACCAAAGGGTTAACGTTTGAACTACAAAAAACTCGCAACTGGAACATCGATGTTGCAAAAGAAAAATACATGCGAATGAGAGACACCTGTGCCATTATCGGGCAAACGCATTTATAGGGACGATTGCGTGTAGAAAACGGATGCGTATTGTCGAACAGCAACGTTCGAGGAATAACAATACGTTGGCACCGATAATGCAATGCAAAAACAAGAAAAAATGATGGAAAAAGCTGAGGCGAGGAGAGAACAGGGGTACGATGTAACGAGCGAAGTTTCGTTCCACGTAAATTCTCATCGGTGATTTACGACACTAACACGTGTCGCGGACAGAATGGCTGACATTAATATTTCAGCGCAAAACATTTTTGCGCCTGGATTACAGCGTGGTCGAAAAACGGACCTTGTGAGCTCAAATAATCATGAGACAACCGGGCGACAATCTTAGGAAATATTGCAGTTATAACGGGTAACACGTGGCAACCCAAAAAGCTTGCATTAACACTATAAGCGTGAAAAATATTACAAGTTTCCAAATTGTGGCAATACATGTGGTCATACAATAATTTTCTAACAAATGTTATCGACGTTAATCCATGACCGATAGTTTGATTAAATTTCTTTGAGTCACCATATAGATATCATACTGATTCACGAATTTATCACTGAGCAAACATGTTTATACGCGGAATCCTTTGTCCCCATATCAATTTAACCCACTATTATCAACTAATTAACCGATCCGTTTAATTAGAAGATCTACTTGAACAGGTTAACCGATATTCTGAAAATTATACGCGTTTACGGGAGAGCGGGTTCCATAAAATGCATCGGGGCAATAAACGCACGGTATTTCTGTCATTTCGAATATTGGTCGGTGCTTCGGACACGCGATCCATTAATTATTGCGAGCGACGTGTTTCCACTGGTGCCAGAAATAGAGAAAATATTAGAAACATTGTGTGCCTGCGTAAGGCAATCAATCTCTGAAATTGGAATACTATTGGTACCCGACAAATCATTTAATAATTCTTCCGTGTATGACTAAAATTTAAAATCGTATACTAAATTATTCTACCAATTTAATTTCAATTTCCTAGCAAGGATTAAAAAATTCCGTCGTAGGAAGTGCGAGTCGTTCACCGCTCGAGCACAAGATCTAATTACTCCAGACAGTACAACGAACCTAGACGAGACGGCGCAACCCTGAACAATTTACACCGTGCAGCTAAACCGGCGATGGGCAACTGCCCGCGGCGCACGTGTAAACAGTTTCCAACAATAAGTTTTCTCGTTGACTTAAACCAACGGATTGGTACAAAAAAGAAATCTCGGATCCATTAACCTTCCCCAATGATAATCGATTCGATGCTTCTGCTCTCCGATGTTCCTCCGTTCATCGACGAGTATTATATAAACTTTCAGTCCGTTCATAATTCAATGATAGGATAGGACGCGGATAAAAGTAACCGGACAGAGAAACCGGCACGGTGCCACTGATTGCGCTCTAGCAAGAGTCGACGGGAAGACGTAAAAGTTCGCCAATTTTCGCGTGAAAATTCGCGCATCGACTTCCGAGAGAATCGGGCCGCTTGTCGGCTTCGCGAAACGATCCTGAATTCTACCGGTTCCGAAGCCGGTTTTTGTTTGCGCTGCCCGGTAGCTTTTCGTTAAACACCGACAAGCTTTGCTTTTCACATTTTTCATTATCTACAAAAGTTAATTCTTTCCTTTCTTACTGATAATATCACTTCGACATTACAATTACAAAAAGAAGCAGTTCGATCTGTGAATGACTAATACCATTCTGTTTGACATGTTCTGAAGTCGATAAAAATAAAACTGTATATCTTATCTTGTTAATTGTTCGACTATCTTGTTACTCGAGGAGATTAAATAAAGTCACGTGTCTCATACGACTATTGTATATTACTATCCATTCTGTTATACAACCGCTTACTGTTGTTACTATTTCACTATTCTATTAAGACAAATAGTCTCCTATTTAAAAGGATGGTTACCGCACCGATCTCCATTAATCGGATTATTAATTATTAGTGATTATCATTCAGTGACGCTTGTCCTTGTTTCCTCGCAGTTTGATACCGTTTGAATAACTGAATCGATACCCAATAAATGCATAAACCCATACCTTCGCAAGTTACCCCGGGATTAATTATCACGATTCAGAGTTAATCACTGTTCCCGTTGTACTGAATCATTTTAATCTCGGATTAACGGACATTCGCAAGTGACTCCATAATCATCAATAAGGATTGTAATGAACGTTATCAAATGTATGAAATGCCTTGCGAGATATAGCGAGGTCGTAAATTAATGACGTCCAGCGAGATCAAAAGCCCGAGATACGCTGCGTTCTGCTTTATTTTCTTTCAATGCGTATAACGATGAGTGAATTGACTGCCGATCGTTGCAATACAACTGGAACGGTAACCGATAAAGTACTTTCAGAAATTCCCCCACTTGGATCTTGCAATTGACGCTCTGACAGTTCAATAAACCGCTTAATAATACACCTGAGCCAGATATACAGGTATTTCTAGTCGTATAATTAGCACAGCTCAAACTGGAACAAGGTGTCTGAACAGGTATAGACTAATGAACCAACATTGTCGTGTCACTGTTCCTGACCATCACAGGAATTGTGTTTACATTGCAGATGAGTTACGCAGGAATAATTTATCCGTGTGACGTTCAAAGAAATCGCGTTTTGCGTACAATCAGCGTAAGCTGAACCCCTCTCAGGTTATTAGCTCATTGTCAGTATTTTAATCTACAGAGTGATTTACGACCTTACTATATCGCTGTGAGTCATGTACACCATACTTTGACACTCCTAATCATTGTTTAGAATCGCCAGAACTTTTATACCAAATTAGACACGCCTTAATTTCTCCTTGTTATGTAAATGGTCTGATTAAAGTTGCATATAAATTCGAATCTATGAATTATGTATTTACGAAATGAAAATTAAAATATCGGTGACTCGCTTTTGTTCGACACATCAAGGACATGTTGAAATCCTTCCTCCTCGTTAGTCAACGACGGACATAAAATTAAATAAATGGACACGATTCGTTTCAACGTCTACGGATATGTTCTCGTGACGAAGAACGCCCCCTTTCTTCCCGCTGTTTTGTTTCGTGCTGGTAACCTCGCGCATTAACACGGCCCGGAGGCGCGGTTTATTTTCAGCGCCAATTATTCATGAGTACACGATGAAATTTTGAAACGCCATCTCCCCTCGTTGAATCCAGGTTAAGTCGGCGATTGTAAGATTCTTCAGTCGATTGATCGACGTCGTAGAACTACTGCTAATCGAACGTATCTAAATTTTAAACTTTCCTCTGACACTTAGGTAGAACGTGGGCTTCCTGCGGATAAGGACGAACGTGGAGTCGCCAATCACTCGGGATTTTCTTTGCAGGTATAGGATTTCTCTGCCAATAAAATCATTTCTAAAAAGTGTATAAACGTGTTAATTCAGTAAATATGTACACTCATAATTTAATAAGTATATGCCATATATTTATAAATAATAAGATTTTCACACCTGACTTTGTAGGAGTTTTGTTAACAAACATGTATACCAATTACATAACCTGCAAAGCATAAAACGGAAGTGTACATACATTAAAATACAAGAGCTGGTTAATAAGTGCATATAATAAACATCGATATAACCGAGGAAAATTGGCAAGAAAAATTTCAGAAACGATACACACGCCATTGTTCTCTTATCCGATACAATAGAAATATCAATTGTCACTAATACGAGATATGATATCGTAAAAACTTCGCGCGGAAAAAGTATAATAAAATGAAAAAACAAATGTGTAAGTGAGAATGAGAAACGTATACTTATGTACAAAACTGCATGGCAATCATTTCAGTGGAATCGTTGTCAATGACCTCAGCCCCGCAGACTTTACTTCGAGTTGCTATTATCGATAATGTTATCGTTAAATATCGATAAAACCTACTTTTAACCAATGCAACTTGACCTATCGATATCTAACAGATTTAAATGGTAAAACCAAATCTAACCCATCTGGCACAAAATCTTATTATTCAAATTTAATTAGTCCTGCTTGAAATCAGGTTAGGTTATATTTAAGCATTAAATAGGAATATATAGATTACAATGGCCGAAGTGTACATTGTTTTACTTTGGTCATATGGTCAACGATACGTTAGCGATATATCGATGTAAATCGATAATCGATAGCGACACCTCTGAATTCTAATATAGAGACTGTGAAAGTCAAGTTTCGATCTACCGAAAGATGCGTAACCGGTATATTATTAGTAGGAAAATAACAAGCAACAGTAACTGCCATTCTTTAAAAAAAGGAGTATAAAAACAAAACGAAATGGAAACGTTGTGCATGGTCGCGACGCAAAACGTTTCTTGGTTGCGTCTCGTGCGCAGGGTCGAATTTCAAAACGACGGAGACAAATGCAACATTTCGCGTCAAATTTCAGTGCAATTGCTCAACGCGCACCAAGATGCCGACCATGCCTACGCGGCTTCTAGAATAAACATTGTACGAGCATAATTGGATATCTTCAAAGAGAATAGAAGAACCCTTTCGCGGCGCGTTAGCGCGACGGTGATTCGAAGCGCGAGTGAAAAGCAAAGAGAGAGAAGCAGCAAAGCACCCTTGACAGTGGCGGAAACCGTAGTTTCCCTGTCAAGTTTAAAGCCGTCGATCGATCGACGACGTAAAATCTAATCCCCTGTACTCGAGGCACGAAACGAAGAGCCAGACAACCCCGACCAATTTCCGCGGTCACTGTCCCGTTAGATTCGTCAGTGTCCCGATTACTCTTCACCGTCAACCGGGGCCGCATCAGACAATGACCGAACTGTGTTCCCCTTCCAGAGGTCTATCGGACGCGCACGGGAGAGCAATTAGATCCGAGAAATCCGCGCGTACGCACGTTTGCGCTTTCCCGCTTTATTTACGCGATTCCGGAAACGAATAAGACCGAGACCGATTCTCTTCCGTCGAACTCCTACACCGATTCCTGGTCGACCTAGAAAACCATCGATATACCGTTGCACACGCTAGACAAAATGTACAGTTAATTGTGTCAAACGGTCTCCACACACATTCGCAAGAACAGGTTCCAAAATTTGAGGACACCAAAACATACATATTTATAGATGTTTCAGGTCTGGAACGCTACGCAGAATGCTGCAACTTAGAATATACTAAACCCGAAATGCTTGAAGTTTGAAATTTCAAACTCGGAACACGAGTTCGAAATGCTTCAAACTTGAAACAACTCAAACTTGAAATGCCTGAAACAGTAAGTTCGAAATGCTGCTGAGAACGATTTAAGTTCAAAGTGTCCCGAACTGGGAATGCTTTAAACTTGAAACGCTTCAAATTTAGGACGTTTATAAATCTCACGAGTACTCCAATAATACTATGCAAACGGCTCCATAAAAATTGCAATAAACTTTTCATAGATCGCGGAGCCACGTTCCAGAGAACACTGTGAACTCGTGTCTTATGCCAGCCCTGCAAACCGTAGCGGCACGTACGATTTTGTCGAGCTTTCTCTCCACCGACCGTCTGTATACACGGAAGATCAGATTCCCGGCAAGAAGCGGAAGAGAATGAAACTGGCATCAGCTTGCGCGTTCTCGCTCACCTGACTTTTCCGGCGCAGAATTGACACGCCGAGCCCTGCCAACCCTCGTGGCACACGCAGGTGCCATTGACACAGTCCCCGTTGACGCAACTGTCCGTGTCGCAGCTCGTATCCGTCGTCAGCGACGACGAAGAGGTGGAGGCTGCCGCGGTTACGTGCACCACCCAACAGATCAGCGCCGCCCACAGTATCGGCCACGGCACTGCAATTACACCGCACTGATCGCGTACCACCTCACGGCACTGCCCTTTCCGACGGTACTTCGATTTATATAGGAACAAAAACATCTGCACGACCTCTGCCATTTTGATGGGCTTCCATGTCAGAGACAATGGCCGACGGCGATGCACCCAACGAAATACATATGGGCACTTCTGTCTCGCGTTTCGATGCAACTCGTTAACTCACTGCGCGATCCCGTAGTCGAGAGTGTGCGGTCGCCACCGCGCGGCTCCCACGGTGTCGCAACCACGAATTACACCATCTAGCAGAGAGAAACATAGACTGTTAGTTGGCTACTTGTTTCTGACATTCATTGTTATCTAGAGAAATCGTTGCGTGGCGCCACTAACGACACTTGCGATTGGCGCAGTGCACCCGCGTAATTCAAAATCTTTTCCAAATATATTATTCCGTGATGGGAGAAGATAGTTCGCTTGCGCTATGTCGCTAACTTCAGTAGATTTTTCGTAAGGCAATATTATCTCGCATCCGTATACTCTCTGCTTCGTCAGATATATACACGGTGAACAAAAATTATGTACATAGCAAGTACAGAACAAGATAATGTAACTGCATAAAATAAGAACACCAGATATATATGCGCAGCATCGTAAATGTTGTTAATACGCACGCGTATTACTATTGGTAACATATCATTAGATCCAATCAGAGCAGACCTGCGCAGCAAGAACGAAAACTCGTCATTCGATAAGAACCATTATGCATGAAATGTACAATGTAATTGTATATCAAATGTTTAATAAAAGCTGCAAGTACAATAAGAATATACATTTCTCTGTAGATAGCTTGACTGTATTTTTGACAAATATCGTTCGTAACTAAATGCGATGCTACCCATCTAGTTTCCCACTTGTTCTGTCGATTGCCAACAGTTCACTGAGTTTCGAAGAATTGAATGGTTATCTATCGCGAAAGTAGTAATGCGTAAATTCGAGCTACGACAGTAACCGAAGCAACTTCACCCGATAAGGTTGCTCTTTTGTTAAGATTACAAACTTTTCAAACTTGCGCACCTATTAGTATGTAATTTATCAAGAATTTTTGCACTAGGACATGTGGATTTGCTTTCTACGAACACATCATAGTCCATTACTTATCAGTTAACATATGCTTACTAAATCAGATCTGGAGAATCATCGAAACTTTAAAATAAGCTGATATACAAGTAAGTTGATGAACGATTACATTTCAATTTAAAATACAGTATTTTTATATGCAATTAGTAACAGATTATTACATATTATTTATGGTATCTCAAAATCAAATTATAATTTTTGTCTCACCTCAATTAAAAAATGTTAAAAGATGTTTAAATCATATGTTTCATATTAATATATTACTAGATACCTGTACCTGTTTGAATCCCATCCTTAAATCCCTGCACCCTATAGTCGATAAAGTACATTTCAAGAACAGAAACATATTTACACCCTGTTAAAAAATGTCAGGGAGAAAAGGAGGGAAAAAAGGGAAGAGAAAGCGCGTGAACGAATTAGAACTTCGTAGGCAGTTGAGGAAACGGGGACGAGAAATTTCTGATTGGGACGAAGACGAAATGATACGACAGGAAATGGTGGATCTTTCAAAATATGCCGATCAAATTAGAATTGGCGGGATTGAAGGGTGAGGAATTGAAAGTCAATTCGCATTTTTTATTTAATCATTTCGTACTAAATTTTGCATAAATTTAAGTATTTATAGTTTTTTAAATTTTATTATAACAAATACCAAGAATCATAGCTATGTTGAAATATTTTAAATGCTTCCTTGAAACACTTCGAGGAAAAGATAAACTGCGATGTAAAAAATTATAACACGTAATGTTTCTTATCAGATTACCAAGTTCTTATCATAAACCAAAAATAATTAGAGGATGCGCATTTATTATCGGTGTTTTATGCAAACAGAGATTTCTATGAAGGATGTAGTGTTATCAGAAATATAAAGTTAAACAGTTTTTTTGATTTTACACGCATGCGCATGAGTATTTGCTTTAGAACACTTTACAGCAGAATTCGAATGTATACGAAACAAAGATATTTTATGATGTACTTTAATTGTAACTAACTTAATTTTAACAAGCCATTCATGCGATTTGCTTTTAATATTTATATATGTGTAATTTCTTCTTTATATTCCAAATAAGAATTTAACAAAATGTCAAATAACAAATTCGTATTATAATTTCTACAACCTTCAGCGGCTCAACAAGTTCTACGCTTATCATTATCGATGCTCAAGGAACACCGTTAACGGAAGTTAAAGGGCCATGTACCAACCACTGGGTAATGTCTTAATGAAATACTTCGCTCTGATGCCTCGATAGACCAACAATGTAATTTGACAATTTTTTTTATTTTTATCTGAACAAATAATATTTTTAATCAGTCCATTGGTATGGAGGAGACTGCTGCCAGGATCAATGCAATGGTGGAGAAAGGAAAGCAAAATCTGGAAATACCCGAATCAGTCCCTTTAAACTGCTTGGTAAATGTTATATACTAATTGCTGTAATTTTAACAAAATTGTCGTAGTAATTAATTTTTTTTATTAGGGCCTTAGTCTAACTGGATGTGAAGAGGAAAACACGAATCGTTTGCTGATAGAAACCATAAAAAATACGTATCCAAACATTGCTAAATATTTTGTAGTAAGCTCGGATACATTGGGTAGTCTTAGGACCGGTTTACCAAACGGCGGCATTGTTCTCATCGCTGGAACAGGTAGCAATGGGTTGCTGATTAATCCTGATGGAAAAACTATTGGATGTGGTGGATGGGGACATATGTTAGGAGATGAAGGCAGTGGTGAGTGTTATGATCGCGATGATCATCCGTGGCAAAAATGGTATATTATAATTTGAATATTCTACTACCAGCTTATAAAATCGCTCATCAAGCGTGTAAATACGTATTTGATGAGGTGGATGGTTTAGCACCGGCCCCAAAACCTATAAGTTACGTATGGCCTGCAATGAGATCGTACTTCAACGCACCAGAATTAAAAGACATGTTACCGCACCTATATACGAATTTCAATAAAAGCGTGTTTTCAAACTTCGCCAAAGAGATTGTGATCGGCTGTGAAAAAGGAGATCCTCTTTGTTTATATATTTTCCGACAAAATGGTGAACTTCTTGCGAAGCACATTCTGGCGCTTTCGAAAAAAGCCCATGCTGTGAGCAACTACATATTTACCTGAAAATTACCCGTATATTGTATAAGAAAATGATTGATTTCTGGAATTTTCTAGGACCTTAAATTAGAGCATGGAGGGCTGAAAGTCATTTGCGTAGGATCTGTTTGGAAGTCGTGGCATTTTATGAAAAATGGTTTCCTGGACACGATTCACGATTCGCGTACATTGGACGAATTGAGTTTATACCGATTAACGACATCGGCAGCAATAGGAGCTTGTTATCTTGCCGCAGAGAAAATCAATTGGATATTTACGAAACCCTATGAAAAAAACATGGAAAAATTCTTTCATTATAAACGAGTGAACTACGTGAAGTCAGTGGAAGCGCTACCAGAACCCGAAACAAAATTCGTTACTTGCGGTGGCAAAGGAAATTAATATGAATTTATAAAAAAAAAATTACAATAGAAAGGTATTAGACAGTGTATGTGATACCAAAATATAAAAACTGTACAATTGTTATGGATGTTATATTGATTCTGTTTTATATATCATTGTTAAATAGTTATGAAAACGTTTTTTATACGTCACTTTTAGAGACTACTTTCTTGTAAACGAAATGAACTGAAATATTTTTATATACATAAAGTATACAGATGTACTAAAACAATCTTTCTGTATAGCTGTCTTTTACATGACCTGTTGAGCAATTTCCTATTCATATTATAGCACTTCCCTATCATAAGAAAATATATTGCTTCATAGGTAAAACATACTAATCCCATGCATTGCAGTATTTTTCCACTGATGTGATCTGTGTTATATTGCTACGCGTTAGATTACTGCTGAATTCTCATTCGATACATTTTATCTCTTCAATTGTTCGTTCAATTCATTGATAATAAAAACATACCGTTCCGAAATACGTACATCGAATACGAAATGTTATTTGTCAAACCTTTCTTCCAACTACTCCTGTACCGAAAAAAGAAAAATGATACTAAAGAAAATTTGGGATTGCTTATCGTACACGTTTTGTTTTGTTTTTAAAACAGCGGTATATTTTTTCCTTATTTCCGTCGGTTTAATATTTTTTATCGTATTTTCAAGTCTCACAGCAGTCGTGGTTCTGAGTCTGCTGGGTTACGAATTTGTGTCAGATGATCGTGACTGATTTAAAGAGAAGGTACTTATCCATCAATTTGTTATCGTTTATAAATTAAGGTGTACTGAAATGATAACAGCAGGAATGAAATGATATATTTAAAGTCAAATGTAACAAGTATTTGAAAAATATATTTTAACATTATATCACAATTTATTGTGTACATTTTAATCTTCGTAATGTGAACGCACATTGCTCGGATTATACCGCACAATTTTTCTAGTATTTTATATAAAGAACTGATTTCATGTTTATTTTAATCACTCAATATCTTTACTTCTTTTTTGAAATAAAGAAATATTTTCCTTTCATTGAACATGAATATAGAACTTGGCATAAGTATGTACAACAAGTACTCTTTCTTTAGGTATAACAGTTTAAGGTACATTCGTCAAAATATACATAATGTTTTCAACAATCATTATTATGTTAATACACTATTTGTATGTATTTATCCCCGACACATAGACAAATTGACACAACACGACGAAATACTTTTTTGTATAATCTCTGGCTGTCATGAAGTGCAATGCGTCAATGTTCTCAACGCTTATGTTCATATTTTACAAGCGAAGACTCTTCTAATTACAATAAACTTTTTCGTATTCTATGTAGGAATTAACTCACTAATTTTTACAGATATTTCAACATGATTTCATTTAAACATAAAATCTGGTACAATTAAATTTCTTTCTATAGATTCATTTATACAACTCGATCCTTTATATACATAAACTGCGTATAGGTACTCCCAATCATAAACTCTGATTTCATACAATTTGTACAAGTTCTTTAAAATGTTATTACGACACGTTATACACACATGCAATAAAGCTATAACAGCATGTTTTTAACTTTGCTATTTAAAGAAGTGTTAATCAGGAAAGTTCCGAGATTAACCTTTTTGTATTATGTACATCGAACGAACTTCAATGTTTCAAATCAAATATTTCTATAAGCAATGGCTCTACTCTTGATGGATTCAAGTTAAGGTAAACTCCAACAACTTCGTTGTTCAGTCTATGAAGATCAGAGATCTTCTGGATTAATTTTAGAAACATGGATTTGGCCTCGCACCCAGGGTATATACTTTCCAAGTAACGTCTGAGCAAATAATAATAAGAATTCTGCAACAAGGATACATTAATAAAATTTCTTCGCGAGAGTTAATGTTTAAAATAAAATTGCAATGCTTACTTGTTCTAATTTGATAACATCATTATGCACCACTTTTGGCCTATCAGGTGTAAATAAAGCAATTGCACTTAAAATTAAGATAATATTCTCATCCCTCCACCTTGAATCAAAATTTCTGAGAAACCTCGTATGCTCGGCATAGAGGTTTCCTTTCGCTTCTTTTAAAATATCTACTTTTATATTTGACATGCTTTCTTGACTGTGCGGAATGCACCACATATCTTTTTCAGCGTCGTAACTGAGCGCCGATCTAAGAATCATCATTTCTGTGCATCCGCCTTTTAACAAAGCTATCTGATCTTCTTGACACATGTTTTTAAAGGCATTTATTTTCTTCGCCATCTTTATTAAGCGTCTAATAGCGATGGCTGTTAGATTTATAACGTCCAATAACGCTGGGTCCGATCGACCGAAATTATTCTGTAAATCAACAAATTTCAGTAATTTTATAATTCTTAAATGCTTGAAATTATTTTTAAGTTACAATAAATATTACCTTAAATTTACAATCTTCCCCAATTAAATTTGTTATATCGTCATCTAAAGGAGCTAATAATGCTTTATTAGCCACTATTAATTCATTTAATTTTGCTCTTTCAGCATCATTTAATTCTCTTCTGGTCTCCATGCCACCAAGAGCAGAATACGCTGAAAATTCTAGTTTAATTGCTTCACAAAGAATTGATTCAATGGAGTTTGCAACAATTGGTACTCTAGAAAAGAACAAGCGACGTAAATGATGTACAATCTTATTTTTGTCGATTTTAAATAAATTTGTATTGCATTTCTTACCTCTGTACATCTTGAAGCACGTCTCTCGTAACATCTGTTACGTTTTTATTCCAATCGCTACTACTACTAGGTTCGTCGCGTTGCTTTAAACATTCTTCTTGATTACAACTTGTAATTAAATCTGTCAAAATTGGATTTTCTATATGTCTCTGTTTCATTTTGAATGCCGGCTTAAATTTATGATTTGGAATACTAGATTTTAAATCATTTTTATAATAAAGGTTTATCTTGTTCTCGGGTAAAGACTCTTTTTCCACAATAGCTTTATCTTCCTTGAAAAACTGTGAAATTTCAGGATCTGCCTCTAATTTACTAATAACAGCAGGGTCTGACATAATCTTTAGAAGCAATTCTTCATTTTGAAATATTTTTGTAATGAAGTTGGAATTATTAACAAGCTTTACAATTATAGTAGGATCTTGGCTAGATTTAGTAACTGAATTTTCTCGTGGACATGTTTCTTTACTTGATTTCTGACATGTTTCTGAGTCTTCTGTACAAGTTTGCATACCTGTATGCAATTCTGAAGTTATGTCCAGATTCATTCTTCTAGAATGTAACATATGGTTACTGTATGGGGAATTCTGTATGGGACTATGATCAAATTTATTGTAACACGATGCACTATCAAATTCAGGAGAATATTTTAATGATTCACTATTGGTAGAATCAAAATCTGAATTTAAATCTAAAGTGTTTTGTTCAAACCTTCTTGAGCTTATTACAGACTTATTATCCTTTTCTAAATGATAAGGGACAGATTTGAGCTTATCAAATCTTTGTTGACTTTCTATGGGAGAATCTGAATCGACTCTTAATCTTTCCACATCTGTTTCATTTTCTTCGTGTTGCGAAGAGGAATGATCATAATTCTCTACATTAGAATTGCAATTATGGGAAGAGTTCTTCATCATGTCAAGAGTTTTCGATCCACTTATAGTTCCGTTTTCTGGAGGACTAGAAGGACTTGGAACACTTGCAGCTGTTACTGGGCTTAAACTTTTTGTTGCAGTTTGTCTGTTTGCATCTAAGTCTGTATATTTTCTATCAGATTCCCAGAAATATGTATCCGATACAGTCGATGCAACTGAGTTAATTGACATAGAAGTGTCATCAAAGGTACATTCATCTATACAACCCTTTTTTGTTTTTGATGGTTTAGAATTATCCAAAGTAGGTCGTTTTTTTGCACGATTTTGTTCTATCTTTTGTCTCTTCAATACCTTATCTTCTTCTGACATAATATACTCTTTTCTCATACCTATACTAAAACATTTGTCTAAGCGACATTTCTGACAGAAACGTCTGGTTACTGGAGTAATATTACAGTTTTGTGTAAAGGGACATCTGAAATCCTGTAAACAGAATAATCTTAATTAGTTATAAAGATCTTTGATGATATGTAAAAATGTATTCATCACTTAACAAATAACTTAACAAACTATGGATACTAATTTCTTTCGGTTGTCCTGTTGATTCATGATCATGATTTAAGTTAAGAAAATAATGACTGCTGTAAACAATAACAAAAATACAAGTGATGCATAATATGTAGACACCTTATTTTTCAAAGCATTTCTTCTGAAGAAAGCCTTACAGCTTTCGCATGACACCGCGTTAAAATTGTAACCAAGCGCACGATCACCACACACTCCACAAATTTTGTTAGCTTCTCTAGCCGGCTGTTCATCTTCCATTGCTCTTTGGAACAATTTCTCAAGTAATTAATACTTCTTGTCTAACGCAACATTATTCCTAATTTGTACTGCACTTCTTCAACAACTGACTCATGTCAGCGTTGTTTACCGCACTGTCCATGGAACAACGGAACCAAATTCAATTATTTTGTCGTGACTGTTTATCATACGACTATCATTTTTGGTCCAACGCCCCGAATCTGAAAGATGCTACCTCAAAAGCTTTAAGTGACAAGCTAAATGGGCCGCCCAATTGACGTTTAGTTGCAAGCAGTTAACGGGGCGGTGCGCACAAAACTGTCGTGTGTTTCGTTATTAATCTCCCCACCACGTTGCTTGATAGCTTGATGACCAATGTTAACGTGATAAAAATATATCTAGAGAGCTTTTGAAGTGCACTATTTTTCGCCATAGAAATATAAGAATAAAGTATGTGAACCTCGTAAAGAAAAGTAGAATACATTCGCGAACATGGTAGGTTTCCGTAGGAAAAATGGCGACGTAGAAGCCCCACTTCACGTTAACTTTTCTTTGGTAAATTTTAAAGTTTATACACTTTCAATTTTTATAAATTTCGAAATTTGAACATTTTTGATTTTACATGTTAAATCCCACAGAATCGAAAATAAATGCCGGTAGCCTCCTTTTACTCCTACACTCAGCAAATGTAATTAACACGAGCTCGATAATATGAAAGTATATACACGAGGCACATTTTACAGTAAAATATTACTTTCCTCTAGAAAATTGTTATCAATACGGTGCGAAGCGATAACACGTTCCATGTTTCGCGATAAATTTTGTTACTTCTTAAAGAAATTATCAGATTATATAGTAAAACATATAAAACGAAACAATCTTTTCAAAAGATTGCTAAAAAGTTGCTAATTATTTTAATGTTGTTAAATAATCCGTTCAAAATTCAGACGCAACAAAATTAATCAGTCAAACAAGAACAATTAAAAAATAATTGATTTGAGAAATAAATACGAACATGAACTTTGAACTACACGCGGTGTCAGATTATTATCGCTATGATCGGAAAAATAATCAAATTATTCTTTTTTACATGTTTTTATTGATTGTATTATCGTGGTCTAATACAATCACTTATTAATGTACAACTAACTGTGTACAGATATCGAATTAAAAGAGTATTTACTTAATTCGTAATATCGTTATCAACTGTTGAACACAGTTTATAAGATAAGTTCAAATGGTCGAATCTTAAACTTAGATTCGTATTTATTATTATCTATCATATTGTAATTAATGAACGAGAAAGAAAGAGCGTAAATTACATACGAATTTCTTCCAAGCATATGTTATTGCTTATCTGAAATACTCAACTCTTACAATTAAAACATTCAACACATGTAGAACTGTTCAGAGAACACTAATAGATATTTTGTACTATTTATTATGTTATACACTTAAAATCATAATAAATCAAACAACATAGTACAAAAATTTCGTGTAAAGAATAAACTTAAGGACTCTTATTTACAAATTGGCAGTATACAACTAATTTCTAATTTCACTTATTCAAATTTTAAACAACTAATACAAAAAGGGGTATATGTATAAAACTAGTAAATCATTTGTTGATATATGTATAAATTGACTGTTATTACAAAAGTAAAATATTCATTGTATATCGAGATTTAACACTGCAGTATATAAATGTTTATATTAAAAATATACACGTATTTGAAAAATCCGTCTTCCGATAAACATTTCTTCTATGCTCGAATAAATGCATTTATAAATCTTATAAAAAAGAAATGTACAAAACTAAGTTCGTGTTGATTCACTATCGTTATAAAGGCACTCGTGCAAAACTAACTCCTCTAATATTTTTGATCAGGCAGTGTTTGCATTGAGCAAGCTGGTTGATAGGACCTTGGAAAATTTTTATTTGGCCGGTGTATCGGTTAATTTCGTACTGCCCATTTGCACACCACCACTGTGAAGTACCAACTCCTCTCTTGAATAGAACATTACGATCTCCTCTACGCTGGAGAACGACTGCTCGTTTACTTTTGCCGAGCCTAACGCGTACCTGTTAACAAATTAAACGTTTCTTAATTTTTTTACACTTCTGTTAAATTCCTTAGCCTACTTTAGTCAAATTTTCTTTGTAATACATTCATTATGAATTGAGATATTGTTGATTGAATGTGACACACATCTATATCACACATCAAAATTGCAGTCCAGTTGATAAAAGTGTACTGAATAGTTTTCTTACATCTCTTAAATTTTACAACAGTCATACTTATATTGTAAAGAAGATACCGTGCTCAATGAAAATGCATACGGTCAAATATTGTACTTAATAGATTAAAAAGAAACTTTCATCTCTATTACCTATTGTCTGGCCTCTTTCTTACAGGAACATTGTAAACCTTATCCTTGTACCAGAGCACCAAAGCCAATGGATTGTTCACATTGGTCACAGACGGTCTTATTAGGAAATATCCATCTTGTGGGTTACCATAAATACTTTCTACATGGAATATAATTATAATTAGTATATTAGGTGGTTCAAATTCGACTTCAAAATCATCTTCTAATATAATTATTTGAAAACTCACGTTCTTTAATAAGAGCAGTTGCCTGTTCTCTGCTGATATTGTGGAACCAAGGCTTCTCAAGGTAGGATTGCCTCTCAGGCGGCGGTGGAAGCGGTCTGGTCGCTCTTTCCGATGACAATGAGGTATTGCTGTTAGAATGAGGTAGCGTCGCTGATTTCTTCTCCGGAGACCGTTCTGTAACAACACAACAAATATTAGAATTATTTAAAATAACATCTATGACTCAAGAGACCCGATTTGGTTCAAAGATATATTTACAAGGATACAGTTTAATGCCGCATTTTACTAACTTGCTAAGTTGAGCCGTGCTTGAGTTAAGGTTGCTTGAGTCAAACATTCTGAAAGGCTTGCTTGCCGACGAATCGCAGTGTTTAAAGACACGTTTCTTTTCGGATCGCCGATTATCATAGCCATTTTCACACGATCTTCACGTTGAGACAAAATTTGAACTATTCACGCGTTTAACAGAAGCAAGTGCACCAGTATATCATCATCGGATCTGTTCTTGTTCATCTTTATGATCGCAACTTTTAAAAAATTGTATGATACGAGTGTTATCGACGTCGACAATGAGTAAGAATCTTGGCAACTAATTTATACGAACTGCACGTAAACTGCACGAATTGCAAGTAAAATTCGAGAGCCCCTTCGGTTTAATCCGATCGCCACGAAATCACTGTACAGACTGGCATTTAACTTGAGACGCAGCGGTATCACGTATAAAGCTCGACCATCCGTTGGTCCCTCGGCATGGGGTACCTAAATTTCCCAAGGCTTAAAAATATACATAAACGTACGCGTACATATTTAGGGCTTTTGTTGCAATCTCGTTTACATTCTCAGTTTAACGCTGTGACAATTTTATCTGAGAAGACTCGGAGATAAATGTATATAAATACAAACTGTTAATTATTTTTTTTTAACATCAATTTTTTACTGTACGAACAGTTGTTGATAGCCTCTTTATACTGTATAAAAATCAAATTTCTATCTGCTTTGTAAAATATTTTTTCTATTACTCTAATTGCACAAACTTTGTAGGTGTGTTAAATGATAGACTGGCTACTTATGAATGCCCATAAAGCTGAACATTTTTTCAGTCCTTCTTATACCATTTAAAACGCAACAGTGCTAAATTCCGATGTTGAAACATTTCCGGTTTGTAAGGCCGCAAGAATGTGGAAGGATTGTAAAGAATCTGCTTCGTAAGAGGTTTTCGTACCTGGCGGCTCAGGTGGCTGGGAATAACAACATCGGGAAAGGCCTCTCTTGATCCTGACTATCATGTCGGACACCTCATCAGCCAAACGAGCGCCTAGACCTCCCAAGAGCTGTTTGCTCAGTCTTAGATAAAAGCAGGAACACATTCCATCACAGTTTCCTCTTCGGTTTTTCGACGATAATATCACTCGATATCTTATTTCGTTCGTTCTCGAGACATGACGCTTTCAAAGAATTTTTCTTTCTTATTCGTTCGTATTAAAACATGACTCCGGGTTTCACAATCACGTATGTCACCAGAGGTTTCGACAGGAAATTTTCTTTAACACATTGTGCATTTCTATTAATTGATAGAGAATAAACAAAAATTGCTCGGAACATTATTTCTGAAGAATTTCGTTATAACGAACGAGTTGAAACAAAGAGAACGATCGTCCGATCATGACTGGCTGTAATTGCAACGAGCATCAGGTTGTTGCACGAGTAACGCGACCAACCATTTGCCACGCAGATGTTTATGGGAAGCTGCAACCACCGAGAGCTTTTTTATTCTCCAAAAAATTTGATGTAACCCGCACTTTTTACAGAACTCTGTAACACGTTGCGTCTCTTACAAATCTCCTTTTTATCGTGCTATTTTCGTAGTAGCGTTAACGGAAACAGTCTTATCGTATTCCAGGAACCGTTTCCTTCGACGTTCATTATTATCATCTCGCATACGCTCTCATACATGATAAAAGAATAGCGAAGTTTCAGAAATAATAGTAATTAATATACCAACCCTTTGATTTCTCAGAGTTCGTCCGATTTAAAATCGGAGAAGGACTAGCTGATGACTGAGGCGGTTTCGCTGGTAGAGGCGGTGGTGTTCTTATGTCTGTCGTCCTTTGAACAGGATTTGAATTGTAGCCACTATCGTCCGGCTGTGAATGTTAAAATTCAATTTTAGTTTTGAACTTTGAACTACAGGAGTGAAAAACTGTAACAATAACGATCGACCGATTTATACATCTACACACTTACTGTTTCCGTAATCGACTCATAAATTTCATATTGCTCCTCTTCCTCTTCGTAGCTGGTAATGCTAGCCGGTTGATAAACGCTTTCCACAGAACTTCGATGTCCACTGGTTAGCGATTGTTTGCTATCTACCCTCAACATGTTCTTCCTTTGATGCTGCTCTATAATTTGCTCATCGAATGCCTCGTACTCATCCTCGCTCTCTTCCGTTCGAGTTGGCAAATTGGCAACCAGATCAAGATTTCTAAGTACAGCTGGAGGTTTCGTTTGTTCTTTATTCGGTTTTTCTAAGATCATCGTTTGATCGTTGTTCTTTTTTGGCTCGGGTGGCGGCGGAACAGACATTCTCTCTGAAACCCACCAGTCAAACCAGTTATATATCTTGAATAAATTATGGTATACAATATTACTAATTTATCTATTTACTAACTTTGACTAGGAGTATTTGGTTTCAACATCGAAGCATTATGTAAAAATGATTTTTGCGGCTGAGTATGCCCTGGAGACGCCATTTCGATTCTCCTCGATTGCAACAATTCAGGTTTCGGCCCTGCCATAGGCTTTTTCGTATTCCGTAGTTTCAACTGCTCTTTAAGCTGTTCAGCCAAAGATTTCTCAGTCTGCATTGAATGGAGTCTAGATGTATTTTTTGGTGGAACTTTCGCCTCCTCGAAATTCGCGTACGTGCTTTCGTCATTTTGCAAAGAACCACAATTTGCATAGGTTCCCTCTTCCTCCTGCCTTAAGATTTCTTCCGTTCGCGTATCTTGTTTAGAGTTTGCATTGTTTCGAGGTAATTTCGGCTTGTTTCTTAGATCCAGGTTCGACTGAATGACCTTAGGAGACTCTTGCAAGGCACTTTCTTCGTTGGTTTCATCCTCGAAGTCGGTTCCCCAGGAACCGGTGTCACTCAGGTGATCCTCGTTCGCCTGTGATTCGAGGATCTTCTCTTCCACAAATTTCTCAGGCATTTTCTTCACTTCCTCCACGAATGTCCACAAACTCCTAAAATATCAATGAACTTTTAAAACATGCAGACTCAAGTTGATTAAAAAATTTCTTAATAAACATTTACAATTACCTCATGGGACCTTATAATAAATTTAAGAAATACATTAAAAAATTAGATAAATATAATAGCGAATTTTACTAATGTGTTTGATGAAAAAATTTTGTAGTGTCAGTATAGTATTGAATGATCACAAAGAATAGTTTTACGTGCTTATAGTTCTAACACGCAAGTTTAAATAGCTGAGTCAAGTTTGGTTTAACTTGGCCTTCGGAATCGTTAGCTACACCGTACATATTTCGATTTTACTCGAGCCATTGAACCTTCTTCTCGGTATGCATGCTGCGTATCGCGACGCTTTCTATAGCGTTGACGTTCGCCAAATTTCCCAACGATTCAACGCATTATAATCATTGCCGTAACTACATGGAAAGCAAGACGAATTTCCAAAATTCGATCTCCCTCAAGATATAAGAAGCAGAATACTTCATATACCTCATACTAGAAATTTACAAAATTCCAACTTTATAAGCTTCAATGAAAATTTACATATAGAAAACTGACATTCCATGGGGTTCCATAAACATTTGAATATAACATTCATCATTCAAGCGGTAACGATAACGATCCGAAGGCGTGTCTTAAGATGTTTCAGTAACTTGAAGAGAAACCGTTAGGCTGCAACACGGACTTGGTAACTGGTTGAGAATAAACGTTATTCCATCTTGAAACGTTCTAGCATGAAATGTAGCGCGCTTTATATTTCCTTTTCTTACCATATCAATGGACGCGTGAGGTCACTCTTCCACAGCGCCAGCTTCCCTTCCGTCAAGTGCTGGAATAATTACAATTAATTAAGAGAAGCATAAAAGAGAGCACGCGCCGGCTGAATTGAAATATATAACGGCTTTACACGAATTATGAATGAAACACGCTGCGTTTTCTCTGAAGCATTTACGACTTCTTTCTCTTTGTTATATTAATATATTTTAAAGAATATAAAGGCAATGTATAAGCTACTTATCATCTTTTATTATAATATTATTGATTCACATAATTTACGTAGGGTATGGTGAGATTATACTTTCTTCTTTTGATTTTCTTCTCTTGATTTTCTTTTTTTACACCGCGGTTTGAGGAATCACCGGTTAAATTCATGCGTCTTACGTCGATCGATTATTCTTCTGTACCATTTCGTCGCTAAATAATGCAGTAAGACGTTATAGGTATCCAACTGTGGTGAGCATGCATATTATTACGTGACGCTAATAAACCCATAGGCATCAGATGTTAATCAGTGAAGCGTGAATAAAGACGAGACAGTGCTGTGTTCCACACGAGTTACTCACCAATAACTCGTCTCCATTGATCTTTCGTTTTGCGATCGTTTTGCAACATTCCTCCAGGCCGTTCTGAAAGAAGAGGATACGAGTTTGATAAAAAAAGGATACTTGAAATGATAACGCGCGCGTTTATATTGCGTCGTTATATTTAATACTGTAGAAAGTACTTGTCATAGAAGTGAATATATTTAATTAGTGCATGTACTTTCATTTTTTTTCAAACATTTTCACATGCGTTTGAATGATGTATTCTAGTCTCACAATTGTACGGTACAGAAAAGAAAGTATAGCGATACGTGAACTTCATATATTCGCTTCGAAATCGATCGCTAAAAATATCGACGTTACCGCCGTTTGTACACATGTGACAAATGCAATTCTCGACATTCCCAATTTGTCATCGGCTGATAATTTGTTTGCGAACCATACTAATCCGTTAAAAGCAACCAAAATATAGCAAAGTACATATATAATTTCATATACATTATTTCATAAATATTTGAATGTTATCAATGTCTTTATTTTGAAAGCTTTGGTTATAGTAATTGTTGGGATAGGTTACATTAAATGTAGGGTAGGGTTAGGTCAGGTTAAGTTAGAATCGTGTAAGGTTACATTAGGATAGATTAGAATTGTGTAAAATTATGCTAGATTAAGGTCAAGCTAGATAATCATTTTTTAAGTTTCACAACAGTGCTCACTGTAATGACGCTGGCAACGGACTAAAAAATTATCGGCGAACCCAACCCAATCTGACCTACTCTATACTCAGGATCATAACATTGAATGTCGTATCTTTGACAACACATTAAAAAACATCGTCAAAATAATAGTTACCTTCTTCTGAATATTTACTATTGTTTTTTACTGACACACAGTTAAAATATTTGTATACAATTTATCTATGTCAATCTTTATCAACTAACAGTAACATCGACGAACTTTTATCTCTTGTAAATAGACATTCAGTAGGTCATCTTGAACAAACAAGTGTTAGCTTTTAAAAAAATTAAGTTTTATAACTGGTTACATTTTTATTGAGGATTTTAGTGAAGAGTTCATTGTACCAGTGCTGTTGACAGTATGATGCATGAAGGGGTTTACTCACCTTTCGAAGCAGACACAACACATCATCGATACTCCAGTTGGAAATATCTTCGAGAGCATCGGTCCGCGACAATTTTTTAAACATTGCACCGCGTGTTCACGCGCCCGTTACTCAAAAAAAGAACGTCGCACGTGTTCACCGCTCGATCGCATCTGCATCTGCTTTTTGTGGGCGAGGTGTCTTGACAGTCCTCGCCGCTTCGTATTTTCCTCCTTGCCCCTCAGTATTCTGACGTCTGTCGCCACTAGAATGCTTCTGCATGACAAACTGTCCATCGTCGACGACGATTGGTCAGTTTCTTATAGTGCACCTGTTTCATTAGATATGATACTGCGACAGTGACGCTCAGCTCGTGGCTATTTTTCCAATTACTATGCACAGTTTAAAATTACTCTTAGAACATGGTCTTCAATTTTGGCAATTGCTTTTTATACTTTCATTGGAAGTTATAATCAAAATACTATTTGATTCTTACTCACCTTTGATTAACTCTTTCGCTGATTATGTGTCTGACTAACTACTGTGTTCCACTTTTATATCAAGGCTTTTTTATTGAGCACCGTCGATTTAAAGACGAGTTTGCATTGAGGTACTTTATGCTAAATGCTAATATCTTTTATTTTGTATAAAAGATATTCTGTGTATTTGAATGCATGAAAATTTATTGTGTTCGATGCGATATACCACTTCCTGATATTCCTTCCCATTTTTCTTTTTCTCACCGTGTATATAACCCATGATGTGGGGAATGTAAGATCGTGAGGCAGCACGAACAGTGAGGAATCCACTGAAGTTAGCTGTAATACGCGAATATGATCTTTCATTGTGTATGAACAATAAAACGTTCCACTGTAGCGCAAAATATACATCAGTGGAACCTCCATGAATGTAAAGTGGAAAGTCGCGTAGACGCCGTCGGTGAGGAACGATATTTGTGTGAAATTGTTTTTGATTAATAGCGAGTGTTTGGCGAATATAAAAAAAAAATTGATAGAATGACTGTCACCGAACTCAGTTCTCAGCAAGAATACGCGAATCATATTAAGTGAGTAATTTTAAATAAAGCAAGTTATATACAGTTAATATGTAACCTCACTGACAAACATTTTGTTTCAATAAACACTATTGTACAAGAAATTCAGCTTGTACATACTACATTTTATGTATGTTACAAATTTTATTATCAGAAAACAATTTTTGATTTTATGACATTTTTATACTTTTAAAATTTTTGCATATAAATGTCACCAATGTTTCTTTATTTGAAATGTAATCTCCTTAAAGTTCAGAAGTCATAAATTTTTATTGATACATATAGTGTTATGATAAAATAAGATCTCTATATTAAGCCATTTATTTATCAATTCATAGTAATTAACTTCATGAAATAAAATTGTTATTTATTATCCTTCCTTTAACATTTCATTTGTGATTAAATGATATGGCACTAAAATTAAGATATTGGAGTTAATTAGTTTAGTTTCTGAATAAGTCATATTAGACTTCAACAACATGTTTGTTTATTATATAGGTCAGAGGATCTCTCTGTCATTCATTTCTATGCACCATGGGCTGATCAGTGTTCACAAATAAACGATGTAATCGAAGAAATGAGCAAATTGACTGAATACAAAGGAGTCAAATTTGCCAAGATCAAAGCTGAAGAAGTGTCTGATGTGTCTTTAAAAGTTGGCATTACTATGGTACCAACAGTTGTGTTAGCAAGAAATGATGCTATAATTGATAAGGTTGATGGAGCTAATCCTTCTGCCATAGCAGAGAAAGTTAAATATCATTTAATTAATAAAACTTCTACTCCAATTGAAACTAGTAAACCTAAAGAAAACCTTGAAGATAGATTAAAAAAATTAGTAAATCAAGCACCTTGTATGCTATTTATGAAAGGGAATCCAGCAAATCCACGTTGCGGATTTTCTAAAACAATAGTCTCAATTTTAGATTCTTATAAAGCAAATTATCAGTCATTTGATATTTTACAAGACAATGATGTTAGAGAAGGACTTAAGAAATTCAGTAATTGGCCAACGTATCCTCAATTGTATATTGATGGAAACCTTATTGGAGGTTTGGATATTGTAAGGGAAATGAGTGAATCAGGAGAATTGGAAAGTATGTTACCTAAGAAAAGTTAATCTAAAATAAAAGTAAATTTATAATTAGTCCGTTGCTATTTATATAATAAATGTATGGTTAAATTGAGCTATGTAATAAATTCAACTACTATTGTAAAAAATATGCTTTTTTATAAACCTTTTAGCATAAAGATTATACAAACAAATAATAATATAGGTATACTATAATTTATAAAAATATTATATTTACCTAAATATATATTTATTATAATAACGTGTTAACATTATTAATTGTTAAAATTGAGTTCATTCTTAATTTGATAATTTATTTCATATATGTACATGTACTTATTTCTCATAAAGAAAGGCGACAATTATAAATTGCATAATTATTATTTAATTCCTAAGCAAGAAATTAATATTTAACAAACAGATTCTATTTTTGTTTCCTATCTTTTACTTTCGCTTGTGCGCCTTTTTTTGCGCCCTTAATGATATTATTAAACTTAGTTGCGTTCTTTTTCTTCTTTCTGAAAATAATACATTTCAAATTATTACAATAAATACAATTTGAACAGAAGTTGTAGATATTATTACCCACCTCTTATTCAGAACTGATCTTGATAAAGGAACATATGCGTATGGATCTGGTTTACCCTTCTTCTTAACATCTCCTCCAGCTTTAGGTGCTTTGTATTCTAATCCGGGTACTTTTTCAGTCTTTCCTTTCTTCAAAGTTCGATGAATTCCTGATCCTCCAGCTGTAAGTAACAAGTTTTAATTAACGGAATACGAATAAAAGGAAATAGATCGTGGCAGGTACCTTTATATTTTGATGTGGCTGAACTATATACACTAATATTATCAGAATTTTCACTGAGTTTACGTTTCCTGTTTGATGCATGTAATGCAATTGTAGACTTAATATCATCGTCGTCCTCTGTAAAACATGTATTTATTACAATCTATTTCCAAATCCTTATTTTTATGTTTCCTTACCATAATCATCTTCTGTATCACTATGCAAGAATGGTGTTTTCTTTTTTCTCTTAACTTCAGCTTCATCATCTTTTTCGTTATCTTCTGTAATGATAAGACGGCCATCTGGCGCAGTCTTGAAACCACGATCCTTTGATGTAACAACAGATTTATTGGAATTGAAGACTCTAGGTTGTGTTGCTAAAAATAATTATTTTGTAAATTTAATTTATTCTTAAATTTAATTATTATATCAATTAGGTAATTAAATTTTGCAAAATATGCTTACTTGATATATTTCGAGCAGCTGCTGGATCAACAAGATCAACAATTTCCTCATTTTCTTGAATCCAAGCTTCCTTCCTTGATGTTCTTTTATTTTTCTTTGGTTCTTCATTTTCTGTGCCTTCAAATTCATCCTCACTATCCGCCAATATTTCTTCGATACTAAATTAACAAAAAATGATAACATGCTTCATTGAACGATCTCATTTATAAACAAATGTGAAGTTACCTCTTGGGTCTTCTCTTAGCATTGAATTCCTCATCATCATCATCTTTTTCCTGTTGCATTTTTTTAATTTGCTTGTTCTTCTTTTTCGCTTCTTCTAGTTTATTTATATTTTTCAGTCTCTTGTGTAACATTGTATTAGAAAGAGATATCATGCTGGAGAGAGTTTCCATTCCATATTTTCTTAACAATTTAACCAGAATAATACGAACTGTTTGTCTAAAATGTCTATGGCAATCGTCGCTCATTCCACATAAAGCCTCTGTCTGTAATTTGATTTAAAGATACGGTAAAAAATTGTTTATTAATCTAATTTTAGATAATTTATTCCACTTACTAATCTCATTAAGGTCGATGCAACGATAGGAGATGGCATCACAGTAATGTAAACTTTAATGTAGGATAATGCTGCTTCAGTAACTTCTCTCGTAGGACTTGTAACAAGTCTGCATGCGTGTTCGAAAATTTCTTTAACCGTATCCACGCCTAGAGAACCTATTTAAATATTCATAAGTATATTTGACACTGTAATATTCAATGTACAGCTTAATAATTTTTATGTTGAAATAAATGTTTACCATTAAAATGATAAGTAACAGATGCAAGTGCCAATAAAGATGCAGCACAGTATTTAAATACACCACCTAAACCAACCATTAACATACTAATGTAATTCTTAAGGTGCTTCTCATTGCTCAAGAACTTTTCAGCTATACTATTTAGAAGTTGATAAGCAGATGTGCGACATTTTGAATTTATATCTTTTAAATACACCACTGCTTCAGGCACGATAGCTTCCAAGAATTTAGTTTCCTCGAGTTGTGGATGAATTTTAACCAAATGCATTAAACATCTTAATCGAGCTCCCCTACTTGGTTTTCCAACTTCAGTTACAGAAGATATTAACAGAGTCTGTATTTCTCGTCTATGTTGTGATACAAACGCTTTACACAATTCCCTTTCACTACCACACATTTCTTCAAAGAATCTGTATGCTTTTTTCTGTTCTTTAGTATTACTACTTTTTTTGATAGTTTGTGTACATATATCGTATAACGTCTTCAATCTGCGAGTGTCGGTATATTCAACTAATAATCTTATTACATCATGTACACTTTCTTTGAAAAAGTCATTTGCATTAGGTTCTTGTAACCTAGATAATGCGCGATCAAATAATTCATTTATTAATTCATTGTTTGTAATGGTAAGATACACCTTTATTGTATCAAACGCAGCACGGCGCTGTCCCTCTTCGTCAGAACCATTCGGTTTAGTGGTATACAAATTCAAAAATAGTGGTAAATAGTTCTTTGCGAATCTAGCCAATTCAGCTATATCTTCTTTCTTATCATCTTCAACTGCTTTTGTTATTAGTTTTCGTAGAGCAGACATTATTGATAATCTTAAATCTTTTTGCTCGTTGAACGTCTTACCCAACAGCTTGGCAATGTTCTGAAATACATTTATTTAGTATACATTTATTTAAGTACTAAAATACAAATTTTGTATCCATTATAATTACCGCAAAATGATCTTTTACGTCAACAGCATTCTGGCATATACTTGGTAAAATAGCCCATATTTGCGAAACAAGAAGTTCATGAGTTTTTCCACCTATAGGATCATTCGCTCTTTTCCTGAAATTAATAATTTGCGAATAGTCCCTAATTAAAAACGTTCATATAATTAAAATACTTACTCGCACACTGCGCTTAAAGGTAATAATGTTTCTGTAAAGAATTTGAGTGATGCTGTTGTTATACAGTCCTTTAATAATGGCAATAACCAACTCCGTCTCAAATTAATTGTATTATCCTTTTCATTCAATGGAATTATAGTTAACACTGTTTCTGGACCCATAGTTTTTATTGCAGCGCCAATAGCATATTCAGCGTCGGCTTTTGAAGTGAAATCAAAAGAATCACGTAAATCTGCTAATGATTTCAATAAATCTACAAAGTTTGAACATCTTGATTTTCCAGCTATCTGTAGTAGAAGAAATAATTTATTTAATAAACAGAAATGAGTGGAAAAATGCATGATAAAGATTAAAGATTACCTGGAAAAGTAAAGCTATTAAATGAAGAATATAATACCATGCTTCCAAATATTTATAATTTAATGCTGTTTGCATCATGAAAGTTATTTGATTAAGCGTTGTATTATACCTAAAATTAAAAAAAAAAAAAAATAGAATACAAGTAATATATTGAGAATAATATTTAAATTTGTCCTTACTTTGCCATTTGTTCTTCATTCTCACACATTTTGCTAACACAGTCTTGGAATAATATTTTCATTGTGTGTGATGCACCAGATATAACTTCTGATCGATCTGAGAGCCATAATTCCATACATTTTTCTAATAATTTTGGTAAAATAGCTGCACACAAATTCAGTGAGTTGCTACAAATAAACAAAGACTATATTAATAATCATCATTTAATGTGGTCACCTAGTATGCAATATACACCTACTGAGCTAGATTTAAATGTGCCTCTTGCATAACTATCAACCAGGCAAGTGTTGGTTGTGTATCAGTTGCTGGAGGTTGAAAATCATAAAGAGCAGTAATAATCTGTCCATTTCTTTTTACCGGTAAAGTAGTCTCTGATGGTCGAGAGACGAATAAGCCATGGAAAGTTTGTAAACAACATGATGTTACCAAAACATTTTTCAGTGTCATAAGATTCAGCAATGATTCACAAATGGCCTAAATGAACAGGATGATTTTATTGTATACTGTAAATAACGAATATAACTATGTTTCCAACATTTACCTTTACTTGAGCTCTTGGTAATTGATGAAGAATATCTTTCAGTAATGTAAGCACGTGAAGGACATTTGTAATTCCACCAGAATCAGAACTAAGTTCTAATTGACCAATACAACATTTTGCAATTAGTGGAGCAGCTGGATGATATGGTGGTGCATTACTATTTTTCATAATATCACTCCCTATAAATCATTAAAAGCATCTCATAACAGAAGTATCAATACATTCTCTGTGTACATATACAATTTTATTCACAATCTACCTTTCAATATAGCACATACTCCATGTTGTGCTGCTTTTCGTACTTTTGGTTTACTATGTGTAATGAATGTTAAAAGAGCAGCTAGCACTTGCAGTGTAGATGTACTGGACCATGCTAATGATTCTTGTGCTCGAAGCAACAAAGACACACAGTGTATACACTAAGACAAATTAAATTTGGTGATCACATATGCCATTATACAATTGAATACTAAATTACTATATAGCAAACATACATGTCGTAGTATTAAGAAATCTTCAGATGTTGCATGTTCAGTAAGAATATTAAGAAAAATTTTACTTGCTGCTCCAAATTGTAAATTTAAAACATTTCTTGGCACAGTTTTTAAACCCATTCCCAACAATGAAAGTGTTGCTGCAACTGATGTATCATCTTCAACTGCCTCTAAGGTGCTCATCTATTAACAGATGACATATTTGAATTATCAGATACTTTCCTTAATAGTATAAAGCCAAACACTTAATACATACCAATGCTGCAAAGTATTCTGTTGAAGATTCATTCCCACCATTCTGTTTTATAATTTCGGTAACTGCAGACAACACAGCTAGCATTTCCTTATGTAATAAGGAATTTGACTGAAAGTGACTTAAAAACCTAAACATATTGAAATGTAATTAATATCTCTTGGTTCCCCTTTGAAATTTATTTCAAATAATTACCTGTTAAAGGATATATTTGAACAGTTACTGTAATTAGAAGCAAATGTGTCAAAAGTATTAGCAGTATTTTCTGTGCCAGTTTCTGATTGAGTTTCATCAAGACCAAGTTTTTCCAACTGAGGTTGAAGACCCTGAATAGCGTCATGTTTCTGTAAAGCCTCTTCTGTTATACCAGGCTTTCCTACAGTCAAGATAAGTAGCTGTGAAGTGATGATACTAACCAAAAAAAAAAAGACCGTATGTAATATTAAGAAAATTATACCTGTTGACTCCTTTAAAAACATCCATGCTGCTTGCTCTCGATGTTTTTTCGTTTCTGGGTTAGAGCTAGAGCTCTGACCCTTCGGCCAACGTTTTGCATTTTTCTTACTATCCAAGCGAGGCCTCAATTTACCCATTTTATACTATTTTAACAACAACTTATGCACTACAATTTTCTTATTCCTTCTCACAAATATTAGTTCTTATAGTATTTCTATCCGGATTAACGATTAAAGGAGGTTAAATTCATTTTGCACGTGTACGGCAAAAGGATCATGGAGAATTGATCGGTAATGTCAATGTAATAATAACAAGATCTTTACGACATTGGATAGATGGCAGCACAAGATAAAATTGCCGATTAAGTAGAGATCTGCAAACTTTTATTAACTTAACATATCATACATATCTTATACCGCAAATACAAATTCAATAACTATACTATTTAGGCAAGGAAGCTACAACTTCTTTGAGTTTATGCGAAAGATCAAAAATATTTTTTATTGCTAAGTTTATGTTTATCTCTGCACTTGGAGTTTGAATGGCAGACTTCTTTGGTGTTGTCTGTATTCGTGAGAGTTTTGGAGTAGATGCTGCATTATTATCTGAAAAATATGTAGAATTTAATTATTATACTTTATTATTAACCCAATTACTTTTTAATGTAGACATATCTTAATAAACCTTTGAAGTAAGTTGTTTTTAAATTACTACTAGAAAACAATCTAGAATATCTTGGTGAAACTTTTATTCTGTTGAATGAGTTGCTCCTGTTACTTAATGATAGTCCTCGAGGAGATTTCCAATTTAATGCAATATTGTCTATACTGTCATCAAACTGACTTTTAAATGAATTAAAAAAACGTTTATATCTTGAGAACAAGTTTTTATATTTTCCTAAAAAATAATATATATTAAATTATTTAATATATCTTTATTTTTCATTTACAAGAAGAAGTTAAATTACCTTGTATTGGAGAGCACCATAGCTGTTTAAATTGTTTTTCATCGTCTATGTATTCACTGTTAAAAAAGTTGAATTTTGGAGAAGTTAAAATTTGTTCTGAATCTATAGGGAAAAGAACACCTGTTTCAAATGTACAGTTGAAGGTTTTCTCTTGCAAATTACATTGTACATTACATAGTATATCAGAAATTTGTATTAATAATTTTTGAAATTTCGTTTCCTGAAACTTCATTGTTTTACAATGTTCAGTTATTTTTGGTTCATGACTAGAGAAGTCTATCAGGTAAGTCATTTTTAAACAGAAATATAGTTGGTTGAATATTTGATTAAGTATCAGTAATAAATTATGAAATACTAAATTTCCATTCATGTACAGTCCATAATTAAGATGCTTTAAATAAAATGAATTATAAGATATTAATATGACTTTTTAACAATACATATTTTAATTTTTGTATATCTTACCTGTATGCCATCAGCTGAATATAATGGTATTATATCATTGCTAACTTTTGGAAGACTACCACAATCAAAAGATTTGGAATGTGAGGACATACTCAGAACACATAACATATTACTCAGATCTTTTACTCTCTTCAGTTCCAAATTCTTTTTAGACAAATACTTTATCTTTTCATTAATATTTTCTTTCCACACTGAAAGTTTGAAGTTACATAAATTATAATTTGGTACAAAAATTAAATTATTATGGAACAAAATAATAAGATATCAGGTACTAACATTTTATGACTTCTGTGTTCTCAATATCAATTAGTTGCATTGCAACTAGTGAATTAACTGGCAGAACTGGTACAAAATTAACTAAGCTTTCTTTAATTTCAAAAATATTAGTTCGCATTTTTGTTAAATCATTAGATTTGCATCTAAAAAATTAAATTATCAGGCAATGTGTACCTTTTAACATGATAATAGTTATTGAAAGAAAATAAATTTTACTTCATATAATATTTAAAGCGCTCTGAAATTACTTTTGTTTTTTCATAAAACTTAGAAATAATAATATTTTGTTTTAAATTTATAGTGCTCAAGTATAGCTCAACAACATCTATGTTATTACCAATACTAGGTGCTTGCAAAACCTCTTTCTGACCTAAAAAGGAATTAATCTGTATATATGAAGAAATGTAAATTAGATTTTAAGTTTTGTGTTATACTTTACAATGTTTTGTAATATAACTTCTGAGACTAATTTGTGATAATTTCCACATAGTAATTAAAAACTTTGTTCCTCCTGCTTGCAATAAATGAGTCATAAGTACTGTTGGAAAATTTATATCTTGATTTTCATTTGCCACAATTTCTAAATACTCTTTTACTTCCACACGATATTTCTTTTCATCCATTTTATTCATAATAGGCCATGCAACCATTTTTTTGAACTGTTTTGCGTTGTATATAGATAATAAATAATGAGAAATATGAATAAAACCAGAAGTATTTGGTTTATCAAACATTCCCTGTAAGTTTTATTACATTAAATATACAAGTAACAATCATTACAAACTTTGCTTTACTACGATACCTTTTTAAAGAGTATTGTACATTCATAGGATGCTGGTACAAGTTGCATAAGCAAAAACACATTTTTATAAAATGAAGCATCTATTGCCATATTATATTATTTACAAAAATAACTTAAAACGTTATATGTATAATCTGCTTTTCTTATTATAAAACAGGTAAATATTTCCAACGGACATTAGAAAAAATGTTGATATACAATACAACTTCGGACATACATAATACATGATAAATATAAAATATATAATGTATAGTAAATATAAACGGAAAATGAATAACGCAATCACAATAAATTTACGCTATTTATATTAGATGTTTTGTAAGGTAATTTATAAAAATGAAAGTTCTTTGAAAACCTTATTTGAACATGTATTTTAAAATTCAGATTACGCGAGAATAGTATCACTAGCGCCATTTAAGATACATGAAAAAAGATACATGTAGCGACATTTAGCAGCCGGAGGTGGAACTGGCTAAGTAGAATTAGTTTCTACTTTCTACCGCTCGATGGCCAAGTATTTTTTAATAACAAACCAGTTAGTAAATGGTTAGTTTTCTGGTTGTAATTCGTGTTTGATGCAACACGTATTAATATTTAGTATTTAATAATGAAAATCAAAATACAGAATAATTATTCCTGACTGCAAATCATATAGTTTTTATAAATTAATTATTTGTAAAATTGAAAAGTATTGCTACTTTTCTTGAACCCTCATAACCTTCGTAAAAATGACAAAAATGAAAACAAATTATTTTAAAATAACATTGTCATAATAGTGAATATTATTTTCTAGTATTTAGGAGTAGTGTTCATTGATTTACTAAAAGAACCTGTGGTATGCAATGGAAGTACCAAATAATGCTAAAAATGATCATTCTTTGTTGTTAAATAAGGATTGTTTGCACATCTCGTGTAACTGGCAAATCAATAACAATAAACAATTTTGTGATGTCTTCAGCTTGGCCCCCTCCTGTGAGGAATCAATAAAGTAATAAATGTTTACACATTAAAAATATAGCTATGTAATATTAAAATTTTAAACATAAGTTTCTGTAAATGAATGCAAAACTTTGAATTCTTTTATAGGGTTAACTGTGATGATATAGTTTCTGTGAATACATGTATATCATTACAACCGATTGAATCTAATAATGAACCATGTATGTTAGATATAAAAGTAAATAATAATCAAAGAATATCTTCCATTGCTGTAGTCTCAGAGGCCTATGTGTTAGAATTTTTTAAACAATTTGGGGAATATGACAGAACAATATTTGCAGAACTTATAGATGACTTTGAGGATAATTTTATTTATTTTGCACAATCAACAATTATTCCTTACTCTACTGAAGCTGGTATTAAGGTATGCTAACTATGTGTAATGTATTTTGGAGATCATAAGAATGTTACCTATTAAAAAGTCTTTATTTTAGTTTACAAAAACCAAAAGTAAAAATTCAGTTCTGTGGATATATGGAATAAGACTATATTTAACAGAGCCTGTTAATGAACCTGTCAGTTTTCCCAGTGATATGTTTAATCCTGAAATAATTAAAAATTTTCTTACTAAGCTTACTTTGAATAACGAAGGGAACAATGCCACCAATGATGTTCAACCATGTAACAAAAGTATATCCAATTCGTCAACAAACAATAACATTAAACAAAATAATGATCAAGAAACAATACAATCTACTACTGAGAATACCACAAGTATTACAGATATTGCAACTTATATTGACAACAAACTTTGTGATATGGAAACCAGAATAATGAAAAGAATAGAACAAATGGAGCAAAGAACGAATGAAAAACTTGATACAATTTTAAAACGATTAGAACCTCATTCTCTGTCAAATGACCTCCATTCTTCATAATTCAAGATGCTAATGAATCTGTAAATAACTAACCACTTACTTAATGTATGTAATTAAATATGTAAAGTACAAAAAAAGGCAAAAAGTTATGAAAATAATACTGATTCATACTTTTCATTTCTGATTATGCAGTACTCAAGTTGTACATATTTATATCTAATAGTACACAATAATACACATATACTCATGGTTGAATGCATTTGTATATTGCTTAAATTTGCTTCAGTTTTATTCAATTATATTGCTATTTAATTTTTGTTTTTTTTTTTAATACATATGTATAACAATGTACCAAAATTTGTTATGATAGTTCATCTAATTATATTATGCTAATGAAATTTTATACAAATATAAAAAAACATAAAACCACAATGTGCATTGTAAGATAACATTCATGTAATACAGTTTAAATATAACTTCAATTTAAGTGGAATTATTACTATCTTGTGGAGGATCCCACTGATGAAGTTGTTTCCTCCACAACTTTATCATACCATCCCATCCTCTTCTACTATATTTAATATACTTTGGTGGTGTTCTTGGATGCTCTCTTGTACGTTTTTCTCTAAAATAAAATATAACCAATATAATAATTTTCTGTAATAAGCTTTTAGCAATATTTTAATACACTAAATTCTTACTTCGGCACAGCCTGAATGTATCTATCATATCCAATAGTATTTTTTCCATAATCTATTTCTTTTTGTCTACGAGCTAACACCTTAGGATCTGTTTCATATTCTACACGTCTTTTGCCATTATCTGAAGAATTAGTGGTAGAACTTGAATCACTATAATGTCTGCTACGAAAAATTTTTACATCTTCATAATTTGTATTACTTTCTCTAGGTCTTTTACGAGCATTATTTATATCTTCTATTTTATTTTTTACATTATCTTCATACTGTATGCATTTTATATTATGTGTTTCGCTTTCTTTACAGTAAGATCTGTTATTAACACATACATTGGAACTAATAGCCTCCTCAATCTTTTGATCATTACTGACTTGTGTTTTAGGCTCAGATATTTTTATATCTAAAGAATTTCCAGTTTTTTCGGTCTCCTTATTAGAGTTTACTATTTTGCTGAGTTCGTTTGAACTCATACAAATGGCTTCATTAAGAAGAGCATCATCTTCATCTGTCAAGTCTATCCATGAAGTTTTCGTATCTAATTCCATTGTACTTTAATTATATAAAACAGTAATTGAACACAACCTAAAGGCAGAGATTAATACTGATGTAAACTATACTTCAAATGAAAGAAAAACAATAAATAAATAATGCTTTACCTAAATGTAACCTAAATGAACGAAAGACCTTCTGTACAAAAGTTTATAATATAAAATTATTAAATACACATTTTTACAATAAATACAACAATTTAATAATTTACTTTTATTTTTTATAATCACGAAATGCAAAAGCTTTAAGTACGCGAAAAGATACCACTTAATTTTAGGACTTCATCCTTACAAGTGTTATAAATTCTGCGTTGCGCGCCTTCCTTATCGCCTGTTATACGCGCATTCTGAAGAATGAAATAAGATCGAAGTTAGGTTAATAGCTTCAAAATCTTTTTCTTCTTTGACGATCTTCATAGAACATGTATATTATAAATATAATATCTATAGAAAAATTCAAAAATTCATTGCTTATGTTTCACTAATTATATCGCTGTAAAAATTGCTTTAGCATTTATTATTTAATCTTATTTTGACTTTTTTTGAAATTGAATATTACGAAGTGTCCGCAATAATTGAGCGCCTTTTCCTCGACTGGTTACTATTCTAGTAATTTTAGATTATCAATTTTCAAATCGATTGGTATTATTAATACACCATGGTATGAAAATGATAATGACAGATAATAATAGTTATGTAGAATAACAATTATATTTATGAGTTTGTAAAGTACATAGCATAAATTCTCACTTTATTTGTTTATGCAATGTTCAAATTTTGTATCTTATAAAATATTTACGTCATACTGATCGATTGAAGATATGTTAGAAAACTTATTCACATACGTGATACTTATACTGTTATAATTTGAGTTATTGCAGTCATATAAGTAACGCTAAATTCTTACTTGACAATCAGTATTATTATTGACTTTTTCAGTATTTGTTTTTAAGTCTACGTATTACAAAAATTTGTGCTGACTATAGTGATGCAAAATGCCTCCAAAACAGGAAAAGGTTATATTCATTTTTAGATTGCTTTTATATATGTAACAAATTTTATATCTGTTAATAATGAAATATTCATGCAATTTTCAGGAATCATTAATGTTAATAATAAATATTGGAGTAACAAGTCCTGGTAAATCAAATGACTCTTCTTTATTGGAAAAAGCAAAAGATATTGCTAAAAGAAAAATTGAGAAAATGGTATGAAATGAATTATGGCTTGAATACAATCCTTATTGTTCTGAACATTTTATTACATAGTTTAGATTCTTATTGGATATTGTTTCTTAGATATTTTTACGACCTAAAGATGAGGTTGCAATAATAGTGATGGGTTCTTCCAATACAAAAAACAGTTTAAATGCAGAACATATAGAAGAATTCGCAGACTTCCAAGTACCAAATTGGGATTTGATAAGAAAACTTGTAAACTTGAAAGGTACAAATTATTGCTCCAATTGGGTTGAAGCACTTCAAGCTGCAGTGGAATTCATGAAAGAAAATATGTATGTGTACAAATTTGATGGCCACATTCTTCATGGATACTAATTTTGTAATAAAATAGTATAACAGGACATTAATTTTAACTACTTTTGTGTTCTAGTTGTGATGCTTCTATGAAGAGAATTATTTTAATATCTGACTTTAATGAAGAAGAAGATATTATTTCACAGTTTGAAGCAGATGAAATTGGAGAACAATTTCTTTCAGAAAGGATTGAGTTGATTACAATGTAATAGAAATGAATTTTATATATACTTTTTTCATAAAATTTATTTATACATTCAGGTCTTTACTGTAATTACATAACTTTTCCTTTTTAGAGGAGAGGAGTCACTGGATGAGAGGTCTGAAAGTTCTCTTAAAATTAGTGAACAGCTTCTTAAGGATCTTCATAAAAAGGTTACATAAATATTAATATGCAAATATTTATAATATATTTAACTAAATATCATTAAATTTCATGTATTTCAGATAAGTGGTCAACACATAACATTTGATGATGCTATATCAAGCTTGAGATTTTATACAGAAATGCCAAAAAAACCCTCTCCTACTTATTTTACTCTGGAATTAGTTGATAAGAAAATACCAGTTGTTAGTTATGTTAAAGTAAGGCATCATTTTTGACAGATTTGTTTATACACACAATTATTTTTATTAAGTATTATAACTTTCATTCAGGTAGACACTGGTAAATTGCCGTCATGGCGGAGGGCCAAAGATGATCAGAAAGTTGAAACAAAAACACAATATGTGGATAGACAGAGAACTACTTATACAAAGGATGAGATTGTACCAGGATATAAATATGGAGGAACTTTTTTTCCAGTTGAAAGTATATTATATTTTGCCATTTGTTTACTTTCTTTATAAATGAACAAATATATAAATATATTTATAAATACAGAGGAACAGGAAGAGAAGATGAGTTACAAAAGTGGACCGAAAAGTTATAAGATCCATTGCTTTACAAATAGAGATAATATTAATTTGGAGTATTTGTATGGCAATAATACGCATATTATTTTACCTTCTAACAAAGTCAAAGTATGCTTTATTATTTTATTTTTCATAAAAAATTTTTAACTATTTACTTGTGTTAAATTTATTTTTTTTTTTAGGAGACAACGAAAACGTTTTACAGCTTGGTACAAGCGATGCATAAAACAAATTCGGTTGCTATTGTAAGAAAAGTTTATAGAGAGAATTTGGCACCTAAAATGGTAGTATTATTTCCTTGCATCGACATTCCTGATGAACCATGGGTATTTTAATATGTTCATTTAAATGAAATTATCTGTATAAATCCATACTATTACTTAAAATTTATTATTTATGTTTACACAGTGTTTGGTAGAAATTATTTTAACGTTTGCGGAGGATCGAAGAGTTATGGAAACGAGACCCATTAAATCTGTGGTTAAACAATTGTCTAGTGAACAAAATGAAGCTATAGATAATTTAATAGATTCTCTGATGTTATCTGACACAGGGTATGTACACTTGCGTCTTGTTCGATTTATAATTATTTATATTGTATATATTTTTGAACAGAGATAGTTGTGAACTGGATGAAAGACAATACTTTCTACCGGGATGCGTACCAGATCCTGCTGTACAGCATAGATGGCACATGTTATCATATCGTGCTGTGAATCCAAATAAACCATTACCGTCAATGGAGAATTATTTAAAAGAAATTTTAGAAGCTCCATTGGTGAAAGAAAAAAGTAAAGTTCATTTAAAAAAAATTGCTGAATTATTCCAGTTACAGAACACAGATTCCAAAACAAAGTAAGAATTCTTAGTATAGTTTAAACATGACTAATATTTTCATTACATCAAGTAACAAAAATATTTTCTACAAAAGCGATAAGAAAGAAAAGGAAGATGGTCAGGAAAGTGATAATATCAATACTAAAATAGAACCTAAAATGGAAGACAAGATTGCTGCCGAAAACGATTCGTATAAGAAATTATTTTCCCCTATGGATACCTCAGATGTTGATTTCGATGAACTGGTATGCTAATACATAAATAAATTTGCATACATATTTATAGCAGCTATTTAATGTATTTCATATTTTTTGTTTTAGGCTGCAAACATATAGTTGCCATAAGATGTTTGAAATTCTTTTTTTAATAAAAGAAAAGAACTATATTTTATATAATAATATAATTTACTTATTTTGTATTATTTATACAAGGGAATTGTACAAACATTAAAATAAAGTATTACAACCTTCTTTTGTACCTTAATCAGAAGAAAGTCCTCGGAATAAAGCCCACTATTAACCGATGACACTATCCAATCTGAATATGGGAAGGACGAGGTCGCCTGCCCACATAACACCTACTCCATTCATCTTCAGACTATCCAAAATTCTAACTATACAAGAACAAATTAACATCACTAATTAAGTTGAATAAAATCACAGGATTTAGAAGATAAAGGTTTTTAACATTTGCTTTTTTCTACTATTTATTCCCAAGTATTGCAACTTGAATTAACTTTGCAAAAGGAGAAAGTTAAATGTATTTATTTTCTCCAACAAAATTTTCTTCTTTTTATAAAACGTTCAACCGTATGGTCGCGTACTGTTATGTCCGACGTTTCTGATACATCCTGTACAACATAACGGCACTCACTCTTTCAGGGTCTGCGGGGAAGACGAGAATTCGCCTGCAATCTCAGTCAACCAAGAGACGCCGTCTCGCGTGGATCAACAGGTGTTGTCGTTACCTGTGGAAAACGCGTTCACCAGCATGGGTAAGTTCAAGTTTGTTTTGCGCTAATTTACCTAACAAACTTAATTAAATCTGATCGGTCTATTTAACATTGGACCAGGCATCGTCTCGTAATAAGGCTTCTTTTAGCCACGAAAAACGGAGAAACCCACACAATTTCTTGCGTCTTCGTTTAGGTATGCAGGATGAAACTCGCGAGTACATTAGGCGTTCGTGTTACGTTGACGCTATTTTGGTGACACAACATAGCAATAAATTGCAATTAACAAATTTAACATCAAATAATTCTACGGTATGATACTAACAAGGAACGTAATTTAGTTATTATCAGACAATGAGTATAACAGTAATAGAAGTTACAAATGCATGTTATTATCCAAATTGCACTGTAAATAATTAGAGGACTGTTCATATGTTTTCCATACGTAAAAACCTGTATAATGTTATGTAAATTATCATGAGATGAAAGTGTTATTATGTTATATCACTATAAGTATACGGTATCGCTTTAATGTTCAAAGATATAGGGATATTCGATATAGTACACACACATTACATCTTCATAACTCATAAAACATTATTTCTTCAATAGTGTGACATATGTTTTTGCAATTACACGAATCGAATTTAACTTTCCCTTTCTTGATTTTAAAAAACTCAAACCAGATTCTATCTCTGACCGACAATTATTTAGCAACAAATTTATGTTTGCTACAGTGAATCGTCGGACGTCTTAAATGTCACAGACAAATGTCGAGATGGAAATGTCAGGTCAAAATGTATCTTGCACTGTACGCGATCATAAGTTACCCTTTTAATTCGGTGTTTTAGGTAAATCAGCAATCACTTTCGTAACGTTTGCGCTTTTACACCTCGTTAAACATTGACCTAGAAAAAATAGGAACATCTTGATGAGAGAAGCTGATTTTCGAAGTTGACTCTACTTTCGATTAGCATAACAATGCCTCTTTTATTGCTGTGATATAAATTTTAAAGAGGAAATAATGTTTCGAGCATAATTATATGCCATGGTCGCTAGCATATAATTATCAGTACTTATGTGCAGTGTATGTACTAGTAATTATAGTTAAGTTACAACTTTGTTACCTCAGATCTGAACGTGATCATTTTCTATTTATGTCCAACTGAATGTTAAATCATCGATTGTTAGCAGTGTTTCAAATTAACCAGATTTCAAGTCAACTATTAATGCATGCATGCTAGGATAATTTATATCGGAAAATAATAGATACAATGGTATTGTAACATGTGAGTCGTGAGTATCGTATTCTGTCAACGAAATGTCAGAAGGGTATCAGCTTAATCAAACGCACCACGCGGAACCGCAGCGATCTTGTCGTCCTTGCAAAAGACGCGCTTGAGCGGTGTTAAAGATCAATGAATGGTGTTTCTCTCTTTTTTAATTAACACATTATAGAAACTGATCTATTTCATTTAGCACACTCAGTTTAAATTTTAAAATGAGCTGGCAAATTTTCAACTTGTACTTGATTTGATAGCAACACATTTTTCAATATATAATAATATATCATTCCTTCTATTTAGTCAATAGAATAAGCTATACAAGGTGTTAGTAATTATTAAGTGACGACAAAAACACCACCGTCTCTCACACGGCATTGACTCCCTTTCCTGGCGGCCCACTTTTCACAGAGTTACGTTTACTTAATAATGGAGTATGTCCACGAGCGATCTTGCACAAGGTTGCACGATCGGAATATGTTTTTTTGCGCCCTTCCGTTTTTCACGCAAAGCTAATCCCATTTTCTGATTCCAGGAGCCGTGTACGTTTGCTGTCTGTTGGCCATGCTATCCGTAAGTCTCTCGATCACACTTTCCTCGGTGTACTTCCTGCTTTTCATGATCCCGGAAGAGATTCACTCGCGAGCATTGAAACGCTCACTGCCATAATAAATTACGGATTTCATCTTCAAGTGGAACTTTCATTGTCCAAATTAATTGGGAGACGAGAGAAATTTTTGTGTTTATATTCTCACTTTTGCATTCATTATTTCAGGTTCTAGAACAATGTCATTAACATAAGAATAGTAAGAGTAGCATTAATTAAGCATATTGTAATTCGACGTGGAGGAACAATTTTTATAAAAATGTATAGATTTATTATTTATATTCTCCAGGTTCTGTAATATATTAGAAATGTTAGGAAGCAAAAATGTACACCATAGAAACATAATGTTTCAATATTAAACGTTTTTCTGTATTTACGCCAGGAAAGAAATCGCACGCAAACCGCGTACAATTTCTTGCGTAAAACTGGCGAACCCGCAGTCAAAGAATATCGATCCTTTCACAAGTGGAAAGTTAACGACGAATGAATTACGTTAAATAAGAGCGATTGACATGAATTACCTCCATCTACAATGTTTCATTTCTGGTAGAATTTAGGGAAACTACATTCTTGAATCGGATTTCCTTATCAAAGAACCATTGTTAATTTTTTATTAGAAAAGAAAAGAAATGTCATATATATTTTTATCTAGGTAAAATTCAAAATATTTTCTTCCAATCATCGAATTCCTTCCATCAGGTATTTCTCACGGTGGAAGCTGGTGACATGATGCGAAAGAGCATCGTTTTCGACAAGAACACGCCAGACGTGTTCTACTGTCCGCAGCAGAAACCGACTGGTTTCGAGAAAATGATCGTCAATGCGAAACCGTTGTCCAGACTTTGCCAATTCGAGGGCAAACCGATACCGCCCGATTACAAAAGTGATTGCTACAACGACGTGGACGAGACCGAATACGCCTGCAAAGAGAAATATAGAATTATGGTGAGTCATCGGTGAGCTCACGGGCCCTGAATAAACAAAATTTCTCGGCGAAAAACGATCCACGTTTGGAAAACTTTATTATGTGAAACGCGATCAGGTACCTAAGTGTGACGATTAAGATGATATTTTAATCAAGCGTTCAACAGGGAGCTTATGCGCTTAAGCTGCATTTCATGCATTACACGGTTAACGCGATTAAACTATCACATATTGCGAGGTTTAATTGGAACACGTTCATGTATAGATATTATACAAACAACACATTAGCAGGATAAACTATTGTATGGTTTATATTACCAAGAACTAGTATGAGTATATAAATTGCGGATTTATATTGTAATTTAGTGACAGGCAATGAAAGTATATTTCTTAATATAAATTGATCTTTCATTATGTCCAATGAACATATGTCTTGAGTGTTATTTTTGTATTAATTTTGTGCAATCATATTAGACATTTTATGTATCAATATTAGTTTTGTAACACAACCATATAATGAAGAAGTCAAATGCATTGTAATATTATTGCTGAAGAAAAAAGAATGTGTCCAATTGAGCCTCTAGAGCACCCGACCAAAAATAAAGCCAAGCCAAAGTTTTATCAGTGATTATGCACGCCTCATCCTATCATCGTAACACAGCATTGTTCATCACGTGTAACGGACTGGTGTCGGTTTTGTTTTCTTACAGAAACGATTCAGAAATATGGAAGGGGATGTGAAAACTACGGATGACTTCACCAGCAAATAGATGAGAAAATTATTGCTGCACGGCCGAGCCAATTTTGCAAATACCGGCTCCTTCCACTAATGCTCAAACTTGCAACCACCAGTTCTATTACGAGTCAAATATTTTTTATGACGTTTATTAGATAGATTTAACAGTGAAACTCCATTTATCACGATGTCCACTTGTCCCGCAAACGTATTTAAATGGAGTTCTGCTGTAGTTTTAAAAACTAAGTGACTCTACGATTGTTAGATCGTTGCATTTACATTTATAGATGGAAATTAGTACAAATCTTTGCAATGATTCAATCGTATTAACGAAACATGTATCGCATGTAATAGTCTTTATGGAGTTCACGCTTTTTTAACTCGAAATTGTCAAGTTTTATATTTTTTTAATTGTAAGATCAGACCGGTGCTATGTAGTTTTCGAGCTTGGTGCCGGAATATTTATAGATTTTTTTTTGTAACAATATTAATAAAACTAACAGTCGACGGATTGTGGGCAAGATCATTAATTACAGTGGCTTCGAAAGCTGATATTTTGATAACTGTTTGCACACTAACTTGCATTTATTTTTGTTCAGGTTTAATATCAAACAAAATTGTAGTTACAAAATTTTAGTTTTGTATTTCTTTATGAAAATAAATTAATCTTAGAAGAAAGTATCTGGGAATCTTCACTTTTAAGTACTGCTCTTGAGACAATCTAAGTATAGCATTTGTGGATTAACTTCTTTTTCAATTTTTATTTTATAAAGTGAACCTGAAGAGCATGAAACATGTGCGGTAGGTAATATTTTCTTTAAGTTTGACATGAAAAATGAAGTATATTCAGCACGTTGACTGCTACTTGTATGTTTTTAAATTTCTATAAAAATCACATCTTTAACTTACCTAATTTTAAATACTTATGAAATTTGTAACTCTGTGGCAGTCAATGCACTACTTCTTCAATTTTTATTTGGTTCTTGCATTTGAATTGTGTACGTTTCTGTTTTAGATGCGACTACACCCTCCTGGAAGCGAAGTACCATACAATGGTTCCCGTTTATCAAAGTTTTTAGCTTTCGATAAAGAGATGTACAAGAATAGGAATCAGATTGAAGATACTGAATGATGAGAATTTTTGATACATGCCTTTCTTTCAGATTTATTGGCAAATGTTTAGCTTCTTCTAAATTATATTTTAAAATTCTTGGATCAAATGCTTTTATCGTAACATTCACGTAATTTATTGTCAATTGTAAATAATAAGTTCCTGTATCTTTTTAATGTTCTGAAGACTTGCCGCATCTCATGTTTTTGATAAGTTATAAAGATTCATTGTTATTAAAATATTTAACGTTCCTATTCACTGTGAAGTGTACAAAGCTTTTCTTTTTAGGGTTTGTAATATACTTGTAACATACGCGTAACATACTGTAAAAAGAAAATAATATATGAAAGTGAATATCTTTTGAGCATGTAAATTATTGATTACATAGAAAATAAAACACTTTTACCTGAAAATTGTATTATCCTTCTGTCTTGATTTATTAAATATATTGTTTACAGAGGCTTGTTAAAAACTTCTGAAAATGTGATTTCTAGAATAAAATACTGTCATGTAAGTTGTATAATTTATGCAATATATTAATGTATTATAAAGGTTCATTAACATAAACCCTTAGTAAAATTAATAGTAATGAACTCGTTTAAATGATTAATAAGTTTCTTCATGGATGTTTGATAAAAATGTATTTTTACATATTATGCTTTGACGTCGAGTACTCTCCATAATGAATTTTTCTTACTATGTAACAAATATATAATAAAACTATGTTTTACAGACCTCATCGTAACAAAATCATTGCAATTTTTCGTACAGTACAAATTAATCGTATATTTATTTTTACAGTGTTTGCAAAACTGCTGATTTCATTTATTTTACACGATTTAAACTATCGGTTTTCGAAAAGCTGATTTACAAAAATTTGCAGAATATCTGAATTGTTCATGAATCATGATCATTCGTTTTATAAATGATCTTATTTATAAAGATTATTTACATACCTTATTATACTGATCTTAGAAATATTTGTTATTAATGTGCATTTGTGATTTCAAAGCTAAACGCTATACAAAAAGAAAATGCTGCCTTCGATTCTACAAATAATACATATAAAGTAATTTTACTTATTCGAATGTTATATACCTTTTTGCTATAATTGCACTTAATGCTTAAATTATAAATACACTATGACACACGCAATATGTTGTATAATCAACCGTCTTACTTTGTCAAAGAAACTTCTATTATACTTGTAAAAATACTTCAGAAAATGCTGTTCAAAACCAAAATACATTTTTGAATTTACCTTAATGATGAATAAAACGAACATCTCGTTACAATATTCGATTTATTCACACGGTTAAAAGACCAATATTGTTTTTTTATAACAAAATATATAAAAATGGATATAGACATCACAGGTCACAAGTATCACTAATTATGTTCTAACACTGCAACTGGGAAAAAACAAAGTTTAATTATAGATTATATATGTATTATTAACTTGACTCAATATCAAGTAAAAAAATCTAATGAATGATGAATATGAAATCAAATAACTGATAAAACTAATGAAAAGAAAACTTACTGATTAGGTCATTAATATAATAATTAAAATAATGGTATCTTCGTGTTACAGTAATATCTTGCCTTCAAAATGTTTTTATAAATTCACTGAACGGTCGCAAGAAAAAAATCGTACTTCTGCTGCACATTGTAGGAACATCAGAATACATTGTCTATAAGAATATACCATAGACCAGTGACGGGTAGACAATTTCTCAATTTCTAAATCTAAGTTTCAAATCTTTATGGATCTTTAATTTCGCACTCCGTGCACCTCAGGTGCTACTAAATTTTCTTGGGCGTCCTTTCTATCCGCATCACTGTTCTAGATCGTAGACAAATAAGAGATCAAAGTTCATTCCCACAAATTCCGAAAATAATTTACATATTACAAGATTAATTTTCCCCCGTTTGAAGCTCTTATCTGCGCCACCTGTTCAGGAGTAAGGATCAACTTGCTTCCATTAGGTAATGCTAAGGCATAATGGCTTCCAGTTTCATTCACGACTACTACTAACTGTGTGTTCGAGTTCTGAACGGGTGGTGCAGACTTAATGGGCGTTATCGAGATGCCTCCTTGTGTCATACGTTGAATTATCTGTGGAGAGATGGCACTTTTTGTTGCCGGGCTGTTCGATTGCGTAACATTCTGTCTAGACTGTGCGTAATTCTTCCGATGAGTAGTCTTTGTTTTCTCCGTTTCAGCTCCGGGACTGGTTTCAGTAATGATCATCTCAATTTCATCATCACTGTCACTAAGGACAATTAAAGAAGTAGTCTTTTGACCAGTGGTTTCCGCGGGTGCAATCTGTTTCCTTGGCTTCTGGGGTCTCACAGTGGAACCACGTGGTTGCTGAAAGGTTTTGGCTCCCCTGGCGGTATTAGCCCGTGGGAAACTTCCTCTGATAGGCATGCTGCTTCTTATAACAGCTCCGTGAGAATGAAGATTTTGTCGCGGTACGATGTACCTGTTTTGAACTGGTCTAGGTGGGGGAGCTGCAGGGGGCTGAATGTACATAGGATTCTGAGGCATCTCCTGAGCAGCAACAGTTTGAGAACCTGCAGGCACGTATTCAGGATGCGATTGCGTCGGCGTCATCATGTAAGGCAGGTAACCAGGCTGGCTGATGAACTGTTGAGGAGCAATCATTTGTGGGCCTTGTGGTTGAAACGGTTGGGAAGGTATGAAATTGGGTTGTGGATTTTGAATAATGTAATTCTGCCCTCCCTGCATGTAGTAGCCTTGTTGAACGGGTGATATAATGTTCGAAACCACTGGACCCGGTTGCCCGTATGTGTTTTGTGTAGCAACGTTCACAGGATTCGGTTGCATCACGTAATAGTTTATTGGATTGTGATCATCTCTGACCATCACATAATTTTGATTAAAATTAGTAGCATAGGTATTATCGCACTGACTCATACAATCATAAATTGGACCTTCGTCTTTGATGTCCAACTCTGAGTGTACGCTTTCGACATTTTCGATCTTGCAGGTGATTTCCGTGGAAGGCACTGGTTCTTTAGGGTTATTTTGTACCACGGTGTCAGGATCCTTTGCAGCATCTTGCACCACTGCTTCACCGTTCTCTGTAGTATTTTGTACCATGGTGTCGTGGTTATCTGCAGTACTTTGTACCTCGGTATCATGATTTTGTACAGCATTTTGTATCGCAGGATCAGGATTCTCTGAACTAAGTGGGTCTTCTGGTTTACATATTTGAATTTCTTTGATTTTAGGTTTCGGCTTTTGGTTTTTTATATTTATAGGGGTAGTTACTATTGGCTCTGCCATGTTTTGGAGGGTGTCAACCTTAATGCTTTGTAACTTATGTTGAAAGGATTTTAATCTTCGGCTGGCAGCTGTAAAATAATAATGAATACATTTATCTTGAATAAATATATTTGTATATTTATACGTATTTTATTTACTTACACGGACGTTTATTTTTCCTTTTGCGAGAGCTCGGTAGAATCCAATCCTGGTCTGAGTCCTCCTCGTTCGTTCGACTGTCAAGGTTTCTGATTTTCGTAGTAAGGTAAGGAGTGGATGAATCGGCCTGTGTAGTGGGAGCCGCGTAGATGGCCTCAAGGTCGGGCCATTCTTCCAACTCGTTCTCTTCAGTCTCGTCGTCCGAATAAAATGTGTACGAGGAGACACCGCGTGCTCGCAACACTCTTCCCGATTGCAGTTCTGTTTGCGTAACCAAAATAAATTTTTAAGTTCTAATTTCTAGTTTCGACAATTTTGAACTTCCTCCTCAAACCCTCATCCATGTGCCCGTTTCTGGTATATAGAGATTATTTTTACCTTCTTGGTTCGAGTCTTCTTTCGATTCTTTTTTGTCTTCGGCGCCGTCCTGGATGCTTCCTTCGCCTCCGTTGGATTGACTTCTTTGCGTTTCATCTTGCGTGCTTTCACCCTGATGTTCCTTACATTGTTGGTTGCTATTTTTATCGAATTCGACGGAGTTCGTACGTTGGTCTGCTTGACGGTCTTCAGTTTGGTTGGAAACGTTTTGGGAGCCAGTTGGGGATATGGTAAAATGCGGTAACGTTTGTAACGTTGAATCTCCGGAAGTTGGCGGTGGACAGCTCTGTGATCCAAGAACCCACCAATTAGAGTCGAGACCCTCCCCAGATGAGTCCTGATCCTCCACACTGCTACAACATATAACAGTTTGTCTGCAATGTACGCTCGACAAGAAAAGAACAACATTATTGAAGTAATGTGGTTGAATTCCACTTTATAGATTACATATTAATTGTAGCAATTCCAAGAGGTGTCAGGTAAATGTGATCTTTAATCTGGGAACATCGAGTCGCATGGTCTTTCTTATCATTTACAAATTATGACAAGTACTTCAAATATTCAATTACTCAAAAAAATTTCGTACTATTCCCAGATTAAATTTGAGGTGATAGAATGATGTGCTTTTAGAAAATTTAGTGTGATTTAATGTAAACAAAAATATACCCTTCTTTAAAATTGGTCCATTCCTTTTGAAGTTTCCCTCTGGCCCTTCTTGTCGACTCACGTAAAGCTGATTCTATTTTTTCTACAGTGGCTAGTAAATCCATCATTTCTTTAATCAAACTTACTTCACAAGGAGGGATAGATTCGTCCTAAAAAATACAAAAAGGATTAGATAATAATACTTTAAAATTAAATAGAAATAACAAGATAGTACGTACTTCACCATCAGCATCAGTAGTTGTATCATCATCCTTTTGAGAGAAAGAAGCAATGAGATCTCTCAATGAACTGACGCTGTCAGCTACAAGTTGAAATTCCGAAGAGCTAAGTTCTGAAAGCATCTCATTAAAATTCTCCACTTCTTGGTGCCACATATCTGCTATGTTGTTCTTTAATTTTCGGTCATTATAATTCTTTTTGCGCTCTTCGTCAAGATAGTGCTCATCATCCATCGCTTCTTTTTGCAACATGCATCTTAACTCACTCAAAGAAAGATCTTTATCGTCATTAGACTCTATCTCATTGTTACTTTTACTTGTTGCTTTAGAATGTGGCGTTTCCTTGTCACTAATGTTCAAATTATCTGATTGCTGGCTGTCGGCATATTGTCCATTTGGTCTCTCGATTATCTCATTTCCCTCTTTTCCTTCAGACTGATCAGTCGCGTCACAATTAATTCTCGTTTCGCTTAACTTCTCATCATCAGATTTTGATGTCGTCATCTGATGTGCTTCACTGCCAACCTTTAAACTTTCAGCGCTGATAATTTCGTTCAACTTTTCATCGTCTGTCTTCGAGACACTACACAAACTATCAATTGTTCTATCGACAGGTTCACTCTTAGTTGCGTGCAAATTTAATGCATCTAAATACTGCTCTTTCGCTGATGTAATTTCCAATTTGTTTGGGGAAGTATGCGTTAAACTTACACCAGAATCTTCTGTACTTTCAATTTCACTGAATTCTGATTGTAAATTAGTCAATAGTCCATTAATTACATTTATGTCACATTTTTTATTTGTAATATCACTGCTATTCGAGAAACCTTTGAACATTCTTTCCGGTGATTTGCTTTCAGAAAGATTGTCGATAGAACGATTCGTATCGTAACCACTCGATTTTGTACAACAAGTTTTATCTGATTCCATACTTACTTCCGAACATTTCGATGAACTTCTCGGTCTTTTAACATTGATAGTGGTCGGATTGATATCGTTATTGTTATTGCTATTACTATCACTACATGTACTTAGGTTACTCAAACTTGTATCTTCGTTTATCAAGGAACTTGTTGCGCTATCGCTGTTACTCTTAATATCGTTTAATTGTTTTTCATCACATTTATTTCCTTTCCTCTTTAATTTCGGAGGCAAACCGTTGCACCATCTTCTTCTTCTGCGCCTAACTTGTTTTTTTATTAACTCATTTTCATCCAGCTCTTCATTTTCCGCGTGTAATTTTGGCTTGATAGGCTAAAACCATAACGATGGCAGTAAGAAACGAAATAATATAAACATAATAGGAGAAGGATAAGCAATTTACTTGTGATAATGGTACCTTCACCGTCGAGAAAATCTTATTATCAAGACAGTGTCTATACACTCGTAGATCACTTTTCAAAAATTGTGGAAAATAAACGTATCTTGCGCCATAACGATCAGTTCCTAGGACAGTTTCAAATTGGTTTTCCCATGGTTGCTTGGCTATTTCTTCTTGCACAGATTTCCTAGAGTGCTAAAAAGTGTTCAAGTAAAACATGTGTCCATACTTATATACATATCTATGAATGTATTAATTCTATCATACCATAACTGTATCACAGACTGTTTTCAAAAGCCACACCTTCTGTTTAAAGGTCAGCTCTTCAAAATCTTTGCCATTCAGCAGAGGAGCATCAGGAAAAACATTCCAAAATTCTGGTTCAACACCAATGGTCTCTAGAATCTAAAAATCTTTGATCACATTTTTTATCATTACAACGTACAGTGTACTTAATTTGTGTATAAACATATTTTCTTTGATGAATGAAATTGTTGCATAGACTGAACCCGAAGATTAATAAAATGATTATGTTAGATACTTACTTTTACTGGGTCTTGATGCTTTGCTTCATACACTTTAAACCAGCTCTTCATTTTGTAGGCCAAGATATTTGTCCAAAACTCATATGGCATAGGCGGTACCTTTCTCAATTTTGATTTTGTCATTGGAGAACTAGAATGAACAATTTTGGTAAATTGTAAAGGATTCTTAGCCAAAAAAATTATTATTTAGCTAGCTTTGGGTTGAACAACCAACCCTTAAAAATTGTATACCTTAGTAAACAAGTCATAATGTTTGCCAGTTGTTTTGAAGCTCTTGGAATTAAAAGCATGCGTTCCATTTCATACATGGATAAATGAGGTATATTTAGAGCTTCCTTAGCCAAATGAAGGAACTGAAATATCTGTGGAATCTGAAACATTGTATAAATAGTTAAAAAAATACTTTGGGAAGGTGGAGATTAGTAATTATAACAATAAAGAGATGTACCTCCCACATAGATTCCATTTCATTTTTTATTTCTTCAGAGAAAATATTTTCTTCCTCCCAGTCAACTGGTGACTGGCTCCCATCCTCGGACTTTCTTTTTCTACTTTTCTTTGACATGGCTATAATAAAAACAGAACAACTTTATGACCTAAAAAATTGTATCATTATAATTTATTAGCATATTCAATTCATGCTGAATGTTTGAAGTTTAAAAGAAATTATTTCTGATCGCAAAAGATAATCTGTCATCTCTACAACATTATTAGTATAAGATAAACATTAGTGACCTACTATCAACCATCAAGTGTTGATGCAATTTTATGTTTATTTTATCAGAATAAGCTCAGCCTTTAATACACCTTATGAAACTTTCATTAATTTCATTTCCACAAATTTATAATGTCAAAGGTAATGTTTGCCTGATAACATGAATAAATGGTTTAACTATGACTTTGTTTATAATGCAAACATTTATGTGTTACTCAACAGTAAGATCTTTATTGGAAGTAAACACTTTTAAACTATTATATAGTATAATTGCAATGGTCCTTCCGCTACCAGTTTGTCTACTTATGGTCCTTATTTTTCTTGTCTGATAATCTGCAGTCACCACTCTATTTTTCTGATCAGATTACTATATTGACTACTATAGATAAGATGGTAGCAAGATACATTCTGCACATGTTATTACAAATATAGACATTTAATTCTTCAATTTCATTGAAGTGTATAATTTTGCTTTAATATCACTAATGCTCAAAAGTATGACTCTCATGACAATTGATTAATTTTTATGAATTGCACAAACACCTATAATAAAATGAATGAAAGGCTGTTTGGTAAGTGGGTGTACTTTGGTATGCAAAAGATCTCCTTCGAAAAGAAACGATAAAACAGTAATTTATAATTATCTGCGTCATCGCACGCGTACTCGACGAGGACAACAAAAGTGTTACTATGTAAGAAATTTCCCCACCAAGTTAAAAGGGTGCAAACGCCATCGTTGACCCCAAGTCGATTGACATCCTTCGCCGATGGCTTACAATTATTAAACGAATAAGTTGACACACCTTTCAGTGACCCTAATTGTACGAAAATATTTTCTGACCAAACGTTGCCTTCAAGAAGTTCTTCAGGGTGTAACAATTTAGCGCTACTTGTGGATAAAAACGGAAGATCTCAAGGATTACGAAAAGTAATTTTTCTTTAGGAAGCAAGTGATCGCACGCTGAGATATCGATGCAACTTTTCAAACGAAGGTAATATTTCAAAATTAATAACAGAGTAGGATAATAAATACATCAACCGTGTAGCAATCAGCCGATTCAGGACGTGGATGCGATGCCAATTAAACTTTATTACCGAGAGAACCAAAAAACAGAGGACGAAAACGAGATCGAAAACTCTTACAAGACCGTCGACAGGACGACGCTGAATTATCTCAGAAATCACGATCCCAATTTACCGTATTCTATCAATACGTTGCATCTACAAAACCCGTACAGATCGCCGCAAATTTTAGAAGGATACTCGTCTCAGGAAAATTTCAAAGTACGACCATCTTTCAAGGTGATTTTTTCTAGTGTTATACATTGAATCTTCATTTAACACATTATATTAATATAATACTGAATATTTGTAAGATTATGTATCGATCAAAAGATACAACGTTAAGGTCCAGATACAAGAATTCGTCGCTCAAGAAAGACACCTCCATCGCTCAAACATTTGATCACGACGACAATAAAAATTTGAGGTAAAATACTGTGTTAATCTTTTCAGCGTAGTAAATAATCAAATTTTAATTTAATTCAGTAAGAGTGACGGTCAACTATGCCTCAAGAATTTGGACATTAAAACCGCCCTCAAGCAATATTGTTCAAATACTAGTCTACACGGATTACGCTATGTTGGCGATTCAAGCTTGACAATCGGAGAAAGGTAATTTTTTAATCGCACACGTTGCTTCATTTTACACAAAATTTTGTCTGCAGAGTCTTCTGGATAATCTCCTTCACTCTTGCGGTGCTAACCGCCGCTTATTACATATGGTCGCTATACAGAAAATGGGTTTCGACACCCATCATTATTTCTTTGAGTCCTGAATCGGTTGCTTTGGACGAATTTCCGTTTCCTTCGATCACTCTGTGTAACATGAACAACGCAAAGAAGAGCGAAGCTGATCGTATAAACGCTGGGTAAACAATTGCGTATAAATGAAATATTTTCGTTAATAAATTATTGATGTATATCATTTTTACAGTAACGACGCACGCATGAAACTTTTACTGGAAGATAGATGCAATTTTGATAATACGTCAAGTAGCTACAATCTTGACGAAAGTTCAATCGATTGGAACAGTATGATGCATTTTATGATTAACGTACGTATTTTAAAACAAATAATTCAAACAAATAAGTGTTCGTTGTGTAAAATTAATAAAGTTATAGAATAAGTTCACACACGCGTACATTGAAAAATGAGCGCACAGTTTATCGCGATGATCATATTCGATCTCCTCTTGTGTACTTTGTACATGTTTTCCAAGGATGTTTGCTATTGTGACACAAGCTAGATACATATTGATGATTCGAAGAAAAAGTTGTACGTCTAATCTTGAAGCATACATCAAGCGTCACGAAATGCACTTAAATATCTTCATTAAATTTATAAATTTTGTCGTCGTACTTCGAATTTTGTACTCGGACAACGTTATTGATCGATCTGGAATCCGATACTTCGGTAGTTTAGGTACTATATAGGGGTTGCGGTTTTGAGAGATCAAGTTAGGGAACTCCTTAAAAATTCCGAACCCAGGAAAGTTTAAATGAACGTACATTGCAAAGTTCGTGGACTTTGAAGAATTCTCTATTAAAAATTTAAATATATAAAAAGTGAAAAACATTTATAAATTCATGAAGTGTTTTTCAACAGGTATCTCAATCCTGCAACGAGATGCTACACCTCTGTAAATGGCATGGAAATATAACTGATTGTGAAAAGCTTTTTAATCCAACCATGACTGACGAAGGAATCTGTTGTAATTTCAACTCGGTTCACAAAAAATATTTGTTTTACAACCCGTGAGTATGAAGTTAAAATTTGTAGTTTATAGCTTCACAATAGGAGCATTGATTTGAAGAATTGTTTAATAAATTTCAATATTCTTTCTAGCCGAGATTGGTCCGATTTGAACATCACGTTTCCATACACCAGCATCGATTGGACTCCGGAAACTGGTTACGACAGTAACGTGGCTGTAGACTCCATACCATGGAGACCTTACGGCGCTGGACAATTCTATGGTCTCACTTTAGTCCTCGATGCAGACGTTGCTGAATACTATTGCTCATCTACGGCCAGCGTCGGTTTCAAGGTATAGCTTTCAAACTTAATTTCCAAATAAGATCATCTATATGATATTCAAAATAAATATTAGTAGAAAGTCTAAGATGCAAAAATATATATAAGAAATGCTTGGGTTCATAATAAAAGAATGAAAGTGTTTTTACAGATGCTGTTGCATAATCCGGTCGAGACACCGAAAATTGCAGAATTTGCATTCTCAGTGACCCCGGGAGAAGAGACCAGGGTAATCATCGCGCCTCGGATATCGACCGCTAGCAAGTCGATAACTTCCGTTCCCCAGAGGAAGAGGAAATGCTTCTTCACGTTCGAGAGAAAGTTGCGCTATTATAGAACCTACACGCAGAGGAACTGTGTTCTCGAGTGCGAGGCGAACTTCACGCAGAAAATTTGCCACTGCGTTCAATATTACATGCCTAGTAATATTCTCATCTCAATATGAGCCATTTCCTTAATTATTTGTATATAATTTTAAAAATCTGTCTCGTCTAATCTCTTCGTTATAAAACAATTACATAATTGTATATGTACATCTCCATAGTTATTTATTCATTTTCTTCGTCAGAATCCTCAAACACCCCAATTTGCGAAAAGAAAGACGATAACTGTGCAACGAACGCCCGCAGGGCCATGGAAGTGAAGCTTTACGACGACGATACCGGTATAACTACTCTGAACGTGTCTGAAACGTGAGTCGTTTATTGTATCTTTATCAAGGAATTCAAAGCTCATGATAGCATACAGTTATTAATGCAACTGCAGACAGTGAATTTTTGTAGTGTTCAGCTCTCTGAATTTTATTTAATAGTTAATCCAGCTTTGATCGTTTTGTAGACCTAGCTGCAACTGCTATCCAGGATGCTTCGAGATTAATTACAATGTCGAAATTTCCCAGAGTAAATTAGAGCCCTCCTTCGCCATCGCGGAAAACTATGTGAAGAAGGATAAGAAATATTTTACGTGAGTATAACGAAGAAAAGAATCGAAATTGATAAGTACATTTTTTATCCTTTAACAGCGAGAACATGGCTGTGGTCCATTTGTTCTTCGTCGAATCTCAGTTCACGAAGTACGTGAAAAACGAGCTCATTGGATTCACGGAGTTTCTCTGTACGTAACTTTGTTATTTTTACCTCTAATCTGTTTGCTCTTAGTGCCAATAGCAATTAATTATCACGGTAATTCTTGTATTTAGTCGGTAAAGAGCTTCCCGTCGTTTCCAATTTTCCTAAGCTTCTAATCCTTCCTTCATACATACATGTACACATATGGTTATACATATGTAGGGATCCTATGCCCTAATATTGATTATGTTGCATATAGAGTATCCACACTATTCCTGGAATTAAACCGAGGACTAACGGTTAACTAAAATACGAAATTTATATAAATTAACAAATCAGAGAGAATAAGAATATAACAAACTCTTAAGTATTTATAGTCAACGAAATTTTGACTTTAAAAATCAAAGGTTTCAATATGTAATTCATTATGTATAGCCAGCACGGGTGGTTTATTGGGACTCTTCATGGGCTTTAGTTTTCTATCACTGGTGGAGGTCATCTACTTTGCAACGCTACGTTTATGGTGTCGTGCACAAAAGAACAAGCATACTCGCAATGTCCGTCAGGTACATCCTCTGGATTCAGATCGAAATACTGTCTACCCATTTGTACAGTAATTTGTCACTATTCTCTTGTATTTTAAGACTTGCATCGTTATAAATATTAAAACCACATTGTAAATAAATTGAAATGAGTGTAAAGTTTATAAAATAATACACTGAAAACATTTATCATTCAAAATCTGTTTGATAAATACCCAGCATGCAACTTCAATTTACCGGTACACGAGTTCGAGGTTTCTCGATTATCCATTATTTTCGATTATTCGATACATCGAACGCGTATAGCCCGAGACAATAGTTAATCGCGAATATCCGAATTCCATAGCATTTTATTTTAATATGATTGCGAAATTGTCTTTAATTGTTTTAACAATCATTTTGTTCTATTATATGAGGGCCATATAAAATAAAAGTTATCAGAGCGCACTCTATTGTAGTTATAGCCAACGTGGCTTTTGTTGGACACTATATGTACAAAGATGACAGTGTATAGTATATGACCTGTGTTATATGATACTTTATATGCGAATACAATACGCAATACTAGGGATTATTTCTCTTATCGAGAGATACTTTCTTATATTATAAATTAATACAATAAAAGAATGATACATATGAATATGTATGTGCAATGATTTCATTTTAATAATTTATTCTGACGTCGTGATTATTTAATTGGCTGACCGCAATTTAATGTGTTAATAGAGGTCTTGATATACATGTTATAATTAATCATTTGTCTTAGTGGACTCATTAAACAAACGATTCAAAATAATTCGTGTCCGTAAAAATGCAATTCGTAGGCGTACCTGAACCAAATAAAAATAGACATATATAGGCACCTATCCATATTTGTGTTTACCTATTGCAAGAAGATATTAAATAATTCTAATTTACATTCTCGTTTTATACTTATAGTATAAGTTTAATAATTTCTTAAATTTTAATAAAATAGCAGTATCAAATTACATGGTCGTATGTAAAAATACAGACACTTGCTATAAACAATTATAACCTGTCATCACAGTATAATAATTAGTAGCTTGATAAAATTATGGCATAGAATTTTATTAAACTATTATATTAATTCGATTGTCATTTTGATCAAAATATGACCAATGCTATTACGAAAGAAACATGCATCTTTTTCAATGACTTACCTTTGGTGTAAGATTCTCGATGGAACTTCAAGTATAACACAGTATCATTCTCAAGAATATTATGACGTGATTGCAATTAAAAGATCATTGTACCACAAGAATTATAACCATTCAGCACTAAACACACCTCAATATTTTCCACAACGCCATGTTGATTCCTTGACAGTACGTGTATGACTAAATTCACTGTGCAACCCGAGACTATAGACTACAGTCACGTCGTTCATCGAACCACTTGCGCATGCGCATCACGTCCCGCCATCATTTCAAATATCTCCCATCCAATGACTATACATGGAGATACCAAACTTTAATTTTTATATAAATCTAGATCTACTGCTTCCATCGAAAAGTTGAGGTTATCGAACCAAAAGTTAATGCAAAAAATAAGAAATTTGTTGGAGGTAAAAGATAAAATATATAAAACGGAGAATAAGAAAGACTAAGCGGATCAAAGTTCGGGCGTATAGTAATCGATCCCCGCTAAATAAATATTCACGTGAGTCTTCAAAAATGAAAATGTCCCACGGACATCATTTATTATTATACCTAATGTCTGATATAATCGTGCGCTAACTTTTAATCGGTACGATTTCCTTATCTAGGCAATAATTAATATGATACATGTTACATTCAAAATTATAATTCTAGTTATATTGACAGCAGACTAATCTAAAGTGACAATCTTTTTTCCCTTCATACAAAACGGTGTCTTGTGTACACGCATCGCCTAAGTTCTTTTACAGTGGTTTCACTCATCGCCATTTTACATCGTTCTTCTTTCGCAAACATGATTTGTTCTTTGTTTCAGAGATTATTCTCCTAAACTGAAAGAAAGAACATCGAATTTATGAATAAACAACACGCGGAAGTCGAAGCTAAAGAACAACGGAAGATTGAAACTTAATTTTAAAAAAGAGTGCATCGCGCAATACAATTCGCTTTTGCTATATAACACGCGTTACATGAAAGTAATTTTTCTTCTTTTTTTTTTTAATTACATTTTCCGTGAAACGATCTTCGACATTTTTATACAGCACACGATAAAAATGTGAAGATCGTTTAAAATTTACAACATTCGTGGAACAACGATTCCGGTATTCTCACCGGACAATGGGAATACCGGAACGAAATCGTGAACATCCCATGAAAGAATGAAAATAACGATTATCTTCTTCCTCTTCATCGTACATAGTTTTATGTATAACTTTACATTCGTACTAGTAGCATATAGAAAGTGCGTAGATTTCCAAAAACATTTTCCCTCCTTCTTCTTCTTCATTTTTTTTACAATGGCAAATGAAAAAATATTTCAATAGATACCCTGAAAATAAATTATTAGATTAAATATACAGTCTCACATCGTTATACGTGTTTACCAATGTTCCTTTCCTTTTTTCTTCCCTTGCGATAGAAAATTACGAGACTTCTTTATTCTTCTATCTTCTTGGCTCCTACACTTTTTGTAATTCTTCTCAAAGTAGAATGTTTCTTATATCTTACAAAGAGGCCATTCTCTTTTCGTACATCTCGTTCTTCTTCTTTTTTTTCTAATCGCTCGCTCCACTTCAAAGACTTAACAATACGACAATGAACAGATAATTTAATAGGAACGTGTTTCTTTTATTATCAAAAATTCGTATGATCAGCATTTATTGCCCATACAACTTGGTGTTATGTAAAAATTAATCTATATCGCGATAGGACTGCATATTTCTGTTCTATTCATCTTTCCCCGCCTTTTTTTTAATTAAGAAATTCCATACAAAAGTTGCATTCTACGCCTAACGATCTATCCACGACCTTTATTATCCGTTTTCATGTGTTTCGCACACCGTATAATCGTATGTGTCCTCCTGCTTTCTTCGTTTCCTTCCTTTCTGTTGGCTAGATTAGACGACGAACATCATTTGTCAAATAAACATAAAATTAAGACAAAGGGCAAACAACGAAGAGACGAAACACGAAAATTCGTTTTCTCTTGTGTCTAACGAGGAAAGTTTGTACAAAAAACCTCTTCATCCTTCATCTGTACACGTTACGACTTATACAGTACACTTATACAAAGTTTTACGTATATTGATGTACACGTTGACTGCCATTTGGGTCACCTATGGCCGATACTTAAAAGTTAATCTGTTAACTGAAAGCATTAGCGTAACTAGGATTTTATAGGGCGAACCAGAACTCGTTCTATTACACACACCAAGCATGACCAAGTGTGTAAATTTGGAATCTAAAAAATTTTGAAATTCTAGGCCCACCCTTTCTACCTAGTCATACTTATGGCTAAGAGATTTAACTCGTTTCTGCGATAGGCACGAAACTAAAATTTACTGCAATTTTAACACGTTAACTATTGATATTAACTCCAAGGACTACAGAGTTTCGTCGAAGAATTGGGAAAAGAAAATGGAGAAAATTGAACTATTATAAATATTGTTATCGATCAGAGTTTCTTACAGCATTTTTCACAACAGTCAACGTGTTAATCATCTTAATGATTCCTGTAGTATGACAATCAACGTGTTAATCCTTATCTGAACGTCGGTCGATATTGCAATTTAACGTTACAAAATACTGCTGCGAGGATAATCGTTCGAAATAACAGGGATTTGATCGACGTATCCGGATAAGGATCAATCATCCGTTGAATGGCGTGCGCAAATTCATTAAGCCGTCAGTTATTTGAAAATCGAGGAAATTTAAAAGAAAAAGAAAGGGTCGAACGTTTTAAGGGCACTGATCGTTTTTATCGACCGATACAAGAATGTCGAGCTAATGACCCTGAAACCTCGACCCTTAGCGGATGAAGTCATCCTCGATAGCGGTTCCGCAGATTAAAATTAAAATTTTACGCTCTTTTCGTGTAGAAATCAATTGGCGAAATCATCGGAGTTTTATATATATTTATATATATACAATCTTGAAGAGATTCTTCTCAGGAAGAAGACGCTTCCGAGCGTTTTGATTAAAATGGAAGCTCCGAATTTTTGTTTCTTGTTCGCTGATATTATCTAAGGACGCGGCAAAACTGCAAGGAGTCACGTAACCGTGTAACATATTTTATAAATTCGCTAATTAACACTTCTCTGGCAATTTCGTGTTTTTGGGATTATTTAGATGGCGCGGAAATGACCAATTTTTGAACTACTTTATAATTAAAGATAAAGGGAGAGGATCTTTTATTTGGAAAGAGCATTTGAAGTTAACAAAAATGGCACTCTACGTTTTTGAAACTACGACAAAATTATTAAAGTTGTATTGCAAACGGCCCCGTATCTCCTTCGACAATTTCAACGACACGAAATTCCTAAAATTACTTATTTACCTAGGACTTCGTACTTACAATCCCCGTCGACCTCGGTAGGTCTCTTAACGTAGGTACAATTATATAAAATCGAGTTACATTCTCGAAAAAAAGGGCTCGAAGAGTTCTTTTTTACGTGAGAAGTCTTATCGGAAATTTGGTAATTTCGCTCAAAACAACTAATGGGGATCTATAAGAAGGTCTGAAAAATTCCATTCCGGTAAATGAATTGAAATTCAGATATCGAACGAATATCGTACGTACAAAGGTTTATCAAAATATTCGAACGGTGTTACCATTGTGATAAAACCGAAAATACACGATATAGCATGCCTTGATAGTGTGCTTAATTAAATTATATAATTGTTTCAAAATTTATACAGTTCTGTTATATAAAATACATAAAATATCGGATAAAATACTTACAAGTTTGTCATATTTTACATATAGTGCAAAATACTCTTTACATAAATTCTGTACGTAAACTGAAAACGTAACATCGTTCGAAAATTTTTATGAGCCACTTGTATACTTAATAATATTTTTCCTGAGTATTTTAATTGTACAGCATATTTTATCGAAGTCCTTTAAACTTAATGGATACCATCATTGTTTCGAGCAGCGTACACGTGTATCAAATAAATTAGAACAATTTATAAAAATCGTATCGCATGATTACATTCGGATTGATCGAACAATCGAGTCATTTCGTAAAAACTTTACAATTAGAGCCCTCCTCTTCGATCCGGGGATGTATATTATTTACAAAATTCTCCTCTACTTTAAAAAAAAAGGTACGATTAAAGTGGTTGCTGATGAGAACATAATGTTCAAGTGTTTCGAATACTATGGTAAATTAATTTACCATTATTGAAATCATTGCACTGCAAGCAGAAACGAGAGAACGCTCTAAAAAAAATCTACGTCACCTCAGTCTTGGAGAAAGAATTTTCGTTACAAAACTCGTGTGAATTTGATTTCGGAAGGGTGTGAATGCAACAATAATCAGGGAGAAAAACAGCGAAGAAAAAGTCTCTAATCTAATCGAAAATACTGTAGCAGGTATTATGACCATATTAAAAGTAAATTAAACGTAACAGTATTATCTTTATTTTACAAGTTATAGCAGTAAAAACAAAGTAATCCCCAACCCCAGATTTCTTGCAAAAGACTTTAGAAACTGATCAATGATAATCTGCAGAGGGTCGATCACTTTGTGATCACGCATTTTCGATGGCATTATTCTTTTTCGTAATACTTCAAGATCGATTAGAAATTATACACTGTATAAAAGAATGATCCGGGACATCATCGAGCCATTCTGTCTGTCTCCCGTGGTTTAGGGTCGTTTATTTTTCTTCCTTGTTCTCTCTTTCTCTCGTACACAAACATCTTTTACATAATTATCTGTACAAAATAATCCTATAGATCCGCGACTTTAAACGTTCAGGTGGTTGTATCAGCAAATTTTGATCCAAAAGATGAAATTTCCAAATCTTCAAATTTCTGGATTTAAAAGTGGGGTTGATCTGATAAAATGTATTATACCGCAGCTAATGTATTCATGGTAAACATGTGGCAATTTGCCAACTGATTCGTAAGGGTTCACAGTGACCCATGATGGTGGGAACAGACCGTCTATCTGGTCATTTGATTTATATATGTTAAATGCAATTATCTCCGCTTTCGTATCATTTCTGAAATTTGATCAATATTATTTACTGCAACTTTACAATCATACAACCACCTTAAATTCTTCTCAAGTTTTGATCAGAGAAATAAAACAGAGAGGAAAGTATAACTTCGTTCAGAAGCAATCAAAAAGTTGCTGCATAATTTTAGATTAAAAAAAAGTTTAATCGCGGAAACCGATACAGTCGACGAAGATGTCCGAGGAACAACGCTTGTCTTCTTTAAATGGCGCGAATGCATCCTTGATCATCGTCAATACCACGAGTTTACCGACCAGTCGGTACCGTGGCACCGTCGATATTTTTTACTTGTTTTTTAATTACAAATCGAATCGTTTCTTGATTTATCATTATATTCAAGAGTTCCATAGTGACACGGATGTTGGTGCCATCGCTTTTAACAAGTGGGGATATAAAAATTAATATGTATATATCGTATAAGATAATCTAGCCAGCTATTTGCCGTTTATAAACTAGCAACTATTTTTTTTTTTTAGTAACTGATATCCATTATAGTTCACGGCCTTAAAATTATAAAACAGATTAGTCTGCCGGTCGATATTCACTACTATTATTGCAGCTCCATAGTGAGATAGAAATTCTTCCTCGCGTGGCGATATACTCCTGCCGTCATTTTAATCGTGGTCGTTGTCATTGCAATAAACGCAATTTTTTTATTGTGATCCCGAATGACTGGACGGAAGAGGGCTCGCTCAAATCTGCGATATCCGCACCACGACTTCCGTTTTAACGTAGAGATGCGCGTGTAAAGATGATAGTATGTTCACTTTTTATTTTATTTATAACGATCTATATTTCTTTATTCTTTTCCTGTGCTTTTCTTCTCTCCCGTTTTGCTAAATTCGATGATCAATTTCAATGAATATAAAAAAGACAGGAGACGATCAAAATAATATTTGCTACATTCGTTTTCCTTCTCTACTTAAATTAATTATAAAAGGGTCGAGGTTCAGGCGTTTTTCATCGAACGTACTTCCTTCAGGCACATCGTATTTGCCGTTCGCGTTTCGATTTTGCTCGAAAACATTTGCCACGTAGCTGGTAAATATGCACAGCACGCACGATTTGCCAGTATATCAAAGCGATCAAGTTACCGCGTTTCCTGCCTAGCCAAGATTTAGTCGAAGCTATCACATATTATCGTTCAATGAGTCATGAAACCTCGATATAATACGTCTACTACAATTTCTTTTTTTTTTTTGTTTGATTCCGCGTGGAACGAACGGGTGGGCGACCCACATAAAATACGAGATAAAATCAAAAACTGATCCGCGATTCGATTTTGTAAACGAATTGGAAGTAATTTACAATACATTGGAACGATTGTTATTCAATCTGATGTCAAACTTGTTTCTAGGTAATGCGCTTATCTCGAGTGAGAAAATATAAAGTAGATTTGTTATCATTAGTTCCATTTCATCCCGATGTCGTTCCCGTACTCATTCACGAAATATTTCCTTGACTACTACTGGTGGTCGGGAGAGCGTTTCGATTTTTTACGAGCCGTACCCTTCCGAGTCACGTTTTACGAAAATTACTCACTCGCGTAAAATATCGCCGAGTCTTTGCCTTTTTCCCTTTTCCCTATTTTTGACATCCTCCTTTTTGTTTCCAATGTGTTTTATCGGAGATATATCCGATTGCCATCGAAAATTCTTCCACAGAATCCGAATCTCTGCACGGAGAAGCATACTGTCAATCACTCTGGAATCTTGCATCTTGCTGAATGTTGTTGTCCACGTTTCTTTTTACAGCATTACAAACGTTCGCACGCACGTGTATCGCCTTCTCAATGTTAATTAGTATCTTTTTCTTTTCCTCTTAAAAAGGTTAAAAAATTAACCCCTTTACCAGCTCCTGAAAGGTATTCTCTAGCTGAATCATTTAGGCTCTGGGAAGGTCACCTGACACTTGTAGACTTCTTCGAGCATTACCGCTTGCCCTTGACCTTGGCTCACGGTAACAGGAGTCGTGGCATTTACCACGACAACCTGTTGACCTTGTTGCGCCTGTTGGGGCTGCTGCTGCTGTTGCTGTTGCTGCTGTTGTTGATTACTCGCGTTCGCTTGCTGTGCGTTACTCGGATTATTCGCATTCTGATTCCGAGCCGTTTGCCCGTACTTTTCGTGAATTGCACGATGACGTTTTAATGCAAAACGATCGGAAAATCCGATCTCGCATATATCACATCTGAAAATAATAAGTTAATGATTTTAAAGCAAACTTTTCAGCACTGGCTTACTCGAACATTGTACGACAAGAGTGGACATATGTGAGGGTTACATTAAAATTAAGGTAGGTTTGCATAAACCTAAGAGGATCTAGGATTAAATTAGGATATAAGTACGTTGGGGTAAGGTCAGATAAAAAATAATAATACAGTGGAACAATAAAGTAATGAACGCCCGTCCTTTAAAAAGAAACAATTAAATATTCGCTTTTTTGTATAAATTGCGTTACCTGTGTGGCTTTTCACCGGTATGAACTTTCGCGTGATTTTTCAGATGTGTAGCTTGATTAAAGGCCGAACCACATATATTACATCTGTAAGGTTTTTCACCGGTGTGAATTCTTCTGTGATTCCAAAGTGTTGAATGTCTAGCAAATGTTTTTTCACACACTTCACACTGATACGGACGTTCACCAGAATGAATTCTCTCGTGATTTTTTAAATGAGGACTTTGCGAGAATTGCATGCCACAAACGCCGCATTTAAACGGTTTCTCACCAGTATGCACTCGTCCATGATTTTTTAAATAAGCAGCTACAAAAATGGAAAGTAAACCATTGTAAATACATACAGTATTGTATATTCTTAATTTATGATGTGTTCCTTTCATTTACCTTTTGCAAAAGCTAAGCCGCAAACTTCACACTTGAAAGGTTTGTCTCCAGAATGAAGTCTTTTGTGGGACCAAAGCGACGAATATCTGGAGAATGTTCCATCACAGACGTTGCAATGAAACGGTTTTTCTGCTTGGTTTTGACTGTTTTGTTTACCGCCTGCAATTAAAGAAATTTCCGAATTCTTAGTATTCCTCGAAGGGCCAGTTCTACAATAAGATATGTTCTGAGATGATTTACCAAATGCTTAGAAAAATATGAGACAATGGATTATGTATGGTTGTTTTAGAAAGTATTTCCTTTCCTGATATAACCAAAAGAGGAGTTCTATGTCGTTCATAAAAAATCATGGTATGATTCAAGATTTGTGTTCCCAATTAAATATGATATTACGCAGAAATTTGAACATGCGGGTTATGGAAGTTAGTGTAGAAAGTAAAAAATGAGATACAATGGCAGATACTTTGAATTTGATGATTTGTGTTCTTGTATGGACAATATAGTTATGTTAAAATTACCACACTAGCTTATAACCTGTATCATGAAATAAGAAGGAGCTTAAGTATATAAACTGAAATCTAAAATAACCTTTGAGTACCAAAAGTGGTAAAAGTTAGTGAAATTTATAAAACTGTCCCTTAGGGGAGATCTTATTCCGTGCAATGACTCTTAAATGTAGATATTAACAATTGCTACCAAAAAGAAAACAGGATTGATGCAACAAATTAAAAATGTAACAAAAGTGAAATAAGTACTTAAAATGTTCTTTTTTGTCTGCCTACAACAAATGCATGCAAATAAAAATACCACAAATAATAAAAGAAATTCATCAAACTTGTAATAAACATTTATTCTCCTAACACTAACTGATAAAATAAATGTATAAAGATATTCTTCCTCGTGAAATGGTGATAGTATAGCGATGTTTAATTTATTTTAAGATTCATCAAAATAATAAAGTGACTTTATCCAATTATTAATGGATAATTATGAAATATAAATCCCTTATTCTCTCTTGGCTGTAATTTTTCCGACTTACTTCCTATGATGATGCGGCCTGTTGCCTTGCAGCCGCCACACTTTGCGAGGGAACTGATTCCAGAATCTAGTTTTTCGTCGTGTTTACCTACCATATACCACCCGATGTACGATCATGACAGTAATGATATGATAGAAGCAGAGGAGAGATGATCATGGTTTGGGAAGAAAAATGTTTTTTCTTTCTTACAAGTTCTAAACTATCTCAAAATAAAATTTTAAATGCTGTAACTTTTTAATAAACATTTTTCTTCAATCTGCATGAAGCAAGACATTGACAACTTCTACTTACCAATAAAAATTATTCCTGTGCCATTACACTTGTGACATTTAGTGACACTGGTAACACCCCTCCGTTTTACAGGATGATGACCAGGTTTGATAGCTTTAAAAATAGAATTATGTATAAGTATCATAATAAAGTATCAATTAATTTGTTATAATTATTATAGATAATGGAAATTATAATTATTTAGATTGAAACATTTTATTTTGTATAAATAAATTCATGAAACATACTCTTCTTAATTTTAGTAGGATGATGTTCACAGGGGTCTTCGCTACCACAATCCTCACAAATTTGCACCTTTGGTTTTTGATGCATATTTGTCTTGTGGCTCTTCAATTCTCCTGGTAATGCAAAGCATGCTCCACACACGTCACACGTATATGGTCTTTCTGGGGTTGTTGCAACGGTAACTGTTGTAGGTGCTTGGACAACAACTTGCTGTGGTTGTTGCTGTAGATTACTAGGTGTTGTATTATGAATCCGTTTATGATGATTCAGCAAACTCATGTGCCCAAAGACCAAACCACAAATGTCACATTTGAAGGTTGCATTGGTGGCAGCCGCAATACTCATCTGATTCAATAATGTGTTATAACCGACAGGTTGCACATCAAAGCGATAACAACCCTTGTCGTCGGTTGTGATCGCACCAATCGTGCTCACCGCGTTTGTTTGAACCTTCTGGAGCATGTTGACATTGTAATAGAAAGGAAACTCTGCAGTTGCCGACTGTTGCTGCTGAGATTTGTCCTCTTTCTTGTCTGTCGTGACATACATTTGTTGAGACTGCTGCTGCTGCGATTGTTGACCCTGTGCAGCTTGTTGCTGCTGTATTTGTTGTGGGTCAAACATGGCTGCTTGCTGCTACAAATCATTATACAACAGTTCATTATATTGTTATATTTAAACTATTTTATACAGAGACAAGTAGATACATTAGTACTAAAGAAAAGAAGGCACATGATATTTTAAATATAACTTAATGTAGCAGAGCAATATAAAATATGTAAAATGTAGAAAGCTATTTAATGAAAACTTTGTAAACATTTTTTCACAATATATTTCGAATTTATATCAAGATTTTATTTACACTTGTCCCCATACAAAAAAACCTATCTTTGTCAGGATTTTATAGTTAACAACCTGTCTCTGATCGCCGTAGCTCGAATTGCTCTGCTCCGTCTGAGTAAAACTATTGGTTTGCTCGGTTTGAGTAAACATGGAACACTTCACTGGCTGCTCGATTGGTTGGCTCTGTTAAATAATAGTTTCCGTTAGATATTATAAAACTCGTATTTAATGCTCTCGAAAACAAAATTCCGCGATACTCCGTTTCAAACAATGTGCTATGCGTGCTAGAAGTCTTAAACGTAAAGATAAAAAAGCCAGCGAATACCAACAGAAAATAAACTTGTTCCTTCTTTACGTTGCCGTGCTGCACAAGTTGCATACCTGTTGTATTTGATCAGGACGGGTTGTGTTCAACCACACCACGTTGTTGCCATTTGATTCTAGGGCCATTGATGTGTTGCCTTTGACCCTGCACAATCAGTAGGCATTCATTACATAGAAATATGATTGACTCCGATACGTCTAGATAAGCAAGAAGCATCTTCCTCTGATTGAAAGCGCACCAAAGTAGAAAAGCATAATATCAATGTACATTATATGATGGTCAAGCTTAACAAGGAACAAGAAAGTTAAATAATCACAAGGTATAATACTCACATGTGATAGTCTACACGGGCGCCGCGGGTTACATGTCTGGGTGCCAAATGGATGATCTTTTAGTTGCCATGATTTCGGCGCGGAACACCGCGCGACCAATCACACTATTCCTGACAATCGTGAAACCTTAATAACTGACTTAAATATTTCGTCCTATACAACATCCGAGAACAAGTTCCTCGTGTCGGTTGGGCCGTGGTCGCGGTAGAAAATCAATGGCGATCGATTTAGCGCTTTGTTGCACCTTCTTGATACGTTAGATCTCGCTAAAACGAACACTAATCACAACGCAGCTGTAATCTCGCTCCTCGTGGATGCCGCGAAATCAGTTTCGAGTTACACGCTTGTCAACGAGCAGCGTTGACCCGCGCAGATCATGTCGTCCAAGCGCGGTGGCGGCTGCGGCGACTGGTATACGAAGCGCGGTTTCTCGGTTGCATAAAATTGGCGGTAGCTCGGCCCGATCACTTCTCGATTCTCTTCACCTCGTGTTACGCCACGTCGTCGTGCACCGCAGTTCAGCATAGGCCGATACGCGAACAATCAGACCGAGCACCGTCAACAAACTCTACGGTAGCCATTACACGCGACGAGGATAACAATGGGCGACACGAACGCGCGCTGCCCCCGATGCCTTTTTCCGAAGCGTTTTCGGGCGCCTTCCGTGAATACAGCCAAGTGCCGCTGAGTGCCGCCAAGGTCAGCTCCCGGTAGTGCCCCACAGACGCTAATGCCCGTTACACTGCACGTTTTCATTGGTCTACGGCCTACTGTCGCCATTCCTTATTGGTATGTGCATTCCTCTTCGTCGAAACTTGGAAACGATTACTAATCTTTTTTCAGAAAAAGCATCCTTTTATACGAACCCCATGTAAATATTTATTCAGAATTCTCACAGCTATGTTTTTTTATTAAAAATGATTTTTAATTATTGGATTCTTTAAAAAGAATATATAAAATATTTCACAATAATGACTAAGTTTCCACCGAGGGTTCAAATCGGGTTAGAGTCGGGTTAGAGTTCAGTTGCCTTGCCTATTTCCATCAGATCAAAGTTACGTTGGAGTTGCGGCAGGGTTGAACATTACCAACTGCACAAAGTCAACTACCATATTCTGACATGTAAAGGAGAGCAATATTAATTTTACAATATCAAAATAACATACAAAAATAATTTTAATTATTATAACCTTGTCCTACAATTTTATAGGGTAGAGTTCAACTTCAACTTTGGTGTTTCCGCCATAAGAGCGCTCACCTCAACCCGACTCTAACCCGATTGAACCCTCGGTGGAAACTTAGTCAATGGTTGAAAAAGGTATCTTTTGATTGGCTGTTGCATTTTCAAACGAAATGTACAATATAATCGTGAACCCCTTGTGCGAGCATTGCTCATGATCCAAGCTTCGGGCGTAGACCGGTTGGTTCAGCTATCGTTAATTTTTCAACTCTGGCGGAAATTATGACGTCATAAATGAAGAGTAGATGACATGAGTAATACCTCAAAGTGATATGGAATTTAGTGTTCAATGTGATTGCTTTTGTAAAAACGAAGAATAAGTTTTGTGTAAATTTTATTAGTGATTTCATAGATTTTAAACTGTAGTCTTTTCATGAAGGTAGGAAAATATTAACTGGTACAGTATTTATTGTATTTATATACGTGAGCATGTACATTTTTTCAAATAATCAGAGTAATCCATTTCATTTTTTTAACATTTATAAGTTATCAAAACTGTATCTTTTTAATATAATTTTAGAGAAGTAATTCTGCATAAATTTGGTCAAATGTATTCTTAATAAAAAAAAATGTAATAAAAATAACAAAATCGTAGGACAAAATTCAATACAAGAGTAATATAGTGTCTATGTAAAAGTTTGTATGTACTTGTTATATATACACTAGTGTACATATATATTACACACACACGCGCAAATATATTTCTGCGTATGTTTAAATTATCTGTAATGTATTAAAAAGGCACAGGTAATTTTATATTATATACAACATTATCGAAGAGCATGCTCTAATGAATATATAATATCTTAACTTTTAGGATTGATTTGCTTGAAACAAACAAAAATGTCAGATCACTTTGGTCCAATAACATTAAAATGGGATCCCAAAAATTTAGAAATTCGTACCGTGTCTGTAGAGAAAACATTGGAGCCCTTAGTTTTACAAGTAACTACGCTAGTAAATACAAAGGGTCCAAGCAAAAAAAAGAAAGGAAAGTCAAAAAGGGCTAGTGCTCTGGTTGGGACTGTAGAAAAAGCAACTAATAACTTTATCGAAAAAGGCGAACAAATTGCTTATGAAAATCCTGATATTACTGCTGAAATGTTAAGTGCTGTTGAAGAAGTAAGAAAAGCAGGTGCTGCAATGAGTATTGCTGCCAGGTATTAATTGTGTTTTATATTTCTATAACATATAATTTATTTTAAATATATCCTAATACTATTATTTTTTTATAGAGAATTTTCAGAAGATCCTTGCTCCTCTTTAAAAAGGGGCAACATGGTCAGAGCTGCAAGAAACTTATTATCAGCTGTTACACGTTTACTTATTTTAGCAGATATGGTTGATGTACATTTATTGCTAAAATCATTACATGTAGTAGAAGACGATTTGAAGAAACTAAAAAATGCATCCTCACAAGGAGAATTATTAGAAAATATAAAACAGTTTGGAAGAAATGCGTCAGAGCTTATGAATCAAGCTGCAAAACGTCAACAAGAATTAAAAGATCCACAGTTAAGAGATGACCTAGCAGCAGCAAGAGCTGTTCTAAAGAAACACTCTACTATGCTTCTTACTGCTTCTAAAGTTTATGTTAGACATCCTGAACTGGCTGCAGCTAAAGCGAATCGTGATTATGTTTTGAAACAAGTTTGCGAGGCTGTAAATACTATCAATGATGTAGCACAAGGAAAGACTCCAGTTGATAGTCAACATCCTTATGAAGGACCTGGAGAATTAGCTGCAGCATTAGATGATTTTGATGAAAGAATGGTAATGTCTCCGCTTGCATATAACGAAGTTCGTACAAGACCTAGCCTCGAGGAAAGATTAGAAAGCATTATTAGTGGTGCAGCGCTAATGGCAGATTCTTCGTGTACTCGAGATGATCGTAGGGAACGAATTGTTGCAGAATGTAACGCAGTTCGGCAAGCGCTACAAGATTTGCTGAGCGAATATATGAATAATGTAAGTGTTTTTCAAGTCTTTTGTTACAGATGATTGCAGTAACATAGAAAACTTTTAGAAAAGGTGTAGATGTTAACAATTTCGTTGACGTGTTTTAATAGATGGGCGTCAAAGAACAGTCAGAAGGTTTGGAAAGAGCAATTGATCACATGTGCAGAAAGACACGCGATCTTCGTAGACAATTGCGGAAAGCAGTTGTAGATCACGTATCTGATAGCTTTTTGGAAACAAGCGTACCTTTATTAGTCCTTATTGAAGCTGCAAGAAATGGACGTGACAAAGAAGTAGAAGAATATGCTCTTGTTTTCACAGAACATGCTAATAAGCTAGTTGAGGTACACTTTGAGACTATTACTATGATATGAATTGAATAAATTTAATATTAATTTTATACATCAATTAGGTTGCCAATCTAGTCTGTAGTATGTCGGGAAATGAAGATGGAGTAAAAATGGTTCGTTACGCAGCAGCTCAAATTGGCAATTTATGTCCACAAGTAATTAATGCAGCGCGTGTGCTGGCAGCCCGTAATCGATCTAAAGTAGCTCTAGATAATATGGAAGTATTTCGGCAAGCATGGGAGAATCAAGTGAGAGTATTAACGGAAGCTGTTGATGATATTACTACGATCGACGATTTCTTAGCTGTGTCTGAGAATCACATTTTAGAAGACGTAAATAAATGTGTATTAGCATTACAAGAAGGTGATGCTGATACTCTAGATAGAACAGCGGGTGCGATTCGTGGACGATCAGCCAGAGTGTGTAATGTTGTTCAAGCAGAAATGGATAATTATGAGCCGTGTATCTACACGAAACGAGTTTTAGAAGCAGTAAAAGTTCTAAGGGAACAAGTGATGCCGAAATTTGCGCAGAGAGTAGAAGTCGCGGTAGATGCTTTAGGCAGTAGTCCTGCTAAAGACGTGGATGAGAATGATTTCATAGATGCTTCGAGATTAGTTTACGATGGAGTTCGTGAAATTAGACGTGCTGTATTAATGAACAGAGTAAGATTTCAAATTATAGATTTTGTATCATTATTTCCTTTTTGCGTATTACTCTCTTTTATCATAAGTTCTATATTTCAGGCGGATGAAGATTTAGATCCAGAAGATGTTGAACTGGACGAACATTATACGTTAGAAACTCGTAGCAAATCAAGTGCTCAAACTGGTGAACATGGTGTTGACGAATATCCAGAAATTAGTGGTATCACAACAGCTCGTGAGGCTATGCGTAAAATGCCAGAAAAAGATAAACAAAAAATTTTACAACAAGTAGAATACTTTAAGAGTGAGAAATTGAAGTTTGATAAAGAAGTTGCCAAATGGGATGATGCAGGAAACGACATTATTGTTCTTGCAAAACACATGTGTATGATAATGATGGAAATGACTGATTTTACCAGAGGTCGTGGACCTTTGAAGACAACGATGGATGTTATTAACGCAGCGAAAAAAATTTCCGAAGCTGGAACCAAGTTAGATAAATTAACTAGACAAATAGCTGATCAGTGCCCAGAAAGTTCTACAAAAAAGGATCTTTTAGCGTATTTACAACGTATAGCACTGTATTGTCATCAAATGAATATTACAAGTAAAGTCAAAGCAGACGTACAAAACATTAGCGGAGAGTTAATTGTTTCTGGACTGGACAGTGCAACTTCCCTTATTCAGGCAGCTAAGAATTTAATGAACGCCGTTGTTCTTACTGTTAAAGCTTCGTATGTTGCATCAACAAAATATCCTCGACAATCGACAGTAACTGTAAGTATTATTAATTTTGTAATATTATTCATTTGAATTCCATATTTATTTGTAAATATATACCGTTTGCAAAACAATATTTTTAACTGTATATCACTTATACATATAATTTATATTAACGTTAAAACTTTGTTACTAACTAACCATTGGATTTTGCAGTATGTAAGTATGTATATAATGCGACTAGATTTGTAGTTCTATTAAAGATTTAGAAATATTTTAAATGGTACATATAACTGATATCATTTGATTCTCATTTTATAAATGATTCCTTTTTCCATCTGTTTAATTAGTCTCCTATTGTGGTATGGAAAATGAAAGCACCGGAAAAGAAGCCATTAGTACGCCCTGAAAGACCTGAAGAAGTTAGAGCAAAAGTACGTAAGGGTTCGCAGAAAAAAGTGCAAAATCCAATACATGCACTTTCCGAATTTCAGAGTCCTACAGAAAGTGTTTAAAATTTTAGCTGTAGTAATTTAATGAAGATGAAACTTAGTATATGGCATCACCTTTGAAACCGTTGTATTAGCAAGATGTTTCATTTTCTATTGTGTGAAAAATTCAAATTTGTAAGCCATTAATTTATTGTATATCATGAAGTATAAAAAGTTATGGTCACCCTTTCTGCAAAACTACATTTTAGACTATCAGATAAACGGAATTAAATGTTTTGTAATAAAAACTGATGTATATCATAAATATCATCAATGGTTATCAATATAGCAAAGAGAAAGAAAATTTTAAATAGCGAAGGAAAAAAATGAATTTCATACTTGTAATTGTGATAAGAGAAAAAAATATTTCTAATGAAACTATTTAAGAACAAACTATGTCGAATAAAAAAGGGATTAACGTTTTATTGAATTATAAATGTCTGAACGTTGTAACATACAGTATATGAACATCTTAATTTTCAGATATCGTTTAATTATACATATATTAAGAATTGACTTTCTTTTCTAAACTGCATATAAACATTTGGTTTCAATTATATGTAATTTGATAAAAACTTAATTTTTTTCTTTTTAGAATATAAGGGTAATCATACAATAATTTAAACAATTACATATGTATACTTTATTTAGTAATTTACAATGACCATAATATTTTAATTATTATGAGGTATATATAAAAATTAAGTAAATTATACTTTACTTAAATCGTATATACAACCTGGTATTAATCATAAATATCAATAATTAAATATATTTTTTGCAAATGAAATTTACAGCTCAGAAAGTAAGATCATAATAATTAATTGTATAATAGAGTTTATAATATTGACTAAGTATCTTTTAGAGGAATGTCAACGTGTTATTATTACTTCTATAACTGATATAGAAATATACATCTTAATTATGTAGTAACTTCTAACAAACGAGATTTTACTGAGTAGTATTGAACAATACGATGTATACATATATATTTGAATGTACACATGTGGTGTAAGCATTATTTGGGTATACATATACATACATGACAGTTTATTGAGGGCCTCGTATTGTTTTGTTACGATACTATATAAAATAATACCCAAATTGAAACTGAGGAAAATATATACTTCTAATTATTCCTATTTTTACATTCGTATACAAAGAATTATTATTTAAAAGTTTTACAAATAATATACTTTCTTATACATATCCAATAGAAAAGGTTTCTTACTGTCAGTATAAAATTGTACACTTTTGAAGTATTACAAAACTGAATAATCTTAATAACCGTTACTGCAAATAATTTTATTAACGATAAAGGCCTCAAAATTTTGCTAATCTATTATGTGAGCGTGAATTTTTAAGTACCATGAATTTGTTGACAATAATATTGCTATGTACTTTATTATGCTTTTACATAATATCAACTAAAATACATATAATAATGTTGATATTCTTTTAAATCAATCATTATATTAACAGTTCCAAATAATTAGTATATAAGCAAATAAATTCATTTATACAAACATTTTTAAAATAATAAAATATAGTATTTGTTTAGATATGAACTTGCTTGTACACTTCAGCTATATATCTTTATTTTACACGTATCTTTGGTATCTTGAGTTTCCTAATGCATTTGTTAAATAATTGAAAATTACACATTTTGTCATTCAGCAATATGCATATATTCCAGTAGAAACAATTCATTGTTCTTTATCGAGAAGGCTTATAGGAAAGCAATAAAAGATAATACAGTATTGAATTGGAATAAAGAGACTGCAGAACAAGTATTTAATGAATGTATATAAGTAAATATGATTACGTGTTTTAAACAAAATTTCTTGGTGGTGAATTTGTATTATGTGTAGTATGTAAGGAATAAGTGTAAAAAAACTGATACCAATTTCATACTTTATGCGAGTATAATAGTACATTAAAGACATTTTTATAAATTGTTCATTGCAAATAATTTTTTTTCCAAGTATAATATTAAGACACAAGTATTTGCTAGAATACATATTAGAGTTTAAGTTAAATATTGATAGTGGAACTTCATCCTATATAACCGAATGTTTTAGAAAACTTGTGTAGACGTACTGACCAATTCAAATTTATTACAGTGATAAATTTCACAGCAAACATTGCATGACTATCTGATTGATAATAAAAATGGTGTTATAAATGTAACAAACATCTAGTAATATCTATGAACTTGCATTTTACAATGTGTATTATTTCAATTATGCCAAATGTTAAATTACATGTAAGTGTTTGCAGAAAGTGTGTATTAGAAAGATTTCATATTTAGTGGACTTTAAAACATGATATGTATTGGTATCAATTTTTTACTGCTACAGAACAAATACTAATTTATACAAAAGTAGATGTAAGATTACATTGTAGTTACTAATATACTGCCAAATATAAGGTGATGCTTTTAACAAATATCTCGTTTATTATTTTTTAAGCGTTATTTTATGAATGTGTTTAATTTGTATACGTATTCTAAACAAATTTCCAAACAGAAGAATAGGGCAGATTAAAAAGTTCAAATACATTACATAGGTTTGTATATTATATATTTCTTTCATATATTAAATGTTACAGAAATAATACAATACAAGGAAATTGCAAATGCAAATATTTAATGGCAATAGTATAATAATTATAATTTCACAATTGTTTAAAAAATATAATTATTTTTATCCTAATTTATTACACATTGCTTTTCGCAATGGTAAATTACAAAAAAAAAGAATTCACCACTGATTACAAATAGTTATTATATACTCTACCATGTAAATTTTACTTTTTTTTCTGAATTTTATATATTGTACTTTTTATTTCAACATAAAGTTGAAAGAATATGTGCATATGTGTGCATATATACATACATATATCATATATGCATACACACACATATACATATATACACTACACAATAAAGTAGAGCACACTGTTTGTGCTTGCTAATCTAAATATTACAAGTTGTTTTTAATGCTACATGAACAGATTCATTTTTTTCTTTACTTTGTTATTAATTCTTATAGTACTGCTTTTGTATTATACATAATATATGTATGTGAAACAAGTGCAGTTGCTTAGCTTTTAAAACTTAAAAGTATTTTCTTATTATTAATATTATAATTTTTTTTATATATACCAAATAAACACAGGTACTATTAAAATAACTCATAAAAATTTCATGTTTATTTTAGAATAATATGAGACATTCTGGGTATAGGAGAAAGTATTATGCAATAGCATATTACATAGTAACAACATCATTACTGCATAAATTTTTCTGTAACTTTCTACTGCCATAAAACAGTTTTTATTATAATACATGACATGCTAATAAAAATATCATAATATTGATTTAAATATCGCATGTCATTTGAATTGACACAGATTCAGTGATTACAATTTTCATACTTATATAGTTATAAATATATGTGTTGTATTTAAACATTTTTTTTTTGGTGACTGTATTGCAAAAAGTAAAAACATACTAATTAAATAGCTGTTTTTAATTGGTATATTATGTAATTTGATCAGTATTAGTTAATGATTATTAATCAATAACTAAATATATGTATATCAGATCCTGTTAAACAAATAGCCCTAAATCTATAAAGCAGTCTCTTTTTTATACTAGGTTATATTTGAATATTGAAAGAAGTTACTAAAATTCATTGCTATCTGTAAATTTTATTCTGTTTAACAAATCTATAAATACCTGTAAAATATTCAGTTACAATCTAAAGATACATTTATTTTTTTTTATTTTTTTTACGAGGAGCCACAAGAAATATGAATATGAAAAAATTCAGAAATCAAAATAGAAAGCAAACATTATGAAATTAACAAAATGTCTTAACTGTGAGTAATGTCCGATAAATCTATTTAATCTGCTTCATAATCACAGTTCCTGCATTCATATTAAAGCATATTGTGACTAAAGTAATACAAATTTACAACAAGCAATCTTATAAAATCCTGAAGTGCATGCCTATCACAATGCAAAAAATGTTAGTAAAATTTGTACATAATGGAGTTCCAAATAATATCCATAAGTGGTGAAATATAAGTTGATTATGAAGAAAGAGTATAAATCCTTTACTAGAACTGAGTAAAGAAACATAATCCAATAAAAAGAATGTACAGTGTTATACTTCTGCTATTTGAATTTAAATTATTATGTTTGAAATAAATTCACCACCCATAGTACTTTTTTCATAATATTACATTTCATGTACATATTCTACTTAATTTCAAAATATTAGCTTACAGAAAATTTATACTTAATTAAAATACGTAAGCAATATATCGACTCTCAATATTACTAAAGAGAGTCACAGAAAAGAGTCCCTCACAGCCTGTGCAAGACTTTCATTTGAGATCTTCAAGTCTTTCAAGACGTATGCTGATAAAGGACCAGAATTACAACATAAGTTTTCTTAAAATAAAAAAAAGATTGATAATAAAAACATATTTTTTTCTATATAATTAAATGTGTTAAGTATGTTCTGCAACAAAATATGTATTGGATACAATACATTGTTCGATGCAACATTTTAATTACATCAGTCTTACGACCTTAGTACAAGTTCATGATTTATGTCAATGATATTGCAAAAGATATATACCAGTATAAAATAAGTGTTATAAAAGGAACTCTTAGAAAAGTATTTCGTCTAGAAACTCTTACTACATTATAAAAACTTTCAGATCTTAATAAAACAAGTATTCTGAAAGAATTAAAAAAATTATACGCTCGCTTGGATACAGCAATTCATCTTTAAATATTATGTACAACATAATTCACGAAAATCAGCGTATTATTTCTTTGTATGCTGCCTCAGTTTATAATAATTTGTACAAAATAAAACTAACGAAAACATTTACTTCTGAAAGTACTTTTCCCCCAATTAAATAAAAGTATAAATTGCAAATATTTACCAGTGATTTTTATGTATATCATTGTTCAAAACTATATATGTAAAATTAAATGTTTATAATATTATGCAATATTTTACGACTATAAAAATTTGAATAGCATTGTTTTTTAATTTAGATTTATGCAACTGACTTCATTAATCTTGAATAGTATATAACAGCATTTATGTATTATCCGCTTTGATGTTCAGTATACCTTTGCACGCGCAGTCACAGTCATTTAACTCTTAATATAATTCCATTGATATAACTGTGTTATTAAAGATTGTGGATGTTAGCCATACACATAGCTCATTTTTTATAAGATTAAAGAAGAGAATGCATGGTGAATATTTCTATGATGATTCCGCTGTAACTTCTGGTGGTGTACTTACTGCTGTTACCGCTGATTTAAAAGCTGGGATGAATTCAGCAGCATTTGGATTTAGTGTACTCTGAAAATTTTCATTTAAATAAATCCAGTAACGCGTATCCTATAAAAGAGTTTCAATGCACTTAAATAGATTCATACCTGCTTAGCAAGATCATCGTGCATTTTTAAATGACTGAGTTGTTGACAAAGTTCAGCACTACTGTTCTCAAATGTGTTTGTAGCAGTCGATAAAGTGATAGAATTTGTATTTCTTTCATGTCTTTCATCTTCCCACATTGCTTTTAGACATTCTTCCGTCAATTCTTCTTCCATCAATTGTTGAATTACCTAAAATTTTGGAATTCCCCATAATGAAACATTTACAAACTATCCCACTTTAACTAATATTTCGACAACAAAAGTACTACTCAACCTCTTTATCAAATTCTTCCTCGTTTTCCATCCATAGATATTCCGAGAAATCACTTTCGTCTGATCCTTGAACATCAATCTCAGATTCAAAATTATTTTCCATGTAAGAAATAATCCCTGTTTCGTGTCCATAGTCATTCCCAGAATGATTACTTGGAATCTTCATTTTCATTCCAAATGTATATTTAGCAAAGTAACGAATAAATATCTATAAACATATGTAACTTCATATAATTTTAAATTATATTTGGATAATTATATAAAGAAACTGACTCCTTTTTTTGTACAGGTGTATTTACTATTACAGTATAAATTATTTATATTTGGATTAATAACAAGTATTTTTTAATGAAATAATTATATGCAGATCATTAAATGAAATATGTAATCATACGAATATATTAAGTATCGAATTAAAAAGAAAAGAAGGGAACCTTGAATCCTCTTTACGCGTACGAAGCTTACGAGTCAAATGTTTAAATATGCGATTGCTTAGTTTACACATATGGTAGCATAAACATTAAAATTACATTTTTTTTTTGTAGAAACTAGCCTATTCTTGAATTTACTTTAAATTGATTATTAAACGCATCGGCAACTAAAAATTTCGAACAGTTTTGCTTATCGCATTGTGGCAATTCGATGAAATAAAATATCGCTTGACAGATCTGTTACAAGGCAACCATTTTTAATCGTCTACTTTTAGCATCGACAAAGTAATAATTATTAATCTGTATCCATAATTACAAAATGCGATCACCGTTGTAATAGGACATGATTTCTCATTGAACGTAAAGTGTAAACATACCTTTTAACAGTGTAGTTTCTGACAATTTGTGATAGAAAACACGATTTACGCAGTTCATGGGTAATATACGTGTCGTGCAACACAAATTAACCCTTGAAGTAGTGCTGCGATTGTGCTGCCGCCACATACAAAAGGAGCAATGCACTTTATGCTCTAGAAGCAGATAAATATTGATTTCTCATCTTAATTGATTTTGATCGGAATATTGCAATCATTGTACGTGATTAAACGTTGCATATTTTATTTCTTTCCGATTTTACATATTGTACATTATTCTATATAGTTTTCAAGTATTCAATGGATTTACAAATTAAAGATTAAGTAACAGAATTTTCGTTATTTTATCAAAAAAACAGTAAAAAAATATAATTCTAAAGTTTTATAAACGTCATTTTACACAAAGAAATAAATTATACAAAGTAATTAACTGTACAATTTCTATGTATAATACATATAAGTGGTAATACATACTAATTTGCTACATATATTTTAAATCCATTTAAATACAAAAAAAAATAATTCCAAGGCATTTACAAATAAATGAAGAAAGTATGGAGGAATGTTTTTCATAAATGTTTATTTTTAATTAATAACATGTACATATTTCTGCTGTGTCATTTCTCAATATGCAAAATGTGAAGTGATACACATGAATGTAACTTAGCTTCTTTCGACTGTAGAAGGGGAAGATTTCTATTGTTTTCAATTTTGGAAGAATCCATGGACAGCGAAAGAAGCGCCAACCATGAACTCTATTATTTAAAATTTAATTAAAAAATAGGTACATAATGTAAATGGTCGGACATTTCACCTTTATTATATTTCCCTTTATACATATACGAAAAGTCCAGATTGCACGTGAGCATTTAATATACATAGTTAATTTAGCAAAAGAACAGAATAGTTTTGCGCAACTCAATTGAATCTTTTTATCACTTAAATGACCCCACCATGATTCGTTTCCCACTTCATTAATCATGTACATGGTAGATAAAAATGTACGAATGTAGAAGGAATGAAGTCATGAGGTCTAGTGTGCGCGGTACCTGTAATAATGAAGTACTTTTTAAGTTCCGAAATTTTCCGAATCTTCAGATTTCTGAAATCTTAAATTAAAAAATTTTTTAATTTCTAAGTTTTCTAAATTTTTGAATTTCCAAATTCCCAAATTTGATATAGGAAACATACAAAATAAAAAATCACCGAGTATGTACTCAGTAGATTTGAAACATTGTAAAGGCGCACGCGCGTAACCCTTAGTTGCTAGAAGTATTTTCGAACCAATCAGAGTCAACCTGCGCAGAACAAATGAAAACCGGTCGTTCGACAACCCTATTTTCTCGTCGAATTGACTGTGCATAACGTGCACTGGATCACGTAGTGAGAAGAATCTATCATGGTCATTGGCACTATCCACTAATTTGACTTGTGTAGTTATTTACACTGAAGCGAGTATCGTGTGATTGGGTAGGCTGTCTGACGTGCGTGTGTTGACGTTTCATCAAAACAAAGCAGAGTCTGGCGTCTCGCCGAGCATTTTACTACAGTAATTCGTTGCGAATGCGTCGTTTCTGGGCTTACGTTAACAAAAGTGTTAACTGTTTTGTACGTGCGTTACCAGTGGACAAGTGTTGTGGGCCGTAATGTCGTCCACCGTAAAATTCACTTCGGATGAGATTCTAGGCGGTAAGCGAAGCTCTTGTTTTCTCGAACGATGCAAGCAGCTGTCAGTTTAATGTCGCGGCCATTTCGCGTGATATGGTTGACGCATAAACAAATGCAATCTGTATTTCTTTCTGTGTCGTAGGCGTATTAAAATTTATAAAACACAATTGTTTTACAAAGTAATTAATTTCTCGTAAATGATTGTAACATCATTGTGACAATAATTCCGACATAATATTAAGCACGTTTAACTTCGAAGGTTTTGGCGCGATATCATATACCGGTGTCATTTTACGAAACAAATTGTTCAATTTTTCGTTTAGAAATGTGTCGCAAATCAATTTTTCAGTTTTCCACTATTTTGTATAAATTGACTGCTGTTTCACGCATATAATATGTATAAATATTGAATGTTCATAAGTTGTGCGATATTTCATTTTCTTTTATTGAAAGTATTTTTTTTTTTTTTTAGTAGACTACTACGATTATAGTTATTAATAGTTGTAGTTTCAATTAATTTCATTTGTTAACTATAATATTTGGAGATTAATTTCAAATATCAGATTGATATTTTCAGCTAAAATAGCTTTGATGACAATGGACAATTGTTTATAACATTTTTAAATTTATTTCTCGGATAATATTGCGAAATTGTAAGAGAAATGAAATGTTTTTTCGAAAACTTCTTTCTTTCGAATGTACAATATTTAATCTTTTCTAAATATTTAGTAACGGTTGGTTGGTTGCTTATATTAAAGCATGCTTTCCACGAAGGGTAAAAATGAAAGAAAGAAAACAGCTTTATTTATGTTTCTCTGACGGTCGTAAAATGTGTTCATGAACGGTACGAATCGAAATATAATTTTAATGCACATTTAGAATATTCAAATAAGAAAGTTTTATGAGAAATTTACTGTTATAAATTAGCAATCACCTCATGTTTGTGTAACTTTTATGGCTCGAATTGTTCGTATCATGGAGTCACGAACAAATTCGTGAAAAGTAAAGATTTTTTTATAAAAATAGATCATTTCGTTATTTGTAGTTACAGAATTACACGTTACATCGAGCAATTGGGTCAGTACTCCAAAATATCACGAATCGTTTTGATCGTTTCGTTGAAAAGGGTTCTAATAAACGTGTGTGGCAGTTGGCCAAGTTCAGGGACATGCCGGATATCCGCTTTGTTTCTTGCTTACCATCGGTGATTCTGTACATTTAAGTACATATACTCTGAGAAAATCGTAGGAAAACGTATGGACGTGTCCAGTGTGACGAAGACGAGACGAATAATTATTCCAACGCAGTTACTTCTTTTTTATATTACCGCGAATTGCAGGTATTTCTTTACCGTGATTCGGTACGAATATATATAACGAGTGTTGGTTAAATTTAGCTCGGTAGAGAAGTAATTGCAATCGGACCGGATATCCGACGATACGCTTACATTAGTTATCACTTCCTGAAAAATATTGGTCCCTTCCGGCGAACACCGTTTCTTCTATTGCATAGCTTACGTGTCGTCCTCAGGAGCGTTTGTCATGTACCAAGGACAACATAGGGAGCGTCGTTACGTAGAAAAAGTTACTCGTCGAAGCTAGCTTACTATTAACAGGTAACTTTGAACGTGACTCACTTCACGAACCCTTACCCCACACTGCGTCGTCTTTTTCTTGGTGAACGTGCCTGAAAGCATGCACCTGCGTTGACCATTAAGCGGAGCAATTGGTTCCAATAAGTAGCAGAGGAACGTTTACGAGATGTTTCGACCTGAACAATATCTACTCTCGGACGTCGGTTGGCTGGGTCAATAATGAAGCAGACCTACGGAATGCATGACCTATGATGCATCGACTAAAATTGGATACTCGAATATCCGATTAATATCAAGTTAAATATAAGACAGAGAAGACTTTGATTGTTTGGTGGATATTTGATCTGGTCTTCGGTAATTATTCTGCTTTTCTGGGAGTATAAAAAATATAATTCAAGAAGATATTTGTAATTGTTCGGACAAACGCGCGTTACACATGGTGAAGTATTCAAATACGAGGTTAAGAGACGTCGTCGTGTACGCCCCCAGAATGTTTGATTGAAATGACGGGACACGTTTACGTTTATTTTTAACCGTAAACGTCCGTTGGCGGATTTTAATTCAATTTATTAAATCTAACTCGTGATTTCATGGCACGTGACGTTTCCTGGTCATTTTCGTGCGCTTGTCTGTCTGTATCAATGAATACCACTTGAAATAGTTGGTAGTACAAATGCGAAGATTTATAGAACTCGATTCGAGAATTTGGAAATTATCGAGTTGACATATTTGATCCTTCACGGTCTTTGGTAAGTTTCCTTTTCGGTCGTTCTTAATCAAAGAATTAACAATGGATAATTCGTTCGAATTGAATAAAATATGAGCCCGCGCGTTGTTACATCTTGCGAGACTTTATCGTGTTTAGCCATTACAAGGAAGCTTTTATGCCGTTGCGAAAATAGGCCGTTCGAAGCCACGGTTGTCGATCCTTAATTAAGCCTTGTCTCGCTTCATAGAACCAGAAGAATGTCTTATTTATGCGAAATGTGACGTTAGTCTTCTAAATGAATAATCTTTTCTGTAGTCAGAGCAAACTACTTTACCTGCTCGAATATTATCGCTATGAACGCGTCGGTATTCTGACCTGCGTTAAAATGCCCACGCACCTTTTAGTAACTTAAGAAGCTTAACTCCTTAGTCCAATATCGCCCTCTTGTTTCAAGACAATCTTTGGAATTCACGATAGATCATAGTTGAATCGTCGTTGTTATTAAATATTCGATGTTCAATATTTCATATCATTATTCTTCATCGTATTTTTATCTACTTCTTTTCGTAGCCCGTACACATTGACAGTTAATCAACGTTATCTCGTTTACGATGCATGCGATTATCGACGGTATACGTTGTAATTCAGTATGTTTAGTCAGATGTGATTGTAAAAAAAAGGAACAGATAAATATAGGAAGAAAGAAAAAGTGAGTCAGGTCGAAGCGTTTTTGTTAAGCAGTGAATATGTTGCATCGTAATATACTTGCAAAGTCAACACGTGTGTCCTTGTTGCGCACGTGTTCGTTTATTTCGATTGAACGGACGAAGCTCCTCTTTAGACAGCTATATAGAGGAACGAATTCAAGTCATCCGGCTGTTCTTAAAATTCTTGTCATTGAAATACTTGGCATTCTCATTCTTTTCGGTAAACTCCCTAGTTCAGGTAAATATCGATGTCTTACTACAAAATTTCTTCACTTTTTCTTTAACAGAAAGCTGGAAGTTTCATACATAATATGAACAGTTAATCGATAATTATAATAGGCAGTTCCTATGAAAATGAACCTTTTTGTATGGCGGTTCCAAGTCGAACGACGCTTCTGTTTCCTCGATTTTGAGCATATACTTCGAACGTGTCTTGCTAGAAAGTAATGTCTGATGATGTTTGATAACATTACTAATTGACGCATTTTCATCATGTTTATTTTAACCATATCACGAGAAATTAGGTAGTGACAATTCCCTATTTTCTCTAAAGATATGTTTTTGAAGCACGATTTACCCTCCATTTTTAGCACTCAGAATTTTAAACGTTGACACTTTAATTTCGCGATGTTGTATAAACTGTTGGAAAAAATAAACAAGAACCATCTCGATTTATTAGTTACCATAGCGATAGGATAACGATATTCACATCGAAGCCATAATCATTATGTATGAAAATGGTAAAATAATGTCAGAAGAGTGTGTTGCGCATTTGTCAGGTAAATGGAAATAGTATTAATATTAACGACGATACAAATATCATTAATTAAAATTGAATTGAGTCACCGATTGATAAACCACAATGCGAGTGTAGGTCTTCTTTTCCGTTGTGCACGTGACACTGTGTACTAACCACGTGGAAGTGATTCGCGAAACTAGAAGAATTTACACACAGCTACTTAATGATATTGCGTGTTAATAAATGGAGCCTGGATTCCCCAACGAATGTGTTCTTTAATCGTCTAATCTTCAGTTTAAAAGTTCAGTCACACTTTTCGCTATCTGTTTCTGCGTTTCAAAATTTTTTAATAAAATATATAATACTATATTTCAGCATGTTCGTTTAATTTACGATTCGGTAGAATGAAAAAACGATAAAACACTTTTATTCTTCGCTAACGACGCAATGTGCTATACGTATAAGTGCTACGTCAGCTGGTGAACCTTGGCCATGAACTTTCTTCACAATCGAGTCGATGATTGCTCGATTTCTACGAACGCGTATCTCGTGTATCGATTTCTCACGTTCACGATATTCGCAGAAGGCTGTTTCTAACATTTCTTTCGATAATAGTTGAAAGAAGAATTTAATCAAAGTTTCATTTTGCTTAATAATAATAATTTTATTTTGTTTGATGTGCACAGAATCATGGGTGGAATTGAATCCTATACCAGACAGGATAACACCGTTACCATTTAGTGCTGGCGGAGAGGAGTATCTACGACTTCTTCGAGAAGCGCAAAGGGATTCCTTACCTTCGTCCGCGAAGCATTCTCTAGCCTCTTCTCGTCGAGGCACACCAAGAGATAGGTAACTAACTTACTTCTTGTGTATGTGTAGAAGGTATTGTTTCATGTATATCCACATGTACGTATATATGTATAGTGTTTTTTAGCAAAATTTGTGTGTGTCGGGCAGTGCTGCGATGCGTAAAAAGTCTTGGAAAAGAACTCGGAGGGAACTTTTGGAGCAGTGACAAGCGAATTTGACGGAGAAAATTTGTAGAATTTCCAAAAATCTCTTGATTATGATTTTGACACTGCTAGTAAAATTAGATGCTATTAATTTCAAAAAATTGTAATTGTCTGCGGTTGAATTCTTAGAAGCGCTATTAGGATCTGTTTTTGTCTTTCGTATGCATTCGAGTATCAAGGAACTTGAAGAAAAAAAATATATAACAAGTGGAGTATCTCATGAGTCAGATGCCAGTTCGAAATAGCCGAGAGAGGATCTTTTTCTGTACGGTCCCTTTGTACTCGTAGGCGTTGGAACATTTCAAGGACCGACTGGATAGAGGAGAGTAAAAGCAAGCGTACTGTCATTTTTGTGCGTGTCGGTGATCCTTCTGTACAAGTGGCTTTCTTTTTATACCCTTTTTACTCGCATTCTTCAGTAGCATTTCGGCCTCGTAGCTTCTACGGTGCCATAGACAATAAATCCTTTGATGTTTTAAATTCACCTGTCTAGGAAAATACGATGTTTATAATGAAAATTTGTTTATTCCAAACCGTTATGTCTAGTTGACACTCGAGATTACGACTTGCGACGCAATTCTTTCGTTTCCATCGTTTGTCGAGATAACGCTTTTTCAAAGGCTACAGGTTCTAACAAAATATTGACGTCATGCACCGTGTCTTTCTATGATCAACTTTGTCGATACGCAGCAGCGAACTGTACCGACACGGCGTTTATCTGTTTGCTTTTCTTTTCTTTTTTTTTTAAACTATTTAATCTTTAACTTTGCGATTATACTTTCATGTAGTATCGGTCGATTAGTTAGAGACTCGATGCTGCTGCTTGCATATGCATAAAAAGTAATTAGGACAAATTTCACCTCCGAAGATTAACATATTCCCGAGACTTTACTTGCTAATTACTTAATTAATTAAGTCCGCTCCGAAACATATGCTAGTTTCTGTCCAGTCGGTTCAGTCTGTTTATTAGGTTCGCGTATGATTCGAAGACTCGTATTTTCAGAACGCAATAATCTTCGTAACACCCAGCAAGTTTTAACTCTCTCGGCTACCGGTGCTATTTAAAAAAATATATCTCGATCGATGTTGCAGCTCATTATTTGCGACGTTCGATCGTGTGCCGCAGATGTTCGATGAGGTCATTTATTATCTTCGTAGTTCGGTGTGAAAGATAGAAAAAAAGTCATCGTACGATAGGGGGGTCATTCGATAGAATGTTGCAAATGCATATCCGCGGAAAGCACTGATGACACGATTCTTATAATATTTTTTTTAATTCTCAATGATAATTGTTCATTATGCTCCATGAACTAATTCAACGATCGAATAACGAGATAATTAAATAGAAAACAATAGCCAATTTTGAAGTATTATTAATTGCTCCTTTTTTACAGCAACGATCACAATGAGTATTTATTTGAGAAAAATATGTTTGTAGTCCGAAGAGCCCGCCAAACAGTCCCAACACGGAACTCTCGACCGAAGATGAACTCAAAGGAGTCTACATAAATTACTGTTGCAACAAGGTCAGTTTTGTAATTGATTTTTAATCTTGTGTGCTCGTTTAAGCTGCGATTACATATAGAGAGCACGTCCAACCTTCATAGTTTATCTATACATAACCATTATCATGGAGGAATGCATGTACTCGTATGTAATCATTGTGAAATACGCTTCTTTACGATCGTGTCACAGCAGCCGTCGATATTTCATAAGGTAACGAAAGATTGTTATACTTTCGAATAGCGTCAATGACCAATTGATTTGAAATCTGGTAAAATTGCTTATGTGGACGTGAGGAGTAATTAATTAAATTCGGACTTAAATAGAATTTCTATTATCAGACATTGTTTTATAAACGTTTAACGATTGGTGTATGTTTTTAGTTTTGCTTGAAAAACATTGGTGTTTTCGGAAGTTACAGGGATATCGGTAAACGGATCGTTGTAAAAAAGCACGATGAAAATAACAGCCAAGACGATTGCACCGGGGCATTATGAGTAACGTTGATAACGAACCACGAAGAGAGACGTACAGCGATGAGGATTTTCCATGAGTCAGTTGCTCAACCGTGTTTGCAACCGTGTGCAACTTCTCTTTGTGTGTAGCTTTGTGAAAGCAAGGTCTCTTGGAAAGCATGCAGTTGGCTGGAGTCTCTCTTTGAGAATCTTCGAATTCCTTCTCCTTCTAACCGCTTAGATAACGGATTAAAAATAGAATGGCTTATAAGTTTTCTGTTCCCCTGTTTCGGTATATTCGTTTGCAACAGTAATGCTATCTATGATACTACGCTTATTTGTCTCTTACTTCGGCCGGCGTTTTAATTCGAACATTTACACCGCGTGCGATAGATAAATATTTATCGAGCTACTGCGAACGAACGTTCTTGGTATTCGTGTGCAACGAGAAAAAGGTGTTTTCCTAAAACCGCAACAATCTACGTCGAAGAAGTCGCGAGTCTATCGTGACCCGCTTATCGGCGAATTATACGTATATATAAATTCACCAGGAACTCGTTAGTCACGATATCTTTTTACGCGCATACAAATCGCTGTTCGCGAAACCTTGACAAACATCGCAACGATATCGATCAGTTTCGGTGAAAATATTTCCGGTTTTAATATAATTTTCGAGTATCGAGAAGCCGAGTCACGAACGTATGCGTATATTATTGTCGATGTATATGTCTAGCATAGATCGTTCACCTGCGTTTGTGTTGCGCGCTTGAACGCGCGTGTTGGTCCGTTAACGGAGGGACAGATCACGCGATCGCGAACGAACGAATCGGCGCTCTCCACTATGTTTGCGTTCTTCTCATCTCTGTGCAAAAACCGGTCCTCCCGCGATGTGTTGTATCGCGTTCGAGAAAACGAGTTCGACTTCTCGCTGTGAGGTGAGTCGGACTTCAGAAAAAGGGACACTCGTTACCCTTTCATATCATGTATTAGGTCTCATCCACGCTGTTTCTCGGTTCGATCGAGCATTACACCATTCTGTAGATCGTGCAGAGTAAATGTACGGATACTCTATCGTGAAACTTCTCGCAAGTTCCCTCGAAAGAATTGTAGTTAATCGAACGCAGAACCGACTGTGAACGGATCGCTAACTTGAATGAAGCTTTATACGGGATTAAATCACCCGTTTGTTATTGTCTATTCCACACGAACGCGTTCTCGTTGTTCCGTCAGAAGCGATAAACGTTGTAGAAACTTTGAATAATAGATATCTGCTATTATATAATATTAATTGTGTCGATGATACCTTGCGATTCTTCGCTACCACTCAAAGTCTATTTCCCAAAGACTACAGATACCGTACAGAGACTAATTCATCGTGTGATAGTTTTTCGCGGGTAATCTGTTCATTTTTCGTAGAAAGTCGAATTCATAAGAAACGTAACACGGAAATGCACCGTGAGAAAGAAGCTATGCGAAAAAAAATTTCTCTCTAGTCTGTTACGTGAGCAATGCGCGCTTAGCACGCGTTCCATTTGTGGAATCATGTTTCTCGAAGCTGGTCGTGTAATTCCATGAAATCGTAGACTCTTTTCGAGATTAACTTTATTTTACTGGCGTTCAATCGGTAGACGCATTTAATACGCATTTGACACGGAAAAGTTGTGCGAATGTCACTTTCAGCATACTACTTCGGTTGTTGAACTGTACAGGTTCCGCATACTCTAGTAGGTTGTTACATTGGCTGCGTTCATTTATCGCGTCTGTAGATCGGAATCGTACTGTTCCGCGAAAAATTCGCATCGATTAGTTTTTTGCTGCAGATTGCTTTTTGTAGTTTTCCGGTGTAGAATTCAACCGTTCACTTTCGATTTCTGTTGTTTCCGCGAAAGAATTGTTTTGAACGACGAATCTTAATTTACATTAAGATTGCGATTGAAAAAGTATTGAAAACTGTAAACAAATTTTGAGGGATTAATTTAGCAATTAAGAACCCACCTGGCGATGAGTACATAACAGACAGTATGATAAATAAGAAAACGTGTCAATAGACACGTATACCCGTATTATATTATGCGAGCTTCGCTTGAATGTGTTCGCGTTTATTTTTATCTTGTTGATTTGATCGATCGATTTGTTCTTTTTTTCGAAACTTGATGTTTACGAATCTGAAACTGTATATGAATCAGCGAGCACGGGCTAAGGTAATTACAAAAGCTGCAAATGAAGTTGAGGAATCAAATTGGAGTATGGAACTTTCCTATCTAATGACGAGCATACAATAGACGGCATTATAAACGTGGAAACGCGATAATCGACACGTACATCCGGATTATACCTTACAACTTTCATAGTTTTCAATACGCCGCTGTTTCAGTAAAGTACTTTATTCTTTCTAACAAAAGAAGCGCACTCTTCTTTATTGTTCGAGAAACGACGTTAGAGGAACAATTTCAGGATTTTTTTTCAAATTCCTAAATTCTCTAATTGCTATTTTTCCGAACGTTAACGATGCCATATGTTCTTAAAAAGTTGGCGAATCCCTAGATTGTCACGTTCTTAAATTTGGAAGTGTATCGATGACCGACGAGTGACTGGGCTTCATTTCCGTTCATTATCATTTTCCCTAGGGAAATGAACCGTGTTCGATACCGTAGAAGAAACGGGGCTTGTTATTGACCCTCTCTCGAGGCTTCACGCGGAGGACGTAACGTGGTACGCGGTGAAACGTTGCCAAGGGGTTTCCACCGAACGAGTCCGAAAGCACGTCGGCCAGTGAACGCGTGTAATTCTTCGGTTATTGCGCTCACGAAACGGAGTAAGAGACGTCTCGAAGAAAGGAACTCGCGACGATAATGGCAGTGAAAGAGCGAGAGGAGAGGTACCAGTTTGCTTTTCAACGGCGTCACAGTAGTTGCTAACCAATCCGAAACCGTTCTGAGATCACACCATGCGCAATATCGAATGAATTCGTCAGGTCTTGCAAAGTGTGTTATACGTAGTGGCCGTTTTACCAAGGGCAAAATATGCGTGACCTGGTTTCCTTCGATTCTATATACTTAATATCGATCATTTTTTATGCCTCGAACTATCTCGCGCAATTGGTATCGAAGGCGTTAATATATATAAGCTCGTATGAATGTTTTAGCAGGAAATCGACTCGTTTGTACTTGGGTATCGACGCTCGGCACACTCGACAGTCTTAAAAAATCGTTTCCGTTTGATTCACGCCTTCAATTTTCAACGTTAAAGTATTTACATATGCGAGAATGCGAGCGAAGATGCTCAAGGATATCCTCCGTTGTTTCTTCGCGAATACCCTGAATACCAAATGCCGGTGGGTCGTCTGGATGCCCCGAAACACGTAGGATGGCGATAATTCACGGATGTAAATAAATTACAAGTTTCCTTCATGCCTGTTTTGTTTCGAACTATAGAGAGAGAACGTTTTCCAACGGAAATCGTGGTTTTGTCGTTTCGCATGATCTCATTGAACGTAATCATCGTTTTATAGCTTGTAGAATGACCGAGTTGTAGCTCGATGGGCGATCCTTTTAAGGTTATCTCGTGTGTCGTAGCCTAGATTGATCCAGTCCTTGGACTGGACGTTGTTACGCTGTTTATTTAAGGCCGTTCACCTCGTCGATTTACTTCATAATGTTTTCATAATTCAGGTTTTTGCGTAATAGCCACTTTCTTAGAATCAGCTTATGATTCAAATGCGTCCATGTTCTTAATACAGAGGAATTACACGCGAACACGGTTTCGGTTAAATGCTTGTGGATTGAGTTTCACGCATTTCAGAGGGTTCTTTCTATCTTCTATTTCTGCGGCCATAAAAAAGCCAACGCGTAGATTTAATTTCTCTGTGTGAATAGGATTTTTCTAACTAAAAAAATAACTGCTGTAAATCAATCGTCGACCAACGCGGATCGGGAGATCCAATAAAACCGATTTAGAATCGTAACGTTTCCGTCAGATTCCCACTCTTTCCCACTCTCCGTATTTACGGACCGAAATGTTTTCGAACTATCTACGTGCTTGATAAATCTACATTAATTTAGGCGCAGTTTAGTAGCTTTTGTTTATTATGCGTTTCTTAAAACGCTATTTCGGGAAATAGTACAAGCGCCGTGTTTAGCGAACTTGCCAAAACATTGAAATAAATTGGATCACGGATGAAGAGCGTGAAATGTCGCTAAAAATATTATGGAAGGTGTTCGTCGCAGTTGATGCGCTGGCAATGGGGGTCGTCAATCACCGACGCTATGTAAAGCATACTTTCCACTTTGCCAGTTATCGCTTTAAATATATGTATTTTATCGATTTCTGTAATCGCAGTTTCAATGTGTTATGCGTTGTGTTATAACGCAATATGCTTAGGAAAAACGATTCCTTTGTTTTAAAAGGCAAGAAAATTTTTATTTCGATTTGTTACATTTGTGGGAAATTATTTATACATAGATTATATGAACATTTATTATGCGAAAGAAAATTATGTAGCACAACTGTCTTTGTGCTCTACCGTTTTAGACTGGTCGATAAATTCTGGTTTATCGGTGATAAAATGATAAGCTTGTAACACAACGAATACGATCGGAGAATAAATGTTTCAACGAGTTCGTTTTTTTTTTGGTAGGAAATTTTTATTCGTGTCTTGAAACAAATTGATTTGTCATCAAGTTTTTGTTCAAAGTAATATTATTATATTTTAATCATTTCATTCGTAAAAACGATCTATATATAACTAATTTATATCGAAAAGATTGAAATAGCAGTATTACATTGTTTACAAACAACCGTACGCCTCATTTAATATTTCTCAGATATGTCGATTAATCGCGTTAGTGTCACGACTGGTCGATTGCCAGTAAGACAGTTATCCTTGGATACTCTCCTCTGCTAGTCATAGATAAGAATTTTTCGTCTCTCATATCGCTATGTAATTACATTTTTGTATGCACCATAATATAAACAGTATTGTTAATTGCATAGATACTTCTGACAAAAATGATCGATAATTACTTTTTATTTAAACAATTTTATAGAAATGTCAGATTAATTGGTCAGTAAAGTCGTTTAAAATCATAGTCCACAATATAACATAGCATGACGCTCTGATATGTAAGTCTTTCATGAATTAAGCGTGTCGTGTAAAAGCAGCTTTGTATTGTTCTGTATAGAATGAACAAGGTAAACTGATAGGCAGTTGTGCATTTAATGTTACATACTACGTGAATCTTCAGTTTCACTGGATGATATGAGATCCACCTGTACGACTTAAAAACTATTAAATCGGTTCGTCAGAGATTATAGAATGAGTTGTGGTCGACAACTGAAGCTTTTATAATAGTATTTAGTTTCCATTTCCAAGGACACCGTGATACAACAATTCTAACACTTACGTCTTTCTTTCCTGCAGGAAAATGAACTTTTGGAGAAAAATACCGATTGGATCTATGAATGGAGTTCGCGACCAGACCAGGCACCGCCAAAGTATGAACCTACTACACTTAAATTTCTTTTTTTTAAGAGTATATATTGCTATGCGAACATTGAATTTTTTTTATTCGTGCAGAGACTGGAAATTCAAACATCCTCAGGGAATGAACAAGAAGAAATCTTATAGCATTCGTACTACGAAAGTGGGCAAGATCGGTTTGTTTTCCAAAGAGGTTCTTTACACGCTGTTCATTACGAATATTTTGTCCGTGTTGGTTGGAGCGGGCTTAGGGTGAGAATACTTATTTAGCTGCACGTATAGGTCTTAAATCTTTCTCGATTAAGATCACTGTACTCGTGAAAGAACATAGTTCAACAAAGAGGCAATTGAACCCTTTCTTAACTAGAAGTATCTTTAATCGTGTATGTTTTTCAGAGTCTGGTTGACCAGGCGAGGATCGATAACGTCCAGCATAACTATCGAGTGAAGAAAAGAAAAACGAAATAACCACGTACACGAAAGTCAGGATTGTCGCGCTAGAATTTGCAAGAAAATGGAATAAAAGGGTCGGTTTAATCGAACTGCAAGAAAGACTGAAGAGAGCCAAGAGGGTTGATCGAGCCTAACAGACACGCAACACCATATTTCGATTACCCCGATTTAATTATTAGCACTTTATATCTTAATCTTCTTCCCTGCCTGAAAACTTAGCGGTGTACTTATTGAACGCCGTATTAATAATGTAAGTCGTATTTGCAGTTATATGCTTAGGCAAAAAAAATGCTTTAAAAAAAAGGCAAGAAAAATAATGGAAAAAATAATATGATATATATATTATATATATCTAGCGTTATTGTGGAAACAAAAATATGTCCATTTTATACCATTTCTAATGCGTTTCTATCTGCGGTAATCCGTAGGGTATAGCTTGGATAGTATTTATCTATAATTATTACTCGTTACTTGAGAAAGCAAAACGATTTGAGAGAGGTTAAAGAATGTTCATTATGTAAGAAAGTATATGCGTTCGCGTTTGATAAATAAAGAGGAAGAAGGATTGCATTTACTTGAAAAAGAAAGGAATATATATATACATACATATATATATATATATATATATAAACATACACAACATACATATGAATATCGCGATTTAAATCGTGATAATTCCTATTACATTGAAATCAAAGATCAATGTTGGTACAAGTCTGAAAGCGCGTTTTTTGCGAGAGAAAGTTTGATATCGCGTAGGAAACGGGAACGATGTTATGTATTTAGTTAACGCAATGTCTGATTACGTTCTTTAATCGAATTTTAATGAAATACATGAAACGTTTCGATAACGTACGTATAATGAGAGTTTGATTATTTTCTTTTCGTTCTTACATTTATGGGTTTTTTATTCTGACAGTGAAAACGGTATAAATTATTTAAAACATCACATTTTAATTTCGAGTTTGCTATTAATTAAATACAGAACTGTCAATTTTAGCATAGTCATATTCGTTGTATTTCTAGCTTTATATATTTATTACGAATAACAAGAATCGATAATATTCTTCGACGATTTTATATTCTATAATTTTCCGTAAAAATATAATCAATAAATTACAAAAAAAATACATATATACATATATGATACTGAGAAAGAAAGATAAGTAAAATGTGACACTACAATCTTGATCGAACATCTTATATATATTCGAAAAAAATCTGTATCCCTTATGTATCGTGATTCCAATTTGTTTTTGTTTCAAAAATATATAATTAATTTATGTCCGTTTTTTATATCGAAATAATTACAGTTCTGTAAATTTATGAAACGCTTTTCTCGACAGCACAATGTGTGATTTGTATGAAACTATTACAAAAAAAAAATAATAAAAAACTCGATAATGATTGCATCGTGTAGACAATTTTCTAAAATTTATTAAGATTATTTTTTACAGAATACAAATATATAACACGTATACTATGTATTAACTGTAAGATGCTGTATATTATGAGGTAATGCGCATTTGATGTAAGTAGAGTTTAGAGACGCAAGTTTTTTTGTATTTTCAATATAATTCTGTATATTATACACGAAAATCTCTTACTATCAACCTTTATAGCTGAAGTTATACGCGTCTGAAAATATCTGTGTTGCTACGTATCCTCAGTTACCTTCCGTTCATCATAATTTTATTAAAAAAATCCTGCAAAATGTACATATAAAAGTAGTAGAAACTAATTCACCAAAAACATGAACATCCAAGCAAACTCTGTTCATCTTTCATAACTTCGTACAATTAACTTAACAAACAACCTATAGACACATATTCGATTAATTTTTTGAACATGACGAATAACGACAATCCGAATATCAATGAAAAAAATATAAAAATATTCGTTAGAGTTTTCCCAGTCGAAAAGAGCTGTGAATCTTGCGCGAAGATTGATACAGAACGAAAAGTAATTAAATGTATCTCTGTATTAAATATTTCACGAATATTCTCATTATTATTTTGGATGTCTGTTCACGTTCAGAAAATATACATAAGATGCTTGCAAGAGATGCAACCGAACAGGATAGCCACAGTGAAAAAACCATCTTATTGGTGTTTTCAAATTGACGATATATTCCACGATTCCTCCCAAGAAGAAGTGTATCGTGTTTCCACGGAAGAGCTTGTGCCAAAGTAAAGTATATCTGAAGACTTTCGTCCTCAGGCACTTTGTTTCGTAAGAAATATCAAATAGTACTAATCGTAACCAAAAACTGAAGGAATCAAATTTAAGAATTTTAGACGGAGTAAGTTGTATTTTAATGGGCTTCGGGCAAACGGGATCGGGGAAGAGCTTCACGATTAGTGGTGTAAGGAACAATTGGGAGGTTCGTTTTTACCGAGCACTTCATAATTTTATAGTACCGTTTCGTTTCGACAGACCTTGAATATAATAATTAGGTTTCTTTTCTTAGCACAGGGGTTTGGTTGTACGGCTAATATCCGATATGTTTGCTGAGAAAATGCACAGGAAGAAAAGTAACAAGATACAATATTGTGTCAGTTACGTCGAACTGCATGGAAAAGAAGCAAAAGACTTGTTGATTTACGATACTGAGAACAGGGTCAGAATAAATGAGCGAGATCCTTTCAAGGTATTATGATATCAAAACAATGATGGGAGTATTTTGCATAAATTTTAAACGTAAACACTGTAGGATATTTCTATGGTACTCGTGGAGAACGAGGAGGAGGCTCTTAGAAAAATATTTGAAGGAGAAGTTAGAAGATCAACCGTAAAAGGTTCGAGGTATTCCGTATCTCATTTAGCTACCGCTGTGATCACTTTTCATGTGTCTAACATCAGCTTAATTACATCTTGGGGTACTGTGACTATGGCCAAGGTACAAATCAACTGCCTCGAAGGTTTCCAAGGTCCCAAAATTCAATCGTCTGCTTTTTTTGTAGATGCATATCGTTGAAGTGGCTGGAATAGGAACAGTAGGGAAAAATAATTGTTGGAAAGCGGCCATGGATGTCGGTATCGCTAACTTGACGAAGACTCAACTCGAGCAATTCTTCTCGTACTTATCGGAAGAAAGAATATCTGCTAGTACCTTGATACGTTCTAGTAATTTATTGAAAATCCTAGGCAGCGCTTTTTCTGTCTCGTCCATAATCAGGTGATTAAAAGAAAATTGATGACAATCGATCAAACTAAAAACTTAACGATTTCATATTTAATGCATTGATAGGTTCATATCGCACATTCGCATCAAGGAGGAGGATCTGAATATCACATTGTCCACTCTAAGATTTACCGCGAAAATCGCAAAACTAAAACCAGTCAGAGTGAAAGAAAATGTTCAATGTCAGCCCGATTTGTTGCTGTACAGACTTCAGGATGAGGTGAACGCTTTGAAGAAGGAATTGATGATGAACGATTTGTTTCTTCATCAAGAGTCTCCAATGAATGTCTCGAAATCACGAATGGAGCAAATTAATCGTAGCGTTTTTAAATTTTTGGATGGCAAGATTTCGGATTTCACGTTGTTTAATGTGTCTCAGGCTCAAACACTGTTGAAGATTATCAAGGATTTATATAACAGGTTCCATCATCTTTGTTATATACAATGTGAATTAAGATTTAAGGTACAAATAATCGAATCGGCAGATTGACTTCCTCGGAGCTCGAAGTTGCTAAGTTGAAGGAGACGTACGAAAATGTTCTGAAAAGTACAGCGCAAATGAATACCCAGTCAGCCAAGGTACTTTTATCGAATGTTTTATTGTTAATAACTTTACCTACTATTTTATTAATACATAAAGTATAAAACGAACGTAGGAAGATATTTTGCCTACTGATAGTCGGAGGAATATACAAGAAATTGAGAAATCTACCGAAGAAACGAGTAAAGAAGTTGGAAGTTTAAATGAATTTGGTAAAATTAATTTTAACATTAATGATATTCAGTTATGTAAAATGATTATGAATATTGACGCAAAATATTAATAGGTATGACTCTGGGACCTTACAAGAGAGAAGAAAAAGAAGAAAAGCTTAGCGCGGAAGGAATGCTTCTAAATAAAAAATATTCATTAATAAGTGGACAAATTCATAAAATTGATATCACAGAGGTTAGAATATGCTGTGTCATCGTTAAGTATCATTGGTTATTATTTATTTATATGTATTGGAAAAGGTTCGTCAAATGTTCGAGAACTTTTTGAAGGAAAAGAGAGAATACGCAAGAATCAAAGCGATGCTGGATAAAATTGGAAAAATGCTAAACGTCATGCGACCTAGATTCTCAAACACGATGGAAAAATATTTTCAGGTACAATTGATAACGAAGTACTGGGCATTAATTTGCCCTGAATTTCCGTCAATATTTTTTTAGGCAAAGAGGAATCTGGATAACGTGCGTGATGCACTAAGTAAACATCAGCAAATTCGATACATTATGGAACCAGAAGTTTCTAACAACGTTAAACAGGAAATTCCGGAAATTGAGAAGATGATCCATCGCGATATTTTATGTCACGAAAAAATATTGATAAATTTGGAGGAAGAGGTGAAACAGGAACAGGACGAGATTGACAAATTATTCGAGCAGTATGCTGAAATGTGTTCGAAGTTAGAATCAGGGTTTCGAGAATACTGTAAAACCATGGATCTGTTATTGTATCATAACGATAAGCCAATGAAAATGTTGTTGGAACCTGTTGAACAGAAGTCATTAGAAACAATGCGACAAAAGTTCAACAAGTTTCAGCGCGCGATGTTTCGCAAGATCGAGGTAAATTAAAATATATCGAAGTATCGTTACATGGCTCTTTTTTATTTGACTTAAGAAAATTTTCCCTTGTATGGATTTTCATGTATATTAATGATTTTGCTCCATCATCGTAATGCACGGAAATCGCGGCATAGTATCATTAGGTATAGCAAGTAATGTATTAGATCTCTATGGGTATTCATTTATATGCTTGCTTCGCAATTTGTATTAATCCTATAGCCTCGTTCAGAGTCATATAGCGAGACTCCAGTTTACTAAGATATCTAACATATTGATTCTATTACAACATTTTACTTGTATCAGGACACAGCTAGAACGAAGAAGCGCATTTCAATTGTAGCCGCATGTGAATGCGTATTAATTTAGAAACAATAAAATATGCATAATTCGTAGCAATAGATGTAGAAGTGTAATGTATGTATAACAAAATAAAAGTATTCTATTGTAATTTAGATCTTTAAAATGGTAAATAATCCCTGAAGCAATCTGTCAGCGTAATTCGCGTTAAAATCATCTTATTTGAAAATTAATTTTATCATTAAGAGAAAGAAAATTGATTGTATTTACTAATTAGAACGATTCGAACTTCCGATGTCTACGAACGTTGGTTAAATCGGCTTATCCGACGCTTGGTGTCACGTTACTGAATTGTGTACAGAAATTCAGTCAACGATCCGGCAGTCAACATGATTGTGCGCGAAATCTATGTACCAAATAATTCGTGAGCATCATATGATCGACAATTACATTTCGTCATTCATTTTGCAAAGTACAGAATTGCTTCTGAATCGCGGGTAATTTAAAATTCGTCAAAGTTTAATGAAAGCATTTTCTTCTCTTCGGAATTCTGATAAAAGTGTAATGTCAAAATTACGGATTTGAATACATTCTTAATTCTGTGTTGAATCTATGTCTTTCACCGAAGAAGTGTCCTCGAACAATCATAATAAATAAAAGAGAATGGCTAATAAAGAGAATATGTTAGTAAGTACGGAAGAATTGTTGTACATTTCTTATAAGAAAGATTAATATTTGTATGCTTTTGCTAGTTGAAGAAAGAAAAGTATTTCGATATGTTGTTGAAGGAAGGGAAAAGATACGTAGTCGTAATGCAGGAATTGTATGATCATTATAAAACAAGTTCGGTCGAATATAAGGACCTGCTATATATGATGGATCGTTATACAAGAGTAAGTTGGAAGCACGAAAGATGTTAATTATTTACTGTCTCTTCAATAAATTGTCTGGTATAGTATAAAACACAGTTAAGGGAAGACATGGAAGAATTCAAGGAGTTGGTCGAGGAATTAAATGACATTGTAGAGGAGGAGATAATAGACGAAGACGAAGACGAGGATCAGTTTGTACCTATAGATCTGGAATTTGAAGAAACAGACGAAGAAAATGAGGATGAGTTTGTTCCCATGGAAGTGGAAGAGATCGAAGAATCAGATGAAGATGATATTTTTTTTCAGGAAGAAATTCGATATTTCCATAACATAATAAATCAAAGGAATATCTTGGCAAATATAGAAATAATACTTCTGCAGATACTTAATGGATCACAGATGAATCTACAATTAACAGTATATTCGAACTTGAAGATTTTTTTAAAAAATTATTGTGAAGAAGTGAGAGCAGTCCTTAAACACAATGTGAAATTTATAGAATCTCTAAATGATTATAAGAAGAAAGAATTAGCCAATAGAATTCAAAATAAATATAAAAAACTGCAGGAACTTTTAAATGATATTATCGAGGTAAGGTTTATAAAAATGTTTGTAGGCAATATATATATATATATTCATTTTTAATTTCTCTTTTCCTAATGTAGAAACAGAAGTTTTTCACGGAGATTGGGGATATAATTAAATGTAAGCGAAAATAATACAAAGAATTTCTGTTGTAAAAAGAAAACTAATTTATTTTTGTAATTAATTTCTTATAATATTTCTATTTTGTAATAAAACACATATTTGTTAAGTTAAATAAAAATGTAACGTTGTAGAATATGTAAAAATGCATTTTTAAACATTACCCCTGATTCAATTTAACACGTGACTCTTTTAAATTTCGATTAGTTGGCGCGCTTTCGAGCCGCCTATGTCAATTCTACTGCACATGCAAAGTGCAATATTTCGGCACTTTGACGACGTAGTGTGGTTCCTGAGGCATTTAGAAACAAATTTCTATTAGGGTTTGATGCGTTTTGATGCCTAGTAAAGGCAGAAAATCAATTTTTGTCGAATTCGGTTCAAAACGGTACAGGTGGCGCCATCTAGCGGCGAGCGGCGGAACTACAAAAACTAAAATTTCGATTTTCTCGAAAACTAGGGACTTTTCCGAAATTCTGAGATATACAAATTGCTCCTTGTGGCCTAAGGAATCGAACGAATATAATTATAGCCTGCTAGGACCATTATTAAAGAAAATAGAAAAATAGCCCATTTCATGGACTAAAAAATTGCCGTCCATCTAGCGGTGAAAGCTGACACTACAAAAATATAAAAATGCGATTTTCTCGAAAATTAGCGAACTTTCAGTACTTCCGAGGTAGAGAAAGTGTTATATGATCGCATTACAAGCAAAATAAAGCAATAAAAGTTTCCAGAAAGCTTTAATAAAGAAAATAAAAAAAAAGCCATTTTATGGAGAAAATTTGTGGCGCCATCTAGCGGCAAAACTGCGAACTAAACTGAAAAAACGTATGTCCGAACACGCGTTAAGGAAAAATATAAAAAGTAATATTTCGCAACTTTGACGACGTAGTATGCTTCTTTAGACATTTTAAAGCAATTTTTGTTGAATAAGTTATTCATTTTTCTGCCTATTAAGCCCAGGAAAGACTACGTCGTCAAAGTTGCGAAATATTACTTTTTATATTTTTCCTTAACGCGTGTTCGGACATACGGTTTTTCAATTTAGTTCGCAGTTTTGCCGCTAGATGGCGCCACAAAGTTTCTCCATAAAATGACATTTTTTTTATTTTCTTTATTAAAGCCTTTAGGAAGCTTTTGTTGTATTGTATTGCTTCTAATGCGACCACATAACACTTTCTGAGCCTCAGAAGTACTCAAAGTACGCTAATTTTCGAGAAAATCGCATTTTTATATTTTTGTAGTTCCAACTTTCACCGCTAGATGGACGGCAATTTTTTAGTCCATGAAATGGGCT